CATCACGGAACTTGGCAATTAGCGACCACTAGGTTCGCCGTTCTACTTACTACAACAAAAGATTTATCCGAATGCCCGACTTTTTTCCCGGGCGCGGTACGCTCTCAAAAGGGACAAAAAAACCGACACGGATCGTATCGTCTCTCTCTCTCTCTCTCCTTCTCTCTCTTCTCTCTGTCTATGGTTAATCAGCTGACTATGGTTAATCATGTTTCCGGTTTGAAAACGACATAGCTGGTTGAGTGAGTGGCGCACACAGTGTTGCACCTTCTCTGCGTTCACAGCTAACCTCCTCTCTGGTCTGCACCCGCCTGGCTTCTCACATGAGACTCGCATAACCCACCCGGTCCATTCATGTTGCGACCAGTGATCAAGCTGCCACCTGGTCTCGTTAGGCCTGACAGGTGGACCAATCCTGTGCCCCGACGAGAAGATGGACGACCGCACCGAGCGGCTGTAGCGGCACCAGCCGGGTCAATCCTGGCTGAGCATATCCCCTCTCAAAGTCTTCGGCTGGCAAGTGGAATCTTACTGATGACGTCGACGCTTCCTGGGTTCGCCCCCAAGTTTAGTTGAACCCACAGCCGAAATCTCGCGCCGCCACCGCTTCATCTGGCATCTGCTCTCACCTCTGCCAGCTGCCTCAAATCGCCCGCCATGGAAGCCGTCGCCGAGCTCACCGCTCCTGCCTCGACGGCCCATATTCTCTTCGTCACCTTCACCGGGCAGGGCCACCTCAACCCGTTCCTCCGCTTCGCGAAGAGCGTCGCTACAAAGGGGGTCGACGTGACCTTCTCCTCCGTCGCCGACGCCGGCAGCCGGATCCGGGAGGCGACCAAGTCGTCCCCCGCCGCCGCCGCCGCCGCTGACGGGACCTTCATCCCCCTCGGCGCCGGCCGCATACGCTTCGAGTTCTTCTCCGACGGGTGGGAGGTCGGCGACCCGCGGCGCTACGACCTCGACCTTTACATGCCCCAGCTGAGAGACGTGGGATCCAAGGAGGTGGCCGCCCTCATCCGTCGCCAGGCCGATCTCGGCCGGCCCGTCGCCTGCGTCGTCGGCAACCCGTTCATCCCCTGGGTGCTCGGCGTCGCCGCCGGCATGGGCATTCCCCGGGCAGTACTCTGGGTCCAGTCCGCCGCCGTCTTCTCCGCCTACTACCACTACCAAAAGGGCCTCGCCGAATTCCCCTCGGACGCCGGGCAAGACGTCTCCATGGTGCTCCCGGGGGTCCCCACCCTGCGACGGCACGAGGTGCCCTCGTTCCTCCTCCCCGGCAACCCCTACCCCTCCCTCACCGTCTCCATCTTGAACCAGTTCTCGAATATCCAAGAGGCCGACTGGGTCTTCCTCAACACCTTCGAGGAGATCGAGAGCGCTTCCATCGAGGGCATCTCTCAGTACCTCCCGGTCATCCCAGTGGGCCCGCTGGTGGACTTGCCCGTCACCGAAGCCGTGCGGGGGGACCTGTGGAAGGCGGCCGACTGTGTGGGCTGGCTCGACGAGCAGGAACCGGGCTCGGTGGTGTACGCCTCCGTGGGCAGCGTCGTCGTCCTCTCGGCGGAGGTGGTGGTGGAGCTGGCCGAGGGCCTGCGGGGCAGCGGGCAGCCGTTCCTCTGGGTGGTCAGGAACGACGCGAGGGCCATGCTGCCGGAGGGCTTCGAGGAGGAGGTTGCAGGGAGGGGGCTGGTGGTGCAGTGGAGTCCGCAAGAGACCGTCCTCCGCCACCCCTCCACCGCCTGCTTCCTCACGCACTGCGGCTGGAACTCCACTCTCGAGTCTCTTACATCAGGCGTGCCCGCCATAGCTTTCCCCCAGTGGGGAGACCAGGTCACGGACGCCAAGTTCCTCGTGGAGATCTTCGAGATGGGGGTCCATCTGCGACCCCAGCCCGAGCTCCCGTCGTTCACCAGAGAGGACGTCCAGCGGGCCGTAGAGGAGGTTGTTAGGGGCCCGAGGGCGGAGAAGATGCGGGCCAACGCCGCCAGGCTGAAGGAGCTGGCCAATGGGGCGGTGGCCCAAGGGGGTTCCTCCGACCGCAACATACAATTCTTCATGGAAGAGTTCAGATGTCGGAGAGGTCCTTCCCCGGGGAGGATGACGGTGCACGCCCCCGGGGAAGTCAAAGTTGAGACGATCATCCCCCTGCTACCCAAAACCTCCGTCGCTTAGGGATCTGATGTTAAGAGAGTATTTGTCTAATTTACTTTTTGGTAAGGTTTTCATGTAACTACGTGGGTGTCAAGAAACCCAACCTTTCCCAAATCGAAGTATTCCATATTTTTTTCCAATCTCTCCTACCTTACACGCCACGCCACCAGCGCTATTTATGGTGGGTCAGGGGTTGTGGCCGCCTCAGCTGCCTCCTCCAGCCGCTGGATCGTCTTTACCGGCCATGCCTGACTGCGAACCTGATAGAACCCCGGATGGTGGGATAGACTGAAAGACTCCGATTATCGGGTCGATGAATAATCGGGTGATTGGCGCCGCAGGCCCGAGAGAGAGAGAGAGAGAGAGAGAGAGAGAGAGAGAACTGTAGTTCATCACAACTCATAAAAGACAAAGAACGGAATCGGTTCTTCAAGCGGAACAGACTCTCAAGTACCGTTAGAGCGGGTAAAATTACTCCGAATACTTCTTGCCTCCCTCGTTGGTCTGGTGGTGACGGTTATTTAGACGGGTAAAACTATGCGGTGGCTAGCGTTATTTAGACTTCCGTCGTCTTCTGGTAGTGACAGTTGAGGTAAGCAACGGTTTAACTCCGTCGTAAACGTGGCGTGTCTTTGATGAGGCGAGGACCTTATCAATACTCCCTCCTAATCCTTTTACCTTCTCCACAAGATAAAAGTTGGGAAAAGCCCGGAGGAGACCACGAATGGATTCCTACGTTGACTCGGATGTCGACAAATCTTTCCATTGGAATAAGACCTCAAGGCCTTGACGGGAGTGGCGGAGGGCGGAGACCGTGTGCGGAAGGACGTCCCACTAGTTGTCAGAGTCGAGGAGAAGTGGAGGGGCTTGCTGCTGAGGAGGGCCACCCGTTTCTGGTTTTAGCTGCGAGACATGAAAAACCAAGCGAATGTGGGGGAAGGGAGGGAGTTGGAACCGATAAGCGACGGCTCCGATGTGCTCCAGAATCTGGAACGGCCCAAAAAAATGAGGAGCGAGCTTCTCATAGGGCCGTCGGGCCAGTGACTTGAGATGATATGGTCATAGCTGGAGGTAGACCCCGTCGCCGGTTGAATATTTCACGTTGCAACGCTTCCGAACTGCAACGGACTTCATTCTGGCACGAGCTGTTTGAAGATGGGTCTTGAGTTGAGACAAGAGTTCGTCTCTTTCTTGGAGGAGTTGGTAGACGCCATCCGTGCGAGCGGTGGTGGCTTCATACTAGAGGATGGTGGGTCATGCTCGCCCATAAACCAACTGGAATGGGGTGGATTCGGTCGAAATGTTGAAAGTGGTGTTGTAGCACAATTCCGCCCATGCTAGCCAATAGCACCACTGGCGTGGTCGGTCCCCTGCAAAATATCGAAGGTAAGTCTCCAACCCTCTGTTGGCCACTTTGGTCTGACCGTCTGTTTGCGGTGGGTGGTAGTAGCTGGTGTGTTGTAAGGAGGTCCCCTGTAGATGGAACAACTCTTGCCAAAAAAACTTACGAATATCTGGTCCTGATCTGAGAGGAGGAATGCCGGAATAACGTGGAGTTTCACCACATCACGGATGAATACTCGTGCTACCTCTGCGATAGTAAATAGGTGTTTGAGAGTTAAAAAAGTGGGCGTATTTGTTGAGGCGATTGACAACAATAAGGATCGTGTTGAAGTCGTCCAAGTTGGGAAGGTCTTTAATCAAAATCCATCGACATGCCTTCCTAAATCTTGTCGGGGATAGGCAGTGACTATAAGAGGCCAAGGGGGAAGAGGGCTTCCGTCTTGTTGCACTGATAGATGGAGCAGTTGCAGACATATTCCTTGACGCGGGCCTTCATTCCGCACCAAAACATATTCTAGCAAATTCTCTTGTTGGTCCGAAGGAACCCGGAATGCCTCCGATTGCAAAGGTCGTGAAACTCCTGCAAGATCTTCGGAATGAGTGAGAAATCTCCTGAAAGCACGGGTCAACCTTTATGAAGCAACAAGCCATGGTGGAGAATGTACTTGGGCCAGCGAGCTGGGTGGAGTGGAAGGTCTCGGATGATGAGGCTGAGGGCTTCGTCCCCTAGATATTCTTGTTGAATATGAGCGAAATCTAGGAGTGTTGGTGGAGAGCTCCATAGGTAGGAGCATCGATGCCTCTAGGCGAGAGAGGGCATCATATTCTTGTTGAATATGAGCGAAATCTAGGAGTGTTGGTGGAGAGCTCCATAGGTAGGAGCATCGATGCCTCTAGGCGAGAGAGGGCATCATATTCTTGTTGAATATGAGCGAAGTCCATCAAGCATGCGAAAAGCCGTCTTCAGGATGTCTTCACAGAGAACTTTGATCTAATGGTACCTCGAGCGGAGGTATAGTTGCGAGAAGTTCCTAGAATCGTGTAATTCATTGAGGAGCTCGTCAATGATGGGTATGGGGAAGTGGTCAGGAATTGTCACCTTATTGATTGCCCGGTAGTCCACGCATAAACGTCATTCGCCCGTCTTCTTCTTGACGAGAATGGCCAGGCTGGAGAAGGGGCTCATAGACGGTTGCATGATCTCGGCCTGCAGCATCTCGCCAACTAAGTACTCGATTTCCTCTTTCTAGAAGTGAGGGTATCGGAACGGTTGTGCCTTGACTAGCCCAATATCCGGTACCAAGTTGATGGCATGCTCCACCTCCCGCTTACGCAGCAGGCCGAGTCGCTCCATGAAAACCTGGGAGAACTGGTGGCGGAGGGTAGGTAGTAGACCGAAGGTGTCAGGAGTGGAAGAGACTTGACCATGTGTGTAGGTCGAGAGTTGAAAGAGCTCAACAACAAGGTCTCTCTGCCGTGCCACCGTGGAGAGTGCCTTGAATGAGATGTTGTGTGCTGGGGACGGTTGCTCGATGCAGATCGTGGCTCGTTCCTGGCCCGTCAGAAAGGAAAGCTCCCAGGTGGTGAAGTCTACCTCGATTTTTTCTAGGCCTGCATCCAGTGCATGCTGAGAATAACATCCACGGGGGGAAGTCCGAGGAAGTTCTCAGTGATGACGACGTCTTGGATCGGGAGAGTGCCGTTGCGGCAAATATGGGTGCTTGTCGTCTTGTCTCTGGTGCCGGTGGTCACCACAAACCCGTAGTGGGGAGTATGGGTAGTTGGAGCCATTATACGACCAGAAGTGAGATGAAGTTGTGGGAGGCACCCATGTCCATGAGGATGGATACCGGGTGGTCTTGGATGGATCCAGTAAATTTGAGGGTTCCAGAGGAGATGTCCTTGGTGAGCGCATGGAGGGTGACCTCTGAGGTAGCCAGAACCTCGGCTGCGGTAGCTGGGTCTGTGTACGTTGTTATGGATGCATCAGTGGTGAGCGCCTGAGGTGGGTCATCGGTGGAGTCCTCCTGGACCAACAGCACCTGCAACTCTTTTTGACAGTGGTGATCGGGAGTGCATTTGTCATTGCAAGCGAAGCACAATCCCTTGGCTCACTGCGCTTCATACTCTAACTGCGCTAGATGGACGCGCCGCTGCACGGGTGGCCCCTCGTCCTGCAGGGGGCTGCCCTTGTCCAGTGGGTGTCGAGGGTAGTTGTCACGCCGGGGGGAAGGATCCTTGTGGAGCTTTGCGGTCAGATCTGAAGGGCCCCAAGTTAGCCGGCGTGGACAATCAAGGGTGCCTCCCCATAGATGGTTGAGCTTAGCTTCCAATTTATGGGCCAAACCCATGAGTGCATCGAGGCCAACAAGGGCCAGAATGGTGACTTCTCGTTGAGTATCATCTTTGAGCCCGATCAAGAAGGTATCTTCGAGAACTTGCTCCTGTAAATCACCGACGACGGATGCCATGAGCTCGAACGCATCACGGTATTCCACGATGGAGCCTTCTTGCCAAATTTTCAGAAAACGCTACCCCAGCGAGCCTAAATGTTCGACCCAAATCGGGGGAGGAGACACTGACAGAGGTCTTCACAATGGTGGAAGGCTTGGCGTTGGTGGGTCCAGCGAAACTAGACAAGGGCCGTGCCTTCCAGATATATGCCGATAATTGGTAACTTGGCGGTGGGAGCGGTTCTAGAGATAGAGAAAAACATGTTCAACTCGAAAGACCCACCCCTCTGGATCTTCTCCATTGAAATGGGAATCTCCAAGACGTCTTCCCTGCCATTGATCCGAGCTATCGTCAGACAAAACGGAGGCGCCCCCGAAGGCGAAAAGCCTGCCCTGAGCGTCGAAGTCAACACCGGTGCCTCGTGGAGGTACGGCGGCATCGAAGCTTGTTTCGCCGTGGTCCCAAACGTCCTCAAGACGTTTGTCTCGATCTTGTAGCTGTTGTAGAATCTAAGCAAGTTGGGAATGAAGCTCGATATCCCGAGCAGCACTCTCTTGGTGGACAATTGAGACTTTTTAGCAGAGAACCGAGACATCTTTGTGGATACTGCCTAAGTCCGCTTCGAGATGCTCTAACCGTTTGTCAATTGGCTTTGATCCCATTTTCTCTGATACCAAATGATAGAACCCCCAGAGTGGTGGGATAGACTGAAAGACTCCAGTTATCCTGAAAGGGAGGAATAATCGGGTGATTGATGCCACAAGCCCGAGAGAGAGGGAGACGGGCTGATTGACGAAGTGACAACGTCACTACATTGTAGCCGATCGGAAGGTTCTCCTGCACCGTTGGATCTTAACTCAAGATAGAAAGGGGGATGTCACGCTGAGGTGGAAGAACTGTATCCCATCATTACTCATAAAGACAAGGGAAAGAGTAGAGGGGGAACACAACAGAGAAAGGGAAGATAACGACCCTTCGAGTGAGTCAGACTCTCAAAGTACCTTTAGATTGGGTAAAACGCCTCTGAATACTTCCTGCCTCCCTCGTTGATCTTACGGGAAGCTATATAGACGTATTATTAGAATGGGAATCAGTTCGCTGTCTTCGTGCTGCTTCGTCTTCTGGTGGTGACGGTTGAGGTATGCAGCGGCTAGCACTGTTTCGAATTCCACTGCTTCGTCTTCTGGTGGCGATGGTTGAGGTAGGCGACAGTTTAACTCCGTCGTCTACATGGCGTATTTGATGAGGCAAGGACCTTATCAGAACCACCCATGGAGTTTCTCCCTCGAGATAGCACTCGCCAACACGCTTCTGTCTTCTCGGCTCGTTCGTGGAAAGACGACGAGCTGTGTCATCTGGGAAGGGCAACTGACGTTTATCATTTGAGGGCAAGAATTCAGTGATGCGGATGTCTCGACGAAACATTCCGAGGAAATTATAGGTCCCTGCAGTTATGTCAATGGAAAATATCTCGAACACACTCCCATCTACTCCTTTTTGGATTTTTTCTCTGCTCGAGTGGGAATTTATAGTTACCGCACGAAAGCATTTACGTGCTTGGGATGAGGCAGACGGCATGAAATCCAGGCCAGTAACTTTCACTGCCACTGTCCTCTACTGGTAAGGCTCGCGAGCACACGCCACTGTCGTCTTCTCGTGACGTCTACTGGTAAGGCTCTCGTTACCCCTTTACCTTCTACTGCTGTCTGTCGCGCCCCAGAGGGTTAAAGCTCCAAATACCTTTGTGACACCACTAGAATCTGCCGAATCTGCAGGTCGTGTGCCGAATCTGCTTGACGGATCTGGCAGACGGAGGTGAGATCCTGAAACTGCAGTGTAGCTGCAAGGGCGACCTCGCCATGCCCCACCGAGAATGCGCGGTGAAATGGTTCACCGTGAAGTGCAAAAAGAACTGTGAAGTCTGCGAGGAGGACCAGAATCTGCCGGTCATCCTCCTGCGTCTGCAGAACATCCCTTCGGCCGGTGCAGTTCCCAGCAGTGATCCTCAGACCGCGGCGAGCAGCCGCTGGCAAGTACCAGGAACCTTTCTTTTTAAAACCTTCATACTTACACGATCTAGTCTAGCATTTTAATAGGTAGAATATTTCGGGAGAGAGAAGAGAGTATGGATGACAGAGACGGAGATTGGTCATTTCCTGGGCTCGTCCACAGGCTAACGGTTCTTTCGCAGGATGTGGACTCACCTCCCCATTCTCTTCGTCGTGAGGTTGGCCGTGTACTCTTGCCTGCTCGAAATTCTGGTAAGGCACTTGCGTTCTACTTCCATTTTCCTGCGCCGAGTTTTTTCCTAAGGAGATCCTTGAAACGGGGGCTCTCACCCGTTCCCGGCAGGTGGCGCGCAACGGCTTGTTGACGACGGTCGTATCGCTGCCGTGCTCCTGTCTGCTGGGTTTCCTGTCGTCCTTCACGTCGGCCGCCATGGGTGAAGCTCAATCACCTCGCCTCGCCGCATTCTTGTCCATTCATCCATTCATTTCATGCATGCATGCATTCATTTGCTGGGCCAGATAACTCAACCCTTTTTGCTTGATGCAGGGAGCACGGCCCCAGCGATGTATCTCTACGCCACCGTCCAGTTTGGGATGGTGGTCCACTTCGTGTATATTTTCTTCTCCCTGGTAAGGCTTGTATGATGAACCACCTCCCTCCCCTCTCCATCTCGCCGACGTTCTTCGGGGGCCTTCTCCTCCTCCCCCCGCGCCACCCCCCCGGGTCTGAAGTCCGTCTCCCCCAGGATGGAAGGCCCACGTGTGGCACGTTTCCGGAGGTCACCGACGTGATGCAGTTTCTCGCTGTCACCGACATGTTGAGTTGACCATTCTCCTCTCTCCTACGTACGGATCATGTGAATATTATTACGCGAGTTCATAGTGAACTTTTGCTATAACACAAACAACTCTCTATAAAACGAAGATAGCTACTCTTTAAAAGGAGGTCGTCTCTCAGATATGAACATACTTGTGCCAAATTGTACTCCCACAAAGGTGAAGGTTGCTTGAGCATGGGCATGGCTACAATTGAGGTCAACAAGGGTGGTTGAACCAAGTCTACTTAGGGGCCACCCTAGACGCTCACCTCGGTGCTCGCTTTCTCTATTATTCTCACCTCTCTTACATGAGAGCTCTCTCTCTCTCTCTCTCTCTCCCACAATAATTACTTACCACTCACTCCTTGTGAGATAGAAAACACTAAGGCCGAAGGTATGCACTAGTGTGTGTGCATGAGTGTGGCCAAGTGTGCGTAGCTGTACATGAGTATGTGTGTGTGTGCGTGTGTGTGTGTGTGTGTGTGTGTGTGTGTGTGTGTGTGTGTGTGTGTGTGTGTGTGTGTGTGTGTGTGTGTGTGTGTGTGTGTGTGTGTGTGTGTGTCAGAGAGAGAGAAAGTGAGGCTGAGTGACTCAATTAGTAACAAAGAAGATAACAAGATTTGGGGCTTGAATCTACAAAGTTCTTATATTATAGAAGAAACAAATATTTGACTTCATTAATTCAGTGTTAATTATTTGGGGCTTGAATTCTTAGGTTAGTAATTTTCAATGTAATATTTCATTTTTATCTTTATATTATTAATTAATAACCTCAAAATCCTTAAAGCCAGTAATGGATGCACATAAATGCATTAGATTGTTAATTAAATAGAGAAGTTAAAAGTACTAGTCAAAGAACAAACAATGGTAAATAAAAATGATACACAAATTATAAGTTTTTTAAGGGTGGGGAGCCAAAAGTGAGGAATTAGTCATTTTAAAAATAATGAGTGATTTATGTTATCCTAATTAGTCACCATTGAGCAAAGGTTTGAAATAACATAATACACCAACCTTATTCTACATTCTAATGAGCATGCATGCCTTCAAATTTTGCCAACATTTTGTCATATACTATTGATATCGAGACCTCAACTAACATCTGATAAACTTCATGACTCTAAGAAGTCAAACCAAATTAGCATTCAGTCAATCATTTCTTCATTTAATGATTTAAGTTGACTCAAGTGTTACTCAAAATAGTTTGTGTTCATTTACGACTCTAGGGGTTCAAATCAACTTAGGCCCAACTAAACTCTTCTAGATTGACAATTGATTTTTTTCAAAGAAATTCATCAAAGAAAGCAAAAGTGACAAAGAATGCAGCAAATAATTCTTACAATTCTACTAAGTAGCTTCATTGAGTGAGTGCAAATAGGTGGGCTTGGAGATGTAAAAGCTTATTTTTGTTATGTAATAGTTTACAGTTCCTGAAAATGACATGTAAGTATACTTTCTAAGGTGTTAAATCTGCTCACAAATATTAGATGGGTGAATCTTTTCATATGATATTAGAAAAATGGGTTCCAACTATCTTTCAAATGACCATTTTCAAAATGCTGAACTTTTAGCTTAGCACTTTGTAGCTCCAATAATACCAATTTTTACTCCAGATCAAGTGAGTTTACTCATGATGGAAATAGGATTTTTCTGATATTTATATTTAGTCAATTGGTTGGCATGCCTTAGACTTGCATGTGCTCAAAGACAAGTTAAAAAATGGAATTCGACCCAAACCCCATATGAAGTAATTAGCCTTGCTCAGCCTATGAATATATTGAAAGAGAGATCCTATATTGACTCATGAACAGTCATGATATAGATGCAAAGAATGAGAAACAAGCTCAAGTAGGTTAACCCCTATAAGGACTATCATTTCAAGGCTCAATTTAGAGTCTCGCGACATGAAAATTGGTGGCTTTGCTCACATTCTGTAAGAGGAGAATGGTTAGAAATCAAAAGAACTTAAGATGAGTTGTACTTTTCAATAAATCTTGAGAACACCTAAAGGTGAGTTGGGTCTTGACTTGCCTGAATTAGATGATAGAGGTAAAGGAGTGATTCGGAGCTGATGAGGACCATAAAGACCAATATGGTCCCTAATAAAATGACATCTAGGGTTGTTGAAATGCCCCAAAATTAGTTGACTAAAAATATTTATAATCCTAAATTTACTCAAATTGAAACACTAAAATAAGTAAGTGACATGGTAAGCTCAAGGTCGATCCATAGGGAATGATAATTAGGCAATAGGTAGCTACTATTCTATTTAATTGATATATTAGGACAAAATGAATGCTAAGAAGAAGAAGCGATAGTAAATAAGAATAATATTTACCATCAAAAAGAGAGAAAAAAAATTCAAAGATGTAGGAGATGATGGAGAAGGAAAACACTCATGGAAAAATTGTAATACAAAATCGAAAACGTAACTATATCTATTTCAAACTTATGAATACTTAGGTAGTTGTTCACACACGGAACACATTGACTTGGAAAAACTTACCTCGGGCCTCTATATGTCACCAAGGCCAAGTGATTTCTTCTTTATGTATGATTCTCTGATGATTTAGATTGTAAATCAACACGTGAATCAAACTAAAATACATTTAAATCAATGCAAAATCTTAATGTTGTTTCATTCGAGCTGACTAAATGTTGGGACATTCAAAGTTAGATTTTTTGCTCATAAATGGTGGCTTAAATGTGTAAGGGTTACACAAGGGTATGAGATTACACGTGTAAAGCGGATCTATGCCTTCTCATGAGCTAGTTCATCCTAAATCATCTAATCTAGGACTATGAATGAGTGAGAGGCTTTTTGTCTTTTTAGCCGATATGAGATGAAGTGAGAGTCAATTTCCTCTCAAGCTGATATGAAGCATTAGATCTAGACATCTTGTCGTAGTAGGATATTTCTTAATGTTTAGATCTACTGCACCCTTGATAAGTATGCTCCATCTGGTGTCGATCGTTGAGACACTCTCAATGATTTCTGATCTCCTAATTTGGTGATGTCGTGTGTCATTGATTCTGCCCTTGGTTCCATTGCATCATCTCTAGATAAAATTTCATCTGTAAAAGTGTAGGATCAACTTCTGAAAAAATCATAAAAAAATATCAAAAATTATTAGAATTATCTCATATTAGAAAAAAAATCAATTATGACGACAAAGCTGTGAAAAAATTCTGAAAAATTCTCTAAAATATTAAACTTCATAAAAAAATCAAATAAATAATATATGTATATGTTTTAATATGATAACATGTACATCATAAGATTTAAATTCTTTAATAGGATAATTCTTAATCTTTTCACATGATAATCAGCATGTTATTAGTCACTACATATTGAACCTTAGCTGAGAAGACTCTCTCTCTCTCTCTCTCTCTCTATCTATCTCTATCTCTTTGTATATCTATCTATTTATCTATCTATCAATGTATCCCTCTCTCTCTTTCTCTCTCTATTTATCTATCTATCTCCCTTGTCTCTCAATCTGCCTCCCTTCCTCTAACATGTCTACGAGTGATCTGATTTTCTATAAATTTTCATAGGCTGGTTGTATTTTTTAAATTATGCGTTTATATAAAAGGTGCAGATTTTGTGTCACCCAATATCCCTGCGATAAAAAATGTCACTTTTTACTGTCGTCTCCGCATTGACCGGGGGTCTTGGTTCCGTGCACAGTCGTTCCTCATTGGCCTCCACAATTGGCGGTGATAAATGTCAGTTGACACCTGATTGTATTTTGTGAATTAAATAATGTATAACCAACACCATTTTGAGTTTTGCTACATAAATAATAATTATTATTTTATTGGATCATTGATTATCTGCCAGAAGCCAGCTGGATCAATCGTAAAGGCCAAATACTATTGACGAGGCCCATTTAGAGTATTACTAGCATTAAAAAAACGTGCCCCATCATAGCCCGCCCTCGTCACCAGAGACACGTCTCCGCTCCAGGCAGCGTCGCTGACACCCGTGGTGTTAGAGATTCCGTCGCCGTCTTCCTCGGTAGAATATCACCATCGTACAAGGCCATAGAGGCCAAATACTACTGACGAGGCCCGTTTACTACGCTACTCAGCACTGTAAAAATGTGCCCAATAATCTCCCCCCCCCCCTTAACGTCACCCGAGGGGCCTCCGGAGAGAGGCACGTCTCCGCTCCAGAGCCACAGATATACCGGACGGAGAGGAGGAAGAAAAAAAAGAAGCAGAAGAAGAAGAAGAAGTGGTCGAGCGTCAGCCCCGGGCCATTTCCGCGCGCCAGCTGTCGAGAAGATGGACGACCGCGCCGAGAGGCTGTGGCGGCACCAGCCGGGGCAAACATGGCTGAGTTTATCCCCTTCCAACTTCTTTGGCTCACAAATGGACTCTATAATTTCCTTCCACCTGGAGATGAGGCCCGAGTTTGGTTTATCACATGGCTGAAATCTCCCCACGCCACCGCTGGGCAGGCTTCATTTCATCCGCTTCTATAACATACAGATCTGTCCGGGACGCCACTGTTTCATCTTACACCTACTCTCGCCTCTGCCAGCTGCCCCAGATCGCCGGCCATGGGAGCCGTAGCCGAGCTCACAACTCCTGCCTCGACGGCCCATATTCTCTTCGTCACCTTCACCGGGCAGGGCCACCTCAACCCGTTCCTCCGCTTCGCGAAGAGCGTCGCCGCAAAGGGGGCCGACGTGACCTTCTCCTCCGTCGCCGACGCCGGCAGCCGGATCCGGGAGGCGACCAAGTCGTCCCCCGCCGCCGCCGCCGCCGCTGACGGGACCTTCATCCCCTTCGGCGCCGGCCGCATACGCTTCGAGTTCTTCTCCGACGGGTGGGAGGTCGGCGACCCGCGGCGCTACGACCTCGACCTTTACATGCCCCAGCTGAGAGACGTGGGATCCAAGGAGGTGGCCGCCCTCATCCGTCGTCAGGCCGATCTCGGCCGGCCCGTCGCCTGCGTCGTCGGCAACCCGTTCATCCCCTGGGTGCTCGGCGTCGCCGCCGGCATGGGCATTCCCCGGGCAGTACTCTGGGTCCAGTCCGCCGCCGTCTTCTCCGCCTACTACCACTACCAAAAGGGCCTCGCCGAATTCCCCTCGGACGCCGGGCAAGACGTCTCCATGGTGCTCCCGGGGGTCCCCACCCTGCGACGGCACGAGGTGCCCTCGTTCCTCCTCCCCGGCAACCCCTACCCCTCCCTCACCGTCTCCATCTTGAACCAGTTCTCGAATATCCAAGAGGCCGACTGGGTCTTCCTCAACACCTTCGAGGAGATCGAGAGCGCTTCCATCGAGGGCATCTCTCAGTACCTCCCGGTCATCCCAGTGGGCCCGCTGGTGGACTTGCCCGTCACCGAAGCCGTGCGGGGGGACCTGTGGAAGGCGGCCGACTGTGTGGGCTGGCTCGACGAGCAGGAACCGGGCTCGGTGGTGTACGCCTCCGTGGGCAGCGTCGTCGTCCTCTCGGCGGAGGTGGTGGTGGAGCTGGCCGAGGGCCTGCGGGGCAGCGGGCAGCCGTTCCTCTGGGTGGTCAGGAATGACGCGAGGGCCATGCTGCCGGAGGGCTTCGAGGAGGAGGTTGCAGGGAGGGGGCTGGTGGTGCAGTGGAGTCCGCAGGAGACCGTCCTCCGCCACCCCTCCACCGCCTGCTTCCTCACGCACTGCGGCTGGAACTCCACTCTCGAGTCTCTTACATCAGGCGTGCCCGCCATAGCTTTCCCCCAGTGGGGAGACCAGGTCACGGACGCCAAGTTCCTCGTGGAGATCTTCGAGATGGGGGTCCATCTGCGACCCCAGCCCGAGCTCCCGTCGTTCACCAGAGAGGACGTCCAGCGGGCCGTAGAGGAGGTTGTTAGGGGCCCGAGGGCGGAGAAGATGCGGGCCAACGCCGCCAGGCTGAAGGAGCTGGCCAATGGGGCGGTGGCCCAAGGGGGTTCCTCCGACCGCAACATACAGTTCTTCATGGAAGAGGTCAGACGTCGGGGAGGTCCTTCTGCCGGGAGGATGACGGTGCACGCCCCCGAGGGAGTCAGAGTTGAGACGATCAACCCCCTTCTCGCCAAAACCTCCGTCTCCTAGGGATCTCTCTATCTCTCTCTCTCTCTCTCTCTCCGGCACGGAACCGAGAGACGTGGGTTCGTGGAAAGAGTACGACCTGTGTTATCTGGGAAGGGTTTCTAATGTTTATCATTGGGTTGTTGTAAGAGTCGAATGATGTGGATGCGTCAACAGAACATTCCGCGGATATTATGGGCACTCGCAGTTATGTCAATGGAAAAATCTCGATACGCTTCCATCCACTCGTTTTGTGATCTTTTCACAGACTTCAGGAATTTGCGGTCAGATGAGGAATTTCTGTGCTTCAGGTGAGACGGACGACGTGAAGTTAAGTCCGTTGACTTAGTGGCATTGTCGTTGCCCAAGGGGACGCCACTTTCGTCTTTTCGTGACGTTTACTAGCTCTCTTTATTCCTCCATCTTCCACAATGGTGCGCCATCTGCAAACAAGGCGCCGAGGGTAGTTATGTAATCTTAAGAGATTGTTATTTAATGTGGTCTGCGTTTTCAGGCGGCGCATTAAATGACTGGTCGGGACGATTTTCACACAAGGGAACGGACAGGAACGGCCGTTTGTCGCGTACGGGGCGGAATGGGAACAGTATTATAACGGGGAAATCGCTTTGGACGAACGGAGGAAACGGCCCCAGGGGAGACCTGGGATTGGTGATTACTTTGAGGACTAATATCCGGGGTTGGTGTTCCTTAACAAGAGTTATCCTATATTCTTTTCTCATACAATAGAGGTTTCGTCGTTAGAGTTGATTCTTCTCCTCTCTCCTAATTCTCGTCGTACGTATCGTGTGAGCATTGCTAAGTCTATAGTGGGTTTTTGCTCTAACAGGGACAACTCTATAAGACGGAGGGATCTACACCCTCAGAAGAGGTTGTCTCTCAGTGAGTTTGTTAATGAAAATCAGGAACACACTTGTGCCAAAGTGTACTTCCACAAAAGTGAAGTCTGCTCCAGAATGGACATAGTTACAACTTAGGTCGACAAGGATGGTTAAACAAGTATGCTTCGAGGCCACCCTCCGACCCTCATCTCGGCGCTCTCTTTCTCTCTCTCTCTCTCTCTCCCGCTATAATAATACCTTCCTCTCACTCATTGCGATACAGGAAAGACTAAGGTCGAGATATGGTGTGCACTTGTGTGTGTGCGTGAGTGTGCGTGTGTGTGTGAGTGAGTAAGTGAGTGAGTGAGAGAGAGAGAGAGAGAGAGAGGTTGAGGTGGGCTAGTAGAAAGGGCAGGGAGAGAGTGGCTGCATTGATGTAGTACGAAGATGAGTAGATAAAGCACAGACGAGAGAAGAGAGTATGAGATGACAAAGAGAAAATAACAGGGTGTGATAGCGATAGGAATTAGAAAACTAGAGTTTTGCCATTTAGTAACAAAATGCATTGAAATGTAAAAGAGTAATCTTCTATTATTAAAATTATGCCATGAAAAAAAAATTGTGCAATTCTTTTTAAAAATCCTTAGGATATCACATGTGGATTTTGGATTGACTATCAAGTCCATCTCCTTTAACTTTTCAACAAGGGAGTTGAACTACAAGTACACTAGCTTATTAAAACGACTTTACACTTAATAGTGATAAAGACACCTTGTAAGACCGAAATACTAGTTTTACATTTATGAGGTCATATTCTAACTGACGAGAAACATATTAACTCAGTTGAATTTTATTGCTTTCAAGTTTATGTATTTTCCTTTGTTTGTATAAATTGAGTCCACTCACTTGGTAAGATAAAGTTTAACAATTGTAAAGACCAAGTTGCAATTAAGGGAGTGACTTGGCACAATGAAGAGGACTAAATGCTTTCAATGACCTAAAAGTGAGTCAACTCACTTTAAAAAAAAGGACTTCAAATCCACTAGGAAATGTTTTTTGGCTAGAGTGGCCTTAAATATCCTATAAAGTTTCCCTCATGACAAAGGCACAAAAGATAAATAAATTGATGGAATTATGCTAAAAAGCCTTTATATATGTAATGCACATGAGTGATCTCTTGGATGTGTGCTTGAAATTAATTAAATATAAATTCAATAATAATACACAGTACTAATATCAAATATCCAGAAGATACTTCAAATAATGCATTTTATTGTCATGTTCTAAATCTTGAAATTTTGATAAATTTGCTCCTTGAAATCATTACTTTATTCACTACTTTTCAAATATCAATAATTAAGAAAATTACAACTAAATAAAAATAATATTTTGCTATCAAATTTAATAGAAATATTTGAAACAAAATATTCATATGAAAGCTTATTTAGTATGCTAATTGTCCATTTTTCGAAATTATTACTTATGGAAACAAGCTCCAATGGGCAATAACTACCTTGGGTCAACACAAATTGGGTTGACTTGATTGGGGTGACACTATGTTGACAAATAAAATGTTAGAGTGTGCATAATTTTCCTTATATAGACTAAGCCCACCTACCAAGGGTTCCTACTAGTCTCCCTTATAATGATTTTAAATATTGAAATATTTTAAATATTTTATTATGACATAACACATGAAGAACATTTTAGATATTTTTATGAATATTAAAATTCATAAATATGATCCTAGGTATTTTTTGGGTAATCTAAGATGATAGATATATTTTGATGTTTATATTTGATTACAAATTACCAAATAATAGTGTGAAATATCTTTCATTGAATTCTAATTTAACTAAGGATAAATAAGAAGAAAAAGATTTATTATTAAGCCTAAAAATAAAAATTAATATATTAAATTAATGGGCTTGAATTCAATAAGCTGATTGGACCTAGATTTAAAGTGTATTGGATCCAAGAAAAATGGGTCCCATTTAAGCCATATTTAAAAAACCAACTTGATGATCCACCTAATAAAGATCCCAAAATAAAATGATACTAACACCAAAAAAAAATTATATCTCCCTTTTGTTCTTTACTATTTAACTCTCTCTCTCTCTCTCTCTCTCTCTCTCTCTCTCTCTCTCTCTCTCTCTCTCTCTCTCTCTCTCTCTCTCTCTCTCTCTCTCTCTCTCTCTCTCCCTCTCTCTCTCGCTCGTTCTATCTCTCTCGGTCGCTCGCTCACTCTCTTAGTAGAATATTATCATATTAAATGGTCTCTTAGAGATATATAACAGCAAAATAAAAACCACTGACAGACACAACATAAAACCACCCTTAGACGGAGGGGGAAATAGATTGGAAGTTGTGATGAGGAATCATGGACGAACAAAGAGAACAGATGGAAGATTGGGGTGAAGAATCAAAGGGAAAATGATGAAGAAATGGAGGAAAAATAAGAAATAATAGCTGAATAAGCAAAAATATACAAGATTACGATGGAAAATTAATGAGAAATCATAAAAAAAATGGATAATTGAAGAAGAAAAGACAAAAGATCATGACAAGAAACAATAAAATCTCGTAATGGAAAGGAAGGATGAGAAGGCTTTTGAACGTCACCAGAAAAATATGAGTTTCAACAATGAGAAAACCTACTACTTTTCACCTGAAAAATAAGGTTTTAATGACATAAAATCTTAGATATTTTCTAGAAGAAAGGAGGAGAGCAATAAAAAAAACAACATAAATTATTCTCATAAAAAAAGATGAAGAAGAAATCATTCACACTGCTCACCATGATCACTAAATATATTTTATGGGTTTATCACCCTATGTCATACACCAAGACACTAGTTTAACTTTATGTATCTTGTTATCAGCACTCTCCTAGAATGACTTCATACATGAAATAATAATATAAAAGCTTATTACTAATTTAATGCTTCGAAGATGGGCTTCCTTGACTTTGCTAATGCTTTAATGGTAGAGAAAACTTAAGCTTGTAGAGAGGTTGCTTTTGGAGCACAACTTTAATGATCCGTTTCTGAATATGTGTGAGGATTTCATTTGGTTTTAGGTGTTTTTAAAAATATTTTGTGAAGAGTTATTTAAAGAGCCTTAAGTCTTGACTATTTGGATTTCAATTTTTGAGATTTGATGGATCAAAATTTGCATGGGTTAACCTACAAACAAATGATGTAGTTAAGTTGTTGATTTAACCAACTATTTAGCCTAGGAAATAATTTTATGACATGTCATTGATCTTTTGATATGCTAGTATACAAGAACTTTGTTAGAGATCTTTTGACACAAGTCAAATCTTCTTTTATGTCTCATGTTTTAGATTTGCTTGGGAAAATCTTATTCTCCTTTCTCTTCATATGGTGTTTGACTTTTGTTGAGTCAACACATGAGTTGAGACATATGCTAACACACTTTTTTTTTTCATTAGCTTTAGATATGTAGGCCAATGTCTCTTAAGTTCACACACTTTCTCGAACTTTGGATGGGGCCAACACAGCTTTTCTAGCTTAACTCATTTTCTCATTTTTCAAGTGTTGACACAGTTTCTCTCTTCTTTACTTTCCTTTTAAAAACTCCTCTATTCACTCTAATTTCTTTCATATGTATTTTTTTCTCATCTTTTGTCTTCATATGATGCCTAAAAAGTATTTTTCCACAACAAAATAAATTGAATCGAATGATTTAGATAATGATTCTTAGGTTAGGAAATTTCAAATAAATTGAACATATTTCAAAGTAATTTTTCATTTTATCTTTATGAGATTAATTAATAACATCAAAATCCTTAAAGCCAAGAATGGACACACATGAATGCATTAGGTTGTTAATTAAATAGAGAATTTAAAAGTAATAGTCAAAGAATAAAAGTTTATAAAATAAAAATGATACACAAATTATAGATCTGAGGATGGGGAGCCAAAAAAGTGAAGAAGTAGTCTTTTCCAAAAATGATGAGTGATTTTTATTTCTGTAATTAGTCATCATTGAGCAAAGGTTTGAAATCATATATAGTGGAAATAGTGGAAATATAGGTGTCCTTGATTTTGACATATATAGTGGAAATTTTATTTATGAATTATTCTTTAATTAGTTATGACATAATTCTTAAAATCATCTATATGCATCATGATTATTTTCATCACAAAATAAACATTATTAGCAAACATTCAAATTATATATATTGATCGTATGACTAACAACAAATTTAAATAATTATTCCTTTTAGATACATATCTATATCAAAATAATGTAACTTAATATCTTCAAAATATGTGTAACATTACATGTGTCAACATGCGTGACAAAGTACCACATATATTCTAGAAAAATAAAGTCACGAGTAAGATTCGAATGTGGACTTGAGCACTATAAAGATAGAATCATTAATACTGAAAATATTTGAAAATCAAAGACAAAATCTCAAATATAAGATTTGAACTTAGGAAGTAACCTTTGCAAAAATGGAAAAAATACATCTAAAATATTTAAACCTTTAAATGGGTGGAACTTGAAACTAAGAGTACTATAGTGACAATGTGGAAAGATGGTCAAAATATTCATAAAAAAAATATATGACTAGTGATTGAAGCAAGACTCGAATCATGATACATATATAATTGAGCTAAATCATTTGCACGAAGAAAATAAGAAATAGAGCAATCATCACCATGTAATATGCACGGTGACTTGTTTGAGTCCTATGTAGAGAAAATAACAAAGTAGAAACAACCAAGCTTCAACCAAGTATCAAGAACAAGATCTTCTATTGAAGTAACATAAATTTTTAGATAGAATCTTCAATGACCTTTTATGAGGGGCATGCATGTTCCGAAACAAACAAAGTCTCAAGGTTAGCTTCACACATTTTAGATGGTAACACTTTAACAAAGTTTGTGGACATAATGATAAGATCAACAACAAAGACATGTTGATCAATTAAAAATCTCCAAACATAATATCAAAAATGACATACTTATGAGTTGAAAGATCTAAGTAGAAGTATGACTAAAGGTTAGAAGAACAAATTCTAGATGGTAACTTATTAGCAAAAGACTTGGATTAAATACAAGCCAAATGATATCTTTTGAGTAAGACCCTAAAAAAAGAAATATATCTAGACAATATATCATAGATAACCCTCAGTCTAATAGAAAATTTTAGAATTAAAAAATAGTTAACAAAGTAATGAGAAAATATTCACATTAATATGACTATTTTCAAATGTTGAAAAGACATGGATCTATTAGAGTATAAAGAGTATGGGCTGAAAACAGACAAGGTCAATGTTGAACAAAAAAATATTCATCCATATCACTCACACAATCTTAAGAAGAAGATTCACTCAACTATTTACAACAAAACGACCATGCATTTTAAAGAAAAATCTAAAATTTCAGCTTACTCAATTATTTGTGACATTTGACAAATCAAATAACCAAGTTAAATGTTATCTCTCTCCATCATTCTCTAAGACCACTTAAGAGGTGAGTAGAGAAAGGATAAGATTAAAACATGAGGTTGTAAGAGTCAATATTGATATGTGGAGGATGTTGACTTAAGCAAGTGTCAGTCAATATATACTTGTGATGAGTGAGATATCGATAGAGATCAAATCATATTATTTGGGAGAGTTGAGCACGTGAAGTCAATTGTATTTTAAGAGAAGAATAACAAAAATTTGGTAGGAAGATCATTTGATACTAAATGTATCACAAGAAAGAGTGAATTAATATAAAAATTTATAAGTCTATCATAATTATAAGAGAAAGAAAGAGATAATGACTCAATGGCAAAAATAAGAGACTTAAATGAATTTTCATATAAATTGATAAATTATGTTAGAATGTGTGTCGACACATATACATATAGATAGAACACTAAAATATATCAAAAAAATATAAGAGATCAATTCACCCCCCTTTTTGAGACTTAATTTAGTCACATCAAACCTAACACAATCCTTATTGTACATTCTAATGAGCATGCCTTCAAATTTTGTCAACATTTGGTCATAAAACTATCAAATATCAATGCCCTAATTAAAATTTGATTGACTTCATAATTCTAAGTCAGACCAAATTAGCATCCAACCAATCATTTCTATATTTAATGCTTTATGTTGATTTAAGTGTTCCTCAAAATAGTTTGTGTACATTTACGACTCAAGGAGGTCAAATCAACTTAGGCCCAACTAACTCTTAATAGATTGACAATTTAATTTATTCAAAGAAATTCATTGAGGGGGGAAAAGTAACAAAGAATGTAGCACATAATTCTTACAATTTTAGTAAGTAGCTTCATTGAGTGAGTGCAAATAGATGGGCTTGGCTATGTAAAAGCTTCTTTTGTTATGTAATAGCTTATGGTTCTTGAAAATAATATGCAAGTTTACTTTCTAGGGTGTGAAATCTACTCGCAAATATTAGATGGGTGAATCTTTTCATATGATAATATTCTCATTAATTTCTACACTTTGAATATTAGAAAATGGGTTCCAAACATCTTTCAAATGACCATGTTCAAAATGTTCTGGTTGTGTTGGAATACCAAATCATCATTACACAATCTCACGCAAGATGGTTTTGTGGTTTATTTAGGTTCTTGGGCCTATCCTGACCAGATGGGTGTTTGGGCCAAGAGTTTATGTAGATCTTGGTATTTTGGTCCATCAGCCAACTACCATGAGTCCTCAAGGAATCTTTTGCAGCTATTGGAAAAGTGTCGTTCTCCTTAGTTTAAAGAAATCAGTTACCATTTGATATGACATGTTTATAATTTTTTATTTATAAAAGTAAACATTTATATATTAATATGGAATTAGTTAAGCACTTATATTTCAATGTGGATAACGTAGGGGATAGATAACATGTCATATCAAAGGTAACTGATTGCGAAAATAAAATATAACTGGTACTACTCATGATTGGAAATAGGATTTTGCCAATATTTATATTTATCTATCATAAACTTGACAATATAAAGCTATAATATATATTTATATATATTGCCCCTAAAGACTTTAAAAGACTTTAAAAGACAACTCCAACCACTTTTGATGCATTGTATGAGTTGTCTCTAAAGAGTCAAATGTTTTGTTCTTCAATGACCATGTTAATTATTTTGTTTACTCACAATCAATTGAAAGACTTCTAAAATCTCTAATATAAATAAAATCCTGAGCAAGAAAACATTGAGAGTGACCACATAATTATGCTGAGAGAAAATAGAGAGGCATGAGATGGGTTCCTTAAGAGGTTAACTTTGTGGGCAATGTGGAAACCGAAGCACTTGCAGGATGAAGGAAAGCAGAAGAGGAAGCTTAGATTTTTAAAAAAAATTCTATGAGGTGCGGCGATGGTGGAGAGGAATTAATTCTTAATATATGATATGGAGATGTTCGCTCACTCTCTCGGCATCGCTCGATGGTCTCCCAACACCACCACAAAGCCCCCCAACCCATCGGTTCACGCGGCTGCGACGGTGCTTAAACCCTAGACCCCTGAACCCCCCTCATTTCCGGTCTCCCTCCCCTCTTCCCCCGCCAGCGTTGCCTGCCGAGCGACAGCGGCCCCTCCCGCGGCTATGGCGACCGCAGGGGCCAAGAAATCCCGGCGGAAGCCCGCAGACATGGACGACCTCAAGTCGGAGGTCGCGACATTTGCCTCCTCCCTGGGTCTCGCCTCCTCCACGGGGGTCGCCTCGGGTTTCGACGACTCTGACTTCCGCAAGACCGGCGCTATGAAGACCCCCAAGCCAGATTCCGAGGCGCCGATTCCTGAGCCGCCGCGAGGCAGGAGCGGCGAGGGAGAGAGAGCTGTGAAGCCGCCCCGGGGGCGTGCGGCGAAGCCCAATCCTCTAGAGCACATCGACCCGTTTGGTGGCGGTGATGGTGCCGGGGAGAAAGTTGCAAAAGGGAAGCTTCCTCTGATGAGGGCGACCACACCAATGGGGCTGTGGTATGAGGAATTGGGTGAGCTGGAGGCGAGGGTGCTTACGGGGGCAAGCCAGGGCGCGATTCCGGTGATGGGATTGGAGGAGCTGAAGCGCCTTGTTGAGAGGAAGAAGGATCTGGCAGAGAGGCTGATGGCGCAGTACGCCGAAGATTATGAGGCAAGGACAAGGAGACATGGCGACTGGCATCTCGTTCGGATGGCGGCGAAGTCAGGAACCACCAATGATAAGGTCACCGCTCTGGCCACGCTAGTGGGTGACAATCCCGTCGCGAATTTGAAGTCGCTTGACATTCTCCTGGGTGAGTTTATTTATAATTTGCTTGAGCTGGGCCTATCTTCTCACGATGCTGAAATTTGTTTCCCTCCTGAAGGAAAAGTGCAATTGATAAGCCTTCTTCGTTTAGACAGTGGCAAAGCTGGGCTTACTTTTACGAGATATTAATTCTCATTTGATGATCACTTGAATCCAACAAGTGGGTTTCATTGGGTGACGGAGAATTTTGTTGGCAACGTTGAGATTCTCTTTTCGGATTTAATTAAATAAAGTTAAAGCTTATGCTGTTTCCTGACATTGTTCTTTCTCCATCATCCACGAAGCCTCAGTTCTAGTTTTCGTACATTCGGCCCTTTTCATTTTTTTTTCATTAATCTAAAAGGTTTATTTTAACTCCATTGCAGGCCTGGTGAACGCAAAGGTGGGAAAACGCTATGCTTTTAAAGGATTTGACCATTTGACTGAGTTGTTTAAAACTAGGTCAGTGATGGTATTTTCTGTTAGTTTCTTGATTTTCAGTTGAACTTAAGTTGATAGTATGTTTCTCTTCCACTTCACCTGTGATGGATTTCTTATAGCGCATCCTAATTTATTTATCACTTTCTAGTAGTTAATCCCTGTATTATTTTTTCTACGTTTGTCTTTGACTGCAATGTATAAGCACTACCATCCGTATAGTTGTTGAAAATGCAGTATTCGTGTGTGAAAACCTGCAACACTCATTAATGGGTGTAAAAAATGATTAGATCCCTGGACATTGCATTGTTAAATTTCTTTGAGGAACCATGCAAATTCGAACCTGAGTCTACTATTAGAGCTGGAGACATGAAATTAAAAATGTGCCCTGGTTTCATTTTCTGTTGGAAATTAGAAAGCTTAACTTATTATACATTTTGTTGCTCTCTTCCTCTGTTGCATCTTGCAAACCCTTATATTCTTATTCCTTGTGTCTTATGTAATGCTCCGGTTTAACGAGGATAACAGATCCATGAACCAGTTATCTTAGAAGAAATGAAGCATGTGTCTAGTTTTTTCAAGTCTAATATTAGACCGCAAAGTTTGAGCTACTTTTTTCCTACATTTGGAGTTGTTTTCTAAAAAATTCTTCGATTTAAAATCGTGCTGTATGTCTAGGTAAAAGTCCATTTTCTTAATGATAAGCTTTCCACTTATGCATGCCCATGAAGAATTATTATAGGTGTATGCGAGGGTGTATAAGGTGCCATGCATTTTCATGTTGGTTTGAGCATGAGAACTCTAACTCTATTAGGCAAAACTTGAGCTATGAAACAACAAATTGCCAGTGTGAAATAACGTGTTTAATAACTCTAATCATTAATATGTGTCTTCTCTTTAACATTTTGATCCATTCTCTTTTGAGAAATAATGGTATTTCGTTCAATGTTTGCTTGTACAAGTCGCAAGACTCTTGCCCCAAATTTTGCAAACAAGAGTTTTGGTATGATAGGGTTAAAAGTATAGAATGATTTGGGAGACGATATAAACTATGTTTTGAGTGTTTTTGAACTAAATTATGAGAGATAAAATGATGAAAAAGTTGGGTAAATGAAACGCATTAAGTTTAAATGAGAAATGAAGAAATAATGTGTTGTAATGTACTCCTTGCTGTTGTTTGCATATGTTCTATTCTCTGGTACTGGGTAAAATTGAAGATCCAATTCTGAAACCCAGAACCCAATTTATATTGAAGTTAATTTATCTGACTTATGCGATTCAGATTATATTTGCTGTGTAAGGGGCCCTAAGAAATTCAAATATCTGCAGAACTGAGATTAATTAATGATGTCTCTGTATATACAAAAAACATGAAAGTGGGTTCGAATAAATCTGTTTGAAACTAAGCATTCCATTAATCTGAACCATTCACATTCAGTCACTTGCAGTTGAATTAGGAAGTAGCTGGCAATATGATGGAGGAGCCAGAGCACTGCGGGGTGGTGCTTGGTGGAACAATCTAGGGCAATATAATGGTGTGCAACGGAAAGTAAAAGATGGTGGAGGGAGGCAGAAACTATGGTAGCATCAAACTGGGGTATAAACTTGAAAAACATTGACAGAGATTAGGTTTGGTCAACATGACTCTCTTGCAAGAGAAAAAGGATGTGGTGTCTGAGAGCGAGAGAAGGGAAATGATGGCAGAATAATTTTGACATGTGCTAGCAATTAGGTTTGGTCAACTTGACGAGATTTGGTCTAGCTCAGGATTAATATTTGGGACCTTTGTGTTATGCCACGAATCTCTATTAAGTTAGATTGGTACCCATGCAAGTCAGTCTGATTTTTTATTGAGTGGCATCCTCGTTTCTTGACTCCAACATAAGAAGCTGTCTCAGCTGATCCCCACCATAGATCAAGTTTATGTAAACCTTATTCCGACATGATGAACTGCCTGCTGACCCCATTTGATTAGGATTATGTATCGTGATTCCAATATAAGGGACCATTTGGTGCTCAATTTCAATCACGAAGGCAAGAAACCAGTCATAGCTGCCCATTGTGACATGCTGCTGGTACCCTCCGTTTGCTGAGTGGTTTCTTTCAGCTATCCTGCCTAACATGGGGCAGGATCAAGGGGAGGAAAGCTTGCTACACAGAACAGGATCAAGGCACTGGCTAGGCCTGATTAAAATCCCAAATTAAAATCGGTAGTGTCCAGGATGAGTTTACCTCTTAGTTGGCATGCCCCGTGGTGGTCCTGCCAAATCCGATTATTCTAATCAAAATTTGCTGATCTCTTATACAATGAATGAAGATGCTTGAAAAATGGACTGTAATTAGAATTCATGACACTTGTATATATATATATATATATATATATATATATATCATTTCTATGAAAAATATACATGTGTATCCTGTAAAGAAGAACCTACTACTTTTTAGAGTTATGACTGCACTATCTTTGTCCCATTGGATTGTTCAACTTGGTCCATCTTATCCAATCTCAATTGCGATTAACCTTTCCAATCCCGGATCTAACGTCAATTCAGAAAATTTTGTTGTTAGTGTTGTGATGTATTGCCTCTTTTGTGTTTGTTAGGTAGGCTTTTCCATGATTTCCGTGTTGGGCTTTTCCTTTCTGCTTGTTTCCGTGTCTGTGCTTGTTTCCATTCAGTTTACTTATTTTAACAAAAAATTAATAGTGCCCAATCAAATGCTGTTTTATCCAAGTCCTTGATACCAAACGAAGACCAACTTTATCCCCAGATTATTGTCAGTGGCCTCTTTGCCACGTTTTAATTCAGACTGTTCCGTATCTTTGTGTTGATTGTAGCTATGGTATACCTTGATAAAACAATCTTGGTGATTGGCGCTGCAAATATAATTCATGATTTCTTGCAATTGCTATTTTGTTGTTAACTGATAAAATCTCTATACGTTATACCTTTCCACTGATTATTAAACCTTGATTAACCAAAAGTGCATTTCACTCATGTTGTTCTTTTTTGATATCACAGGCTATTGCCTGACCGTAAATTGAAGTGCCTTTTGCAACGTCAGATTATTAGTTTACCTGTATCAAGTGATGGCTTTTCTTTATTACTCTTCTGGTATTGGGAAGAATGCTTGAAGGAGCGGTATGCCTTCTTTCAAATTTTACCCACAGAAAATGTTTCATTCCATTGTACATGTTAAATGATTAAATCCTAATGCAATATCAACAATTAGACCTACAAAACTAAAACAGAATTTGCCAATTTTGGGTTCTTTTTTGGTGGGGAGCTGCTCTTCTTTTTCTGAAGTTTGAATGAAGAAATTGTTCTTTCCTTCTTAGCTTTGAAGTAGAATGCGATTCATTCTTTTGCAAATTACGCCTCTCATTATGAACGTGACAATCAACAGTTTATATAATTCCCGGTGATGCTTAGACTATTAAGTTTTAAAGGGTGGATAGTGACTAGGAATATTTTGTTCAGACAGTTGATTATCATTTCTCCTTGGAGCGTCAATATGAAACTACTTGAAACTAGTTGTTTTTATCTCAGTAGGATTTATGCTTGAAATTCTTTTGTTTGAGTGCTCAACTACCAGTTACTGTACCCATACACTGACATGCACATAGTTACACGAATATAGAGAAGGTGTGATTTCCATAATAGATATGACCCCCAACAACATCGATCTTGGGCGTTTAATTCATCCAGCTTGTTGTGTACATAATCAATAAATGCAAGTCTTGATAGACCCTCTGTGACTGCATATTATTTTATTTACGTGTTTGATTTGTATTTTGGCTCATGGATGCATCTTTTTGCCCCAGAGATCAGAGTTAAGCCCCCTTCAATCCAGAGGGCAACAAAATCATTGACGAATTCCTATTTATCTTCCCAATCAAGTGGAGTGTCTTTTGTTGTTAGCCTTCAAGAAAACTGTGACCTTATTGATCCTCTCAGCTGTATTCTGGTTATTTAGTAATTCTACATTCTTTCTAGGTTCGCTATTTTAGTGTTTGGAGAGACAGAAGGAAGATGATAGAAAACTGATTTGGATGATGCTTGTCCATAGATCATCATATAGACTTTAATTCGCAATATGGTGTCAATATGATGACATCAGAAGGCAATACAAGAGGCTGTTCAAAGTTGTATTCCTTGAATCTTGCACTTTCCCAGTTCCTTATCGTTTTCCCAAGTATTTATGGGTTCTTTGTGAATTCTATTTCTGGTGAAGGTTTGTCTCATTTTATTTTCGTAAGATTCATTTAATTGTTTGATAAAACAGCATTGGTGGCCTATAGTTGTTTTAATGCTGTGTCAAAGTTGAAACTGTTTCAGTATATCAGTATTTCGATTCCTAACTTTGTACTTACATTGCATGTCAACATATGTTGTGGCATCATAGATATGAGAAATTTGTTGCTGCCCTTGAAGAAGCATCAAAGGATATGCTTCCTAGTCTTAAGGATATAGCGACGAAAGTATGTTCTTTTCTCTATGCTTTCGTCCATTATTTTTGGTTGATTTTTCTCATTTTATTTATTCTTAGATAATTGAAGTTTTCCTCTCTTAATAAGACCTGACTATTTGTAAAGTCGCTGATAAATTAAGTTGAAGCAGCTACTGTATGGTCTATTGAGGAGCAAAATGGAACAGGAACGTAAGCTGCTTTATGCTCTTGTTAATAAAGTGAGTAGCTGGTTGCTGTAGTCTGGATAGTTGACTTATATTTGTTCAAGATGATGATCTATCAATCGGTGTGCAGTGTTTTTGTTCTTTTGTCTACATGTTGCTAATTAACCGTGACTTATATTTCCATTGTTATCGTTGAATTTCATTTTCACAATTTTATTGTTACCTTGGTAAGTGCAGCTGGGAGATCCGCTAAGAAAAGCAGCATCTTCTGCTGGATATTACTTAACATGCCTTTTATCAGAGCATCCAAATATGAAGGTAAAATAATCTGGCTGACTTAGCCATGACATCTGTGAGCTCTTACATTTTTGTAGAAAATTTGAATCTATCAGTTTCCTTATCTATTTTATTTTTAGTGATTATATATGCCAACAGTTCTATCTCATGAAATGGCAGAAGCTAGAGACAGATTCAATAAGTCAATTATTTTCATGGAGCCAGCCGTGCGTTGGATGTTAAATGTATTTACCTTTCTGTATGTGTCATTCCCAATACTCAAGATTTCAATCCTCTTAAGATTTCCATGCAATAATTTAATGTTGTTTCAGTTTGCTATTGCAATCCAATCTTTGGAACTATGAAAACTGCTTTGCTCAGGTGTCATTTTTAAAAAATTACATTTAGGTTCCCTTGGTGGATCTTTTGGTCAATGCAGAAAGTGGTCCAAATGATATTGGCAGCTCTTCTGAGTTAACAGTCTTGCCGAGATCATCTATCCCATCCTTCAAGGAGCGAGAAGTAAAAGTGAGACATAAAGGAAACACTCATAGTTCTCTATACAGATTACAAATGCTTTCTCACCTCACCTCACACCCAAGCTCAATCAAAATAGCGGATCAAGAACAGTAGAAGTTCAAAAAAGTCATGAATAAAATAATAAGTGAAACAAACTATTAATTCTGGCTCTGTTGTGTACCTGTGAACTTCTATCATTATTGAGTATATCTCAAATGTCAGTATGCTTTCTTGCTGTAAATATGAGATATTTCATTTGGAGGATTCTTCTAGTCGATTTAAATTGCTCGAAGCTGAATCGATTGTGATTTTCCTTCATTTCGTTATTCTTTCTGGTTTTCCTATTTCAACAGACTGCAGAAGTTGGATCTTTAGCTATGAAATTACATTGATCTGACGAATTATCTTTCAACTCTTTGAATTTTGGAATGCATTTTTTTTTTGGATCATGGATTTAATTTCGCTCGAAAGAAACTTGCACAAGTGAACTGTCAAGCTTTCTGGCTCTCTGGTCTCTACCTCGTTTCCAAAACTACAATTAAATGAGATGACTGAAACGAATTCCGTCATTTTATTATTTTGACTTATTGTCGTCTCTTTTAGGAGGTGATTGCCTTCTTGCGGAATGTGCTAATTACCCCATCACTTGTTATTATTTGTTCCTTCTATCTTTATATAATTTCCTGAATCTGTTAGAGCTTGTTACTGCAGATAAATCTGTTTTCCATTAGTCCTCCCATAATCTCGCAAAAACACTGTTACTCAACTGGAACATTAGATTGGGGCCTCTAGTATTTAGAGCATGATAGAAATATTGGATCTATTTGATTCAAATTGATCAACTAAATTAAGATTCAGAGCGCCTGGTTTTTATGAAAAAGAAAAATAGAATTGACTGATTTTTAAATAGTGGTTTTTACTTACATAAATCTGCTCTTGAAGGATTGAGCCATCTAAAGAGCCTCTTGGTTCTCTCCTGTAAGAAGATAACTTTCTCGGTAGTGGATGGAGTGAATGAGTGATTGAGAGAGCAGTTACACTGACCAATTTAAAAGAATAAAAATCAGCCAGAGTAAACCTCGATAGTACAACATTTTACAGGTTCATGTAATCGAGAGGTAATGGTACCAGCTACCAGGATATAAATGGGTTACATTAAGCTCGAATTCAGTGATCTTTGTGACCAATGGTTTCATCTGGCGTAGTATCTTCAGGCTGTCTACACAACTTTGTGAGAAAATTAATAATGTCTTATTTTAATTCAAATTAAAAAATAAGATTGGCAAGAAAAGGATAGAAGATGACTTCATGTATGGTGATGCGACTGTAAAATATAGGATCTACATCCATACCGGCTTCTTATATCAAACACTGATGATGACGGTTTTTCTAGTATCTCTCTTAGTCTTGCTGTTTTGATCTGATGGATGGCCTATACCTGAGCCATAATATCTTCAATAGAAAGCATAAGTTGATGGATGCTATTTTCATAATTTGATGACGATAATGTGCACCCTAAACATTAATCAAGCAGATACATGAAGGGGGCACAGGTCTGATGTAAAGGACATCTTAGTTTGGACTTTTTTTTGATTTATTGATTATAAGTTCTCATGATCTCTGTGACAATACACTTATGAAGTTTGGTATCTATGATGTAGTCATCCATATCTGGCCCATGGTTAGTTTTTAGGTAGGTGTGAATATGGTGTTTACCCTGTCATCATCATGGAGTCAGTATGAATGCAAACTTGGCCGGATTTACTTAGATCTTTGCCTTCTATTGTTCTAGCTGTGCCAGGGATCAATCCTATGATGACATTTATGGTCAATATACATGCATTTCTTGGGATAACGTTGTATGCAATATGCAGTATTTACATTGACTTGGTAGGCTGTCCAATACATATGTTTACTTGACTTTTTAGAAGTCTACACGAAAAGACAACCATAATTTAACAAATTTATCCAGATTGAGATTCTGTCACCTAATGCTGGAATATTACAAACTATCTATATGATGAGCTATTGATTGGCTTTGAGTGGCTGGTGAGACCTTGAGACCCAGCCATCGTTTTCTCCAAATAATTAAGAGCTATTTGTGATTTTTCCCCCCCAATGTAGGTTGTTCTGGATTTGTCATTTGTGCTTTCCCACAGAATATCAGTGTTATGTGAAGTATATAAAATAATGTGATTTTCCCATTATCTATTGTACTAATCCTATTTTTTTTTCTTTTCAGCTTATTGTCATTGAAGAGGTTGATGCTTTCATATTTCGACCTCATGTGGGACTGCGATCTAAGTATCATGCTGTACGTTTCATTTTCAAAACTATGATGGCTATTATTATACTTGCAGAGTTTTCAGTGTATTTTCTTGGTTCAAGTGGGATGTAACTAAGTTTTAGCACTTCAACCATATTGTGCAACTATAATTGAAATATCATGCTCTATGCTTCTTTTGTACGGCTACAAAACCTGTTACTACATTGACAAAATCTTACTGAGATTTGCATCTAGCGTGAAGTTCATTGTGTTATTTCTTACATTAAATGTGATGTAACCAAATTTGGGTATTTCAACTTGCTATTTAATTATTTTAATGAACCGAAAGAATTCCATTTTCTTTCTGACGCTGAACATAGCATTATCGAAGTCAAACTCATAGCACCCTTCGTACTTAATCTATTTTTCATCAAATTGGGATGACGAAAAAGCCTTTGTGAGCTGTCATCTGCTTCACCTCATTATTTTTTCTATCTGCATATTTATTTAACTCCCAGTTAATCTATCTTATAGATTTATATTGGGTATGGTCTTTACTTTAAATTGAGCCCTTATTCTGGATGATTTTATGCCCAGGTTAATTTTTTGAGCCAAATTCTTCTGTCAAAAAAAGGCGATGGTCCTAAAGTTGCGAAACGCTTGGTTGATATATATTTTGCACTATTCAAGGTAGGGGACTATACTGCAAATGATCATCGATTTTTGGCATTTTGCATACACTACGTAGTGTCATGATATTTCTCGTGTTAGATTTGATTCCCAATTTTCTATCTTTGGTAATTGATGACGCTAGTAACAGGAATGAGCTTCTTTCCTCTTGAGGATTTTAACTCTGCTAGCAGTTGTTTTTGGTAAATAAATTTGATGCCATTGTTTTTATCATCCATTGTTTTTAAGTAAAAGTATTCTCATGAGAACAGTTAGTCATGGGAGGCCAAAGAGAAGAAATTCCTTTCATGATTGATTTCATTGACTGTGTCAATTCTCAGTGTATCAAGGCTTTCCGCAACTTCTCTGCTTCTGTGCGTCCTTCCTACAACTGCATGATTTACTCTTTGTAAAACTGGACAGTTGCTTAGCTTTTATGATTATTTGTTCCGAGTTTAATAAGCACTCTCATAGGAGTAGCGACATGAAGAGCTCTGTCATCTTGAAGTGTATTTCTGTTAAGAAAACTCAATTTGTCCTCCACTTTTTCCTATAAGTTGTCATTTGAGTTAGGAATTGATTAAACAGAGCATCATTCAGAGTTGTACTAAAATGCATGAATGCGAAGAAGTGGCTAGGAGAGGAAGAGGATTCTTTGAATGTGGATTGGAGAAGATGGTGAGGCTTCAACGGGCACGTGGTCTGAGGCTGAGAACGGAGATATGTGAAAAGGAAATGTAAGGAAGAGGATGCTGGGGAAAATGTTTGCAGCTGATGAGGTACGGAAGGAAGTTAAAAGAGGTCTCCTGTGTAAGTTTGAGTTTGGAACAATAAATAGGGCTGGAAGGCCAGTAAGTTGATGGCAGAAGAGAAGTTGAGGAAGTGGGAAGGGGAGGGTCGACAGTAAGGAGGATAGGGTGAGTATAGGTTGGTGGATTATCACAAGCAGAGGTTGACGATGTTCGAATGGCATTATCACACTCTTTGTGTTGGGAAATGACTGCTATGCATAGTGGGTATCAGTATTGGAGCAAATGACTGAACATGAAGCTATGTCTCTTGGGATTACATGAATGGCTGAAAGGGTAGTGGAGTTGCGTTTGCATTTGTGTGAGCATTAATGATTCACATTGGCCTGCTTGCATGATGTATGCATGATATATTTATATATGTTTAATTCAACACAATGAATATGAGGTAATGCTTAATCTTTTCTAAACTTGTGTTTTCTTATATTCTTCATCGTATTTGACGTTTTTTTGGAATATTTCTTACACATCAATGAGATCATCAATAGTTGGGCTTCGTTGGGCTTGAATTAAACCCTCCTCTCGTAATGCCATTCTAATTTTCGAAATCAGCTGCGATATGCACACTTCAAATCCTGATTTGAAACCTTTTTTGTTGATCCAAACTTTAATTAAAGACGTTTATGACTCAGAATAGCTTGGATTGGGCCTCTTTGTTCCCCATCATACTGACTCAGAATAGCTTGGACTGCTCAATCAGAAAAGTAACTTTTCAGTAAATATTAGATAATTGGAAATAGAAACTTTTTTATCGAATGCTGCTTACCAAGTGGTTTTGGTAGGTTCAGCAATTGCCTTTCTTTGAGAAAATTGGATAGATTCTGGACAGGATCCGTCTCTTTGTCTAGCTGCTTCTTTCCTTTGCTAATCCAGTCACTTGTCACGGAATACATGAAGTTTTCTGACATTGCTCTTATGAGCAATTCTCTCAAGAGCTTCACTAACTAATTTTGTTCATTTAGTTGACTTTATTGCAAGGTCAGTTTTCTGAACTGGCTTTCACATTTTTCAGGTGCTGATTTCATCTGGGCCTGATAATGCAGAAGGTGATAATGCTGCCAGGAACTCCAGGGATCATGTTCATGGCGTGAAGAAAAATACCGAGGATAAAAAATGGAGATCTAGATCGGTCAAGAGCAAAGAGCATTTGCTGGAATCTTGTGTTGAAATGGACTCCCGTCTTTTATGTGCTCTTCTGACTGTAAGTCTGTGTGCTGTTTTTTTTAATCATGATTACCTGTTGGTATCATGATCCTTGCATTTCAATAAAAAAGCTAAGAACCGTATTTGCATTTCAATATTAAGGTAGTTATTGTAGACGTGATAAGTTACTCTATATTACTGTATCAAATTATATAATGAAGTGTGATTATATAATGAAGTTATTATAGGGCATTACCATGTGTTCAGTCTTAGGTGTCAGACCCCTTATAAAATCTATCATCTGTTGGTATATTCATTCATAAAGAAGAAGACAATAAGTTGTAGATACTGCTGATCAATGTCTATTTCTAGGTTCGATTAGTCAAAGAATGTTTCCATGTGTGACTTGTAAAGTGTTTGTACATATCGCTCTTCTTAACGCTTAGGTTCGTTTCTTATTTCGAGTATTTACATGGTACTACCTGATGTTCAATATTAATTGACCAACCCTTGATAAAATCTGTCATTTGTTGACCCTTCCATACAAAAAAAACTACAAGAGTGTTTCCATGCAAAAAATATTGATTGCGCCTGATAACTTGCCCCATTTTGATTCAATTTAGGTGAAAACTGATCGTATCATTTTCAACTGCTAGTTCCTGTTGGATATGTCGTGTACAAAACCCATGGAAACTAGTGGACATGCAGACGTTCCTATTTTTTCTGTTCAAAACTTTCCCTTGACTCTGCAGCAATTATCCATATTAACTCTCACTGATTTTCTTTCATTAGTTATTGGTCCTTTCCTTTAATTAGCTGATAACATACATACTCAGGCGTAAATTTGTAGGTATTGGCATCTTGATTAATTCCCAACCATTCATATTTGAGGTCCATGTTAATGGCCTGAAAAAAGCATCCATTCTACATGTTTCACATTCATATTATAAATGTATTTTTCTGTATCTATCTGGAAGCTGAATGATGTGTCTTATGGTTGGAATTTGTTCACACAGGGTGTCAATAGGGCATTTCCGTTTGTTGCGAGTGATGAGGCCGATGATATAATAGAGGTTCAAACACCCATTCTTTTTAGATTGGTAAGCTTGTAAAAACTTTCTGCTTGTTGAACCTTTTGGGTTGACAGTACTGTCATTTGGAGTGTGAGGTTGAATATTTTTAATTGCAGGTTCATTCAAAAAATTTCAACATAGGCGTCCAGGCCTTGACACTCTTGTACCAAATTTCCTTTAAGAATCAGATTCTTAGTGATCGTTTTTACCGTGCTCTGTATTCAAAACTTCTTGTACCTGCTGCCTTGAATTCTTCTAAGGTAATTCTTTTTTTAACTACATATTGTTGTCGTTTATTTTAATACAGGTACCTTATTTTTTCACCAGCGACTAGGAGTGCAGTGAATTTTAAAAAACCAAATGAAAGTACCACTTTTATCATTAAAAATGGAAATACTTCCATGGGGGGACTAGGTTATGTTTTGCTATAGATCAATTGGAAAACGTTGACTAAAATCTACCTAAACAATTCCTAAATAGCCTCTTCATCCACTTTTGTTACCTCATACACTCTCCGTCCGTGCTACTATGTAAGGGTTAAATGTTATTGTTCTCTCAACTTGTTAATGTCATCAAAAAAATACTCGGGAGTCCTAGTGAAGTGTTGGAAGAAGGGAGAATGCTTACGGTGGTTATTATCAAAATTCTATATTTTACTGCTTGCATGTTCTATGAAGTTGGAAGGCATGTGCTTTTTTCTTTGTACTGAGAGGGTTCCGGTTTGGTTCTATTCATGGGGCTTACCAATGGAATCTAAAATTTATCCTTAAATCTGGACTGCCAAGGAGGTTTGATCATTGACTTTGACTACACAATAAGAAAAAGGAAAACTAATGTGACAATTTGGAAGTGCTCATAATTTTTTTTTTTCTCATCGACTTAACATTTAATGAAACATTTTCAATTATAGCTTCTTATCATACTCTGGTTGCAATACTTTTCTTGTGTATTAAAATATTTAACAATTATACTGGCCTTTTTCAGCATGAAATGTTTCTCGCGTTACTGTTCAAAGCGATGAAGAGTGATTTAAATGTGAAACGCATTTCTGCTTTTTCCAAGCGGCTTCTGCAGGTTGGCAATTAACCTTTTCTTTCTTATCAGATACAATTTCAAAATCATGTCAGTTGGTCCTAGCACATCTCCAAAAAAAATCGAGGGCATTTTGTCTAGTCTTGCACTGCACTGGATTGGTTTTTTATCACAATTATTTGATTGCTCCCCTGCCCAAGCAATATTTTCCTGTTATGTCTAATTTTATTGTTTTTAGTTCAACATTATTTTCGTTACTGTTCCAGTTTTCTCATGGACTATGCTGAGGAGAATATTTAGTTTTTACGATGCCTAAGAAAGCTGTGGTTTTTTATTTCTACAGATATCACTGCAGCAACCACCTCAATATGCCTGTGGATGCCTTTGCCTTCTCTCGGAAGTCCTTAAAGCAAAACCACATATGTGGTAAGCCTTTCTGATGATTTGTGTCAACTGCATATGATACCCATACTTTGATTTTTTGACTCTTGGTCGTGAAAGTGTTGCTTAGACAGTCTAGATGCCCAAAGCATTTTGAGCGCCTGTGTGCATCCTGGCTGGACCTCTTTTCTAGTCCACCTATGCATGGAATGCCCACAGGGGATCACTTTGGTGGCGGATGCGGTTCCCAGCATGCCTAAAATTTACTGTTATGCTTGTCTCTCCTCGGTGGACAGCATTTACGTTGGCCGGTTAAGGCAAACGTGAACATCATTTGGAGCAGATAGAGTAGTTGTTGCCTAATCCCTTTGGCTTGCTGCCTGGGCAGAAGGCAGTTGAATGTGTTCTGCATTTGGTTTTTTTACTTTACCTTTCATTTGTACAGGAGTATGATGCTTCAAAATGAATCTGTTGATGAAGATCTTGAGCATTTCACGGATATACAGGAGGATACCAAAGAAATAACTGATGCTACATTTGGTGGTTCAATAAAATCTCTTTGTTCAAATCTTCGGGTTAAAGAAATGGGTGAAACAAGAGATCAAAGTTTATTGGCTGATGAGAATTTTGGTGACAACTCAGAGAATTGCAAATTTAAAGTTAGAAGTTCATCTGGAGATGCTATCGTGGATATGAAGAATGAAAAATTGAAGTCCTTAATTAGAGAGGGTATGGAACCTTGCATAAAGACTCCTTTATCTGCAAGATATGATCCGCGTCATAGAGAGCCCTCGTACTGGTATTTCTTTGTACTTCCCACGCTGTTTATTCATAAAGCTACATTCCTCACGTATCGCAAGTGCTTGTCCTGTCTTTTATTCCCTTAAGCACACAGTTATGCTCCTTTACTTCTGTTTGACAATGTTGTTAGATTAAGCAGAAGGTTCTTGCATTATGTTTCCTTGTGTTTATCCTGATGAATATTTTTTCTATCACTCTCTCTCGTTTAACTATGTCGTTGCAGCAATCTGCGAACTCTGGATGGTTCTGTGTTCCTTAGTCAAGATATCCTGTCTTAGGATCCAAGCTGTTGATAGGAACCCAAAACGGGGACGCACAAAATAGTAGAAAATAAAGAACAGAAGCATGAAAATAAGGAGGATTGGGCTCCGACAGGAACCCTAATACCAGTTCGTGGTGATCTTTCAAGAGGACCACCTCTCTCCTCCACAAGCCGCAACCTGCCCAAAACCTTGTCCCCTGTTCTCTCATTCAATCCCTGCCTGACATTTACCTAAATACCTGCCTACTTAGCCTCACATGACCCACACGCCCTCTTACTCTTGGTGTAAGGCCCGATGGGAGCCTAACAGCTGCTTCTAAAAGACTTAGTAAAATCCCGTTATTTTCTTCTGATCACTCGAATCTAGATCACGCTCAACATAATTAGAGTGGAAGTCGATTGGTAGAATCTATTATTTTATAGATTATATAATACTTGATAGAATGAACCACCATGCCTCACATCGGCCATCTGCCTTCTTGCCCTGGTTGCAAGGATATGGGCTATTTGCTTGCTGACATGCCACTGCCTTGTGTGTGTGTGTATATATCTATATGTTTTCATAGTTGCATTGATGGACGATAACTATAGGATTCATGAGCGAAAAGGCTGCACATGAATTCCTAAGAAAGCAATTTTGAATTCTCAAATAATTTGAATGTCTCGATTTGAGAGAAAAATGGTCGTGCTGATTTTATTTCCAAGCACAATTTTTAATGTAGAAAAGCTTAGGGACGAAAGTAGGAAAATAAAAGCTCGAACCGAGATTGGAGTCAAATCAAAATATGCATCGACTGGTAGTTCTGTGAAAGTTTTTGGATCAAAATGTTTTTCTTATAGGGGTTCCATGGGGACAATAATGCTCTATAAAGTTAATGGCATTTTCTTATAATAGCGTTTTGACAGCAATGCAGAAACTGCTGGTTGGTGGGAATTAACACTCCTGGCTGCACATGTGCATCCATCCGTAGCAGCCATGGCTCAAACCCTTCTGTCCGGCGTCAACATTGTATACAATGGTGACCCTTTAAATGATCTATCCCTTGCTGCTTTTTTGGACAAGTTCATGGAGAAGAAGCCAAGGGCGAATCAGAGAGGAGAGGAAATGTGGCACGGTGGTTCCCAAATTGCACCAGCAAGAAAGGTATAGCATGAGATACCTATTGATGTTACAAATCCAAGCAAGAATTCAGTTTGTGGCTTTCTGATTCAGCATGATATTATTATCGTGATCTCATTTTTACTTGTACTATGCATTAACTACCTTATCATTTCATGAACGTTGATATTTTTTGCTTCATTTTATTACCAAGTATTGGCACGAACGTTTTTAAATTATTTTACTTTGTTTGTTTAGTTTCCTTATTCATGTCTCTTATATTCTGAAATCTGTATTGTTTTTTTCTTCTTTCTCTTAAACTTTTTGTTTGTTTGCTCCTGTGCGTTTGTCTCAGATAGAATGCTGAGTAACATACTTCAGCGTTTCCTACTAATCTTAATTATCTTGAATGTTCAATCGTTTTACTCTTGAACCAATATGTTTTTGATGCAAAGAGTCGTGCAATCCAATTTCTTGATAAACTAGATAAATCGAAATTTAATAACTAGTGTGTAGGTGATCTGGTTACAGCAATGCAGTTTCTACAATAACCCTGTGGTTTACGATGTGTGTTTTAACTTCTGATTTTATACGGGACTTCATTGCCGCTGAAAAGTGATAAATCTTTATGCATTTAATATTTTATTCTGGTTTTGCGGGACCTTACGATATGTATATGCCACAAGTTAGTGCAACTTTTGTTCATTATCAACCTAGCATGGGTAACTTGGAGCTTCTCCAATGTTTTGAAAGCTCTCTTCAACTCCTTGAAAGGTTGCATCTAGCAGCAACAGGTGGTTCCTGTGACGACGATACTCATTGTCACGCAATTCGATGTTAAATTTAACAAATGCAGTATAATCAGATTTACATTTCTTCTCTACTAGATTCAAGTGATAAAGATATGATGATTTTTCGAGTGTTGGGATATTTTGTGTTGGTGAACCAGCACAAAGAAAAAGAAATCATTATCATGCCTAAATGTTGAAGATTAACGCACAATCAATGATTGGCTTCGTATTTATGATTGCTTAGGCTTGAGGTTGATTGATTTTTTGACTACAGATATTCTAGGAGATGAGTTTGTGAAGTTGTTGCTTATGAGGTAGTAGGTGTTTCAACTTAGTGGGGAAAACTTCAAATGAGACATTAATTGTAAACACCATTTAGATCATGGTCTCAAATGAAGCCATCAATGTGACGGCAATTCTTTCTTAGATATTATGATTAACTGTAACTCCAGGGATATCAGAACCGTTGGTTAAATGATGTGAAGCCTTTATTTGGAGAATTCGCAATTATATTTTCTTTCTGAGCCACCAAATAGCTTGCTTTTGGTGAGTACATCCGAAAGGCCATTGTTTGATGAGCTAGCTTTCAAAACTTGTCCTTGGAACTACAGTTTTTGGCAAAGTGACAAGAGTACATTAAGAATCTTGTGACGTTCCCATTATTATGCAAAAACATCAGTCATATGTTAATTTAAAAAATTCAACCTTATGAATACTTATTCCTCTTGGGTTTATATATATCAAATAATGGAAGCATCATTATAGATGAGGAAAGGGTGGAAATAATTAGAAGGTCGCCTGCCTAAAGAAATGTGCCTGAAGTAAACTCTTTCCGTTCCATGTCTTAACATAGTTCTTATGGGTGGTCTATTTGCAATTTTGGTTGCATAGTTATCCTGGTTTTGCGGATTCTTTGCAGAAAAAGCACTTTGTATGAACATAAGAAGCTAAGTGGAGCTTCCATGTAATCAAGTAGAAACTTACTTCAGCTTGTCTCAGCTCCTCATAACTTTAAGAGGTTTTGTGAGAGGAATGTGACACGTGAAATTGGTTGGCTTGTTTAATTTGAAGAGGAAATGCATAGCTTCATATAGTCCGAAACTTGGCAGGCAGTAAATAAATGTTCCACTTGGTCCACATATACCTTCTGGTACTTGACTTTGTCACAAGATGGTCGCAAGGGAGAAAACCATCCGAGAGTTAAAGGATAGTTTAAAAGATGAAGGGAAAATTTTCTTTTGAACTCACTTTCAGTGATATTTGACCCTATGCTTCAAAGTTGTCGTGCGTCATATTTGAGGGAGATGGTTTTTTTGATATCATATGAAGAACAAATGCTATTTATGTCGTTCATTTGTTGGGAGGATCATATTTCATGAAATTGTCAAAACCATGTATGATTGTGAATGGCTGTTCCACAGTCACCTCAGTTTGATTCTTAGCTGAATTTCATCAATACTTGGTATCAATAAACAGATGGTCACATAGAAGTAGATGCCACCATTGAAAATATGGCTCAAATTCTTTTAAGTAGTTAGGTGAAACAATAGTACTTAGTAGTGACCAAAGTTGAACTTTTTATTATAACATGGTGATATGGACATACTCCGGGTTATACAGATCTGGTTCTTCCTAAAGGTTACTCTGTGGTTGTTAGATTATTTTATCATCCCTTTGATGAAAAATCTAAAGCTGCATTTTGAGGCAAAAAATGTCAAGTATAAAGGAATCGCTTGAGCATAAATGTGAAAGTTATTTTCTGATAATGATGAGGTGGTAATGCTTTTAAATAAAGAAAGATTCTCAAGAACATGAGTGACAATACCTGTGGTTGACTTTTCTAACTTCATGAGTATCTGAAAGACTTTCAATATCTTCTAACATAAGGTGATATGTAATTCGGTATATTTGGGGTAAAAACTTGCAGAGAATAACTTCAAAAGAGAGAATAAGTTTTATATTGATAATGGACGAATGGTAACCTGTGGCTTGCAGGTTCACTAATGTGTAATAGAGAACCAAAATACCGTGATACATTATCAGCTATCAAGGGGGATTATGTCTAGTTCGAAATTAATTATTAAAGCACTTATAAAATATTCCTCTTAATTATCTTAGGTGCTATTGAATTGTATCATCTGTCATACGCACCGCTTCTTAGTCCTAGACCTGTCTGCTTACTAAAGATGTTACCCACATCACTCGTTAACCTTTGTTTTTCTATATTTATTGAGTTTTCAAAATTTTCCCTCAACGTTTTGGCAATGGTACGTCTCAAGAGAGTAATCGCTTCGCTAAGCAAAAAATCGGCAATAATGTGTTCAAATCAGTTGATATTTGAAGTTATCCATTCTCAGTGTTTTATTAGATCATAGTGCCTTCATTAGAAAAATATTCGCTCTGCAGATTCAGCTCTGATTTCCCATCCTGTAGAGATTTGTGTTTGTCGTCATGTTTCAAAGGTGGTGCTTGCCTGCCCATGTTGTGGATTTGCTTCATCATAATTTAGTACAAAGTCGTCCTTTCAGACATACTATTATGTCGTTTTCATGTTATATTTTCCTTAAGTTATGATTTTTCAGTGAACTATCTGCCTCTAAGAGGTTGTTTTTTGTTCTGAGTGGGATTCTTGTGCTTGTACTTTATTTTCAATATGTTTTTTGTTTTCATTGAATGTAATTTTTTTACTTGTTCTTTCATTATGATGGATCAACCCTTTTAGGCTCTTTACCGATTTCCGTGTTAGACTGTGTTGTCTGTATATCCTTCTTTGCTTATGAATAATCAGTTCAGTCACAATTATGTAAATCAATAAATCACCTGTCTTTCATGTGCTCATTTGGATGAATTATTTGAGTAAATTATTTTGGCTTAGTGTTTTGAGTTTCTGATTTATGTCTTGAGTTATGCATGGTAGTCTGTGGCTAATTTATTCCTTGGTTCTCCAAAGCTTGTAAAGATCTTGCATAATTTTAGAATAATGAATTGGATATGTTAATATATAATTCCTTTCAACCTATACATTCTACTCAAAATTGTCTCATAAGATTTATCAATCAGCGGTCGCTGCTTTTTGCATTATTTTTTCAGGCGATGTTGTGAACTCAGTGCAAAATATAACATGAATCCAATATATAGTCATTACATATATATTATGTGTGAGTGTATCAGGTTATATGCTTCGTCATAGGACCACATTTGCTGGTTACGCTGTGATCCGGTAGAAATATGTAAGGTGCTTGTAGTGTCAGCAGCGTCAATAGCTTATTATCTTGTTCTTCAGCACCGGTCTGCATTCTCTTCTGTGGCCTACATTCATAGTAGCTTGAATCATTGGATATTTATATCACTGTTTTGCTCTGTTTATGTATTTGTTTATCATTCCTTAGACTTTGACTCAGTAATAGTTTGTGTTCTGGGAGGATAACAAGTTACATATTTATTTGTGTTTGCAGCTTGACCTGGACTCTCATCTGATTGGAGAGGACATATTGCAGCTAGCAGAGAATGAGGTTCCTCCCGAAGATATCATTTTCCATAAATTCTATGCTAATAAAAGTACGGCATCAAAGAAAAAGAAGAAGAAGACGAAAGCCGTGGATGAGGATGATGAGTTGGTCCCCATCGGAAGTGATGACAGTGCAGATGAGGAGGTGGAAGAGATATTGGGTTTGGCGCCACTTACTTCCAAAGATATGGATGGAGAGTATGATTATGAAGATCTGGACATGGTCGCCGCTGAGGATGATGATGAACTGATTGGCGATGGCAGCGAGGGAGAAGTCAATTCTTCTGATGAGGTTGCCCCTGAGGAAGAAGACCCAGACGATGATAGTGCTAGCGATGGCAGCTGGGACGGTCAGGTTGACGGAGATGGCAGTACCTTGGGAGATGATGACCTATGGGAAGATGAACCGCTGCACAAGCCCAAAAAGAATAAGAAATCTCAGGAATCCCCATTCGTAAGTGTGGAAGATTTTGAACGTGACAAGGATAAATATTTGGACAGCAGCAGCAGCGGCGGCAGAAAAAGGAAACCTAAATCACATCAACCAAAGCAGCAGCAGCAGCAGCAGAAGAAGAAACGAAGTAAGGTGTCAGCCTGAGCCCCGTTCCTTGTCAGAATGTCGTGTAAATTATTCTCGCACCGCTCCTAATTATGCTCTTTAAATCTCTCCTAGCGCCTTTTTATGTGCCCCATTCCATCAGCCACCTGATTAATGCATTCGGCAAATTGTGCTCTTGATAGTACCACTGAATTTTTAGTTTATCCCGTCGTTTATTACATTATGCTCATGGCACCAGTTATGAGTCAACTTATCATATGACAGACTTGGAGTCAGATGCTCCTGCAGCCTATGGCATGATTCACCGCTGACTTGACTTTGGAAAAACAACTATTTCTTCGCATTCTTTTTACTTCTTTCTGGATCGATGAGCGCATTGATATCAATTATGCAAAATCATGCCCTGCATTGATACTAATTCGAAACCGTATCATTCATACGCAACATGATGATTATATATGTAACAAATGTGGTTGGCTTTCTGAGGAAAATGCTGAAAGCCGTCGTAAGAATTCTCTCATTGCAGAAGAGCGGCCGTCGGTATATGAGTTTATTAAACTGGAGATTTATTCCTTTTATCTCAGCCAGTATGAGATTTATTCTCAATGCTTGTGAGATACAGGAGAAGACGTGGAGAGCAACAGTTTGCTCTCACTTGCTATACAATTTGTTGTTCTCTATGATTTGGCACCAGAAAGAAAGTATCTGCAGAAAAAATCTGACAAATCAAGAAGGAGAAGTAGTAGTAGTAGAAGAAGAAGAAGAAGACCAGGAGGCCCTGAGAATCTTGCAAATGAACACACCCATCACATAACTTCGGAGGCCCAAAAGTTAGCTCTATCTATCTTTGACATTGGTGTTCAATCGATGGTGGCGTCCACATCCATTCGCTGATGATGGGTGTTCCAGCTGATGCCCCCCCCCCGGCTCTACATTCGCTGCTGTTCAGACGAACCTCCATTCTTTCTAGGCTGCTGCCTGATTGGGTTGTAGTTGATCGAAACGTGTCTGACGAAGTGGAGCTGCAGAAGACAGAAGATAAGCATTCATGCCCGTCTAAAACTTCAACGAGGGGTTTGAAGGCTTTGGATTCAACAGAGGTGGAAGGGCCAGTTCAACATGCTGGAAAGACGGCTTCGGCTAAGTGGCCTTGGTTCCAGCTGCTGCATATCATCGGGCAGCTGATGGATGGGGGAACACACATGAATTGCAGCTGTGGCGGCGGTTTGCTCTCCCCCGTATTGGCTTCTGGGAACCAGAGCTCCGGATTTCAAGAATAACTACTACAGGCATCTAATCCCCTGAAAAAAGTGGATAAGGAGAGGCGGGGACGGGGAGATTCCATGAATCCGGGTAGTGTTCAGATTCCATTCCTAGATCATCCGTCCATTCCTCAAGTGGCACAGACATATAAACCTTAATACTCTCCTTAGGTGACATGGGTGCAAACATCTTGTTGCGGTTTGCAGTGGTCATGCCATGAATATGCTCAGCCGTCCTCACTTATCATACGAAAATACAAATTTGATCATCCAGGGTAGGGATGATACCAAAACTCAAAAAGAGTCATGCTCTTGGTGTTTTTTATTAGGTGATTCAACACTCCAGGAAGCAAGGAAACAAATGCAAATCAAAATCCTGCCCGGAGGATTTTAAATCCAAAGAAAGTTTAGACGGCAAAATCTTTTAGCAAGTTAGCAACCAATGAATATCATAAAAAAAACTTGTAAAAACAATGTTAGATCGATGACTGCCGCATCAGGGAATCAATGAAGAGCATAAGACACTAGCAAAAATAAATAGAAAAAAGCAAAAAAAAGCAAAATTGGGATTAAAGTCTTGCAACAAAAAATTCAACGACGAAGGTCTCTTCCGTTATTTGTAAGAGAAAAATAAAACATAATTTTTATTTTAAAGATTCAGAAAGAAATAGTTAACAATTAAAGGAATTCTTAAATTCATTGGTAATAAAACATCAAGAAGATGGGATAAAAATGTATTTTTGCCTTCAAGCGCCTGAAATATCTCAGAGTATCCCCCACTAATAGAGAGCTTCCATATTTCTGCTGAGATGGATAAAAGTCCAATTTTTAAACTGGGGACCTTCTAGCCAAAGGAGATAAAAGCTCCCCCCCCCCGCCAATTCTCCACTACTCTGCTGCCGCCGAAATTCAACAGAGACCGGGGCTTACTTGCATATTCGACAAATATTGACCTTTTCTCTGATTCGAGGGATTTTTTAGGGGAATACAACTACAAGATCCTAAAAACCAACGAATGCAGAGACTGGATCGCTTTGACTTTGTTTGAGATAGAAAGAAGCAGGCGTAGGAGATGCACAGATTCTCTGACCTGGGGTCCACGCCCGGCTGCTTCATTCGAGTAACACAGAAAAATGCCCAAGAACAGCTCACAAGCATATCTATGATTCCCAATTGTTTCACAGATGCCTCTTCGGCTCACTGTAACTCCACACAACATGGTGCAGAATCATCGATACTGCAGCAGAAGATGATGGGGACACCAGACCAGAGGAAGCAGACCCAGTTAATTTCTAAAATGGCCAACGCGCAGAAGATGATGGGACATGCTCATAGGTGCAGTTAGACAGCAGAGTTAGATTAAAATTTGATAAAGATAGGCATGATCTGCTGTTGAGCAAGCAAGTAGAGGGGGCATAATTTGGCGGAGGTACCTTATCCCCATCCTTGATTCCAAATGTTTTGAGCGATGCCTTGTTATCAGTTAGTTTCTGATTCATGTAGCATAGACAGAAATGACCCCACACATGAGACCTGAAGAACATCAACGATAGACCTTGCTCACTTCCTCGGGAAGGCAGGAATCTGGAGCCCATGCTGACACATGAGATCACAGATGCAGGTAGACAGACGAACAGGACAATCTCTCACCAGGAGATCCCGGCTCCGCCTCCTCTTGGCGACCCGGAGAAGATCTCCTCCACTGCCAGCTTTAACTCCGTCACAGAAGCCGACTTGACAACTTGAACATCTGAAGAAATCAACCGCTGGGTTTCAGAACAAATCGTACAAGAAACTGTCAAAAGGGGAAAGAGAGAGGCCTGTGTGCGTGTGTGCGTGTTGGGTGGTTGTGGGCGGGTGTGGAGAGGGGGGGCAGATGATTTCACCAAAAGAGGAGCCATCCAGCTTGACGATGGTGAGACGGAGCTGCTGCGCGGGGAGCCGGTCGTAGGAGAAGGCGCTCCACCGGCTGAATCCAGCGCCGACCCCTCTGCATCCGACGTCGACCATCTTGGAGTGGAATTGCGGTTGGCGATGGCAGTCCCTCGCGAAGTGCGGTGATGGCCTGTGTTGATGTCTCTGCTTCCCTTCACCTCCATCGCCGCCTCCGCCGCCGCCGCCACCAATGTCGAAGGCGGAACCGCCATAGTTGGAAGAGAAGGACCTGCTCCGGCGGTGCGAGCCATGACCGGAGAGCTCCTGCGCCGGCGTCGATGGCCTCTGAGGCCGCTTGCGTGGCGCCTCGGACGCCGAGCGGCGGGGGGGCTGCTCCCACCTCGCCGCCACTCTGGGCATCAAGGAGAGCTCAAACAACGAAAGCCCAGCTAAACCTGGAAGGCCTCGTCACTTGCAGACCCCCCTCCTCCCGGAGCTCTTCCTCCAGGGGAATCAACCAGAGCTGATAAATGGCGAGCTCCACCAGCCGGAGAAAAAAAGAGAGAAAGAGACATACGGAAGAGGATTCCGTACCCACCTCACACTCTTCCTCGTTCCATTTCACCTCCTCCAGTTCCCTGAGATTCTCGCGATGCCCCGCCACCAGAGGCCGGGGAGGAGAAGGGGAAGGCAAGGCAACGCAAGGAATCTCCTTCCTCCCCGTTGGGTTTCCGCCCGAGTGGGAGGTGCAGGGAGGGAGGGGGTGGGGGGCCTCCGCCTTCCTCCGTTGGCCTGGCTTGGAAGGCGGGGTAGTTACAGCTCCGTGTCAAGAGAGAAGAAAGAAAATAGACGACGACCACGACACGTGGGTAGAGAGAGAAATCTACAGAGAGAGAGAGAGAGAGATGACCGACCACGAGGAGCCCCTATGCTCTGGAGGACAACGCAACGGCTACCCATCCATCTGCAGTGTAGACGACGACAGCCTTTGTCGCCTCCCTCACTGTGGGAGCTGCACCAGCAGCAGCAGAAGCAGCAGCAGCAGCAGCAGCAGCAACAGAAGCCAGAGGAAGGTGAAGACGGAGGGCTCTCGTCACGGGTCGTCAGCTCTCGACAGTAAAAGGGTCTGTCTGAATCTATCTTCAACGCGCTGCTTCTCATCCGGAATGAATAATGTCCGACCTCGGAGAGAAGAAGGGCAAGCAGGATGGCTATGGCGTGGGAGAGCTCCTGTCTCTGACGGTCTTGAGGGCCTCCATCCATCCAGTTTGGACCCCAAAAACGGCGAACAGCGGACGGTGGCCGTGATGTTGTGATGAAATCTCTCTTCCTGCACTTTGGCTATTTTCTCTACGGCGCCCTTTACTCGACCTTCTCCATCTTCACACCTGAGCTTGGCGATGGCAGGCAAGCTTGGGATCGGAGTACTACCATCACTGGTGGACGCCATGACCTTTCAGAAGCTTGAGAACACGAAAGCCTGGAAAGATTGCCCCCCCCCAACCCATGATCGTCTCTGCGTGCATTAGGAGGCCTGCCCACGAGAGAAGATCTTGGAAATCCGCTCTCTCCCTCCTCACATCATCCATCCATCAATCCACCACGCTAATTCTGTATCTCTGGCATCAGCGCCTGAAATTTCGGCCAGATCTTAATATTATTTGCTGGATTTTGCTCCCATTATTCCCTAGGAGTAGTGCTATCCATGATCAGTGATGAATAACGGCTGATCGGACGCCAGCTAAATATAATTTTGATTTAGTGACTAGTATGATGGCGTATTCATCAACTTGTCTATTTTTTAAATGTTATTAAGTCTGGAAAATACTATTCTATGAAACTCCGTTTTGCTTCAACATGAGATTTTTTTTTTTTTTTTGTGAAACTCGTAAATACTATTCTATGATGGTTTTAATCTAGTTTCGCTAATAAAATCTATAAATGCAACTTGTATGCATGGCTTCATGGATGTCTTGGTCTTTTTTCTGAAGAGAATAAATGGAACAAGGAACCGAGAATTGCCCTTTAATAATCCGCCTAGTTGCACCGTGAGAGAGACGGCTTGGGATGACCGGGAGATGAAAGAAGCCGAGGAAAGAGAGGTTGAGCACAAGAATAAGAGAAAAAAGATATGAAAAAAAAAAGAAGAGTTCCATTGCGAGAGTTAGCTGTATGAGCTTGTAATGGGAAACACAAATAGAGAACCAGAAAGAGAGAGAGAGAGAGAGAGAGAGAGGAGGGAGAGGTGGGTGAGGGAGGGGGGGGGGGGAGGGGATGACAACCTTGAGAGAGAAAGAACGAGGGTGCGTGTATTGCCGTGAACGAGTAGTTTTAGAGCCGACGTCGTTCTCTAAACCTTCCGCGATCTTCAGCGTTGACGAGAATTCTGCGGAGAAGAGGAAGGAAAGGAGAGTCTTTTGTGGTTAGATCGGTCACATCAGATCGTTTTGGTGCAGGAGGGCATTCCACACGTGGAGAGAAGATCCACCTCGCGTTGGAAACATGTTAGAACCAACAGAGAGAAGCAGCAGAGCCTGGAACATGCTCTGATCGGGAGGGATAAATGCACTCCAACCTTATCCCTGCCCTAAAATAAGAGAGAAGAACGGCTAACCTGTCATCTCCTCCTGAAGATCCCCTCACACGATGACTGTAACTCATGAGCGCATGCTGGTGATCAGTCACTCGAAAGAATAAGAAGAAGAAGAAGAAGAAGAAGAAGAAGAGGGGAAGAAGAAGAAGAGGAGAAGAAGAAGAAGAGGGGAAGAAGAAGAAGAGGAGAAGAAGAAGAAGAGGGGAAGAAGAAGAAGAGGAGAAGAAGAAGAAGAGGAGAAGAAGAAGAAGAAGAAGAAGAAGAAGAAGAGGGGAAGAAGAAGAAGAGGAGAAGAAGAAGAAGAGGGGAAGAAGAAGAAGAGGAGAAGAAGAAGAAGAGGAGAAGAAGAAGAAGAAGAAGAAGAAGAAGAAGAAGAAGAAGAAGACTGATGAGAGGAGAGGAGGAAGATAGAAGATGAGGGAGAGAAAATGGTCTGCAAGCTACGACGAGAACGAAGGAGGAAGAAGAAGAAGAAGAAGAAGACTACTGATGAGACGGAGAAGAGGAAGATAGAAGATAAGGAAGGAGAGAAAGACCAAGAGTGATATTGGCGCGGCTCAATCTGAGATTGCATTACGAGTTCCTCGTAAACCGATCATCGGATTGAACCACAGCAATATCGCTCCTCTCCGCCATGGATCACCACATCCGCCGGCTTTCTTTCTCCCTCCGGCAGCCGGAAACCAACGTTCTATGTCTACAAACGGCCAACGCGGCAGCATGCACCAGGAAATAATGACTGGGAGATCCATCCGTCGAGAACCTCCCTTTCACGCCCTTCTCTGACAGCCATTATTAGAGCAAGCGAGGTAAAGGGGAAAGGCTTTTGCCTTCGGAAGAACATGAACCTAACATGGTGGCAGACCCATCCATCATCCGTTCCTGCTATTTTTAGAAGACGGGAGAAGCGAAGGGAGGGACTATAGAAGTAGCTGAGGGTTGACAGTGGCTGTGCCAGCGAGATGATGCAGATAGAGATTCAGCGGCAGGGGAAGGAGGGAGAGAGAGAGAGAGAGAGAGAGAGCGGTGGCGGAGAAGAAGGTGGGAGAGGGAGTGGAGGCATGTATGTGTAAGGGAAGCAAGAGCAAGGAGAGGAGGAATGCCTCGGGATTGTGAGGTATGGCTGAAGGAATGATGCAGAAGATGAAATCCATTTTCAACAGATTTTCTATACTGTTCACAGGAAATCATAAAAGCCAAGGTACACAAGTTCATTTACGAGCATTGACTCCCCGATCTAGAAATAATGACCAGCGGGATCTAATTCGTCTCCAAACCAAGTTTTACTCATCCAGACAGAGATTGATTGCCGAAAACCTACCCCAATTGATGACCAGAGAGAGCAGATGATGCACGAAAGGTCGTCGAGATGTGGGTTAGGTTACGAGATTCACAGAGAAATTAGCCTGGGAAACTGCGATAGGGAAGGCTATGAATGTTGTGGGCTCTTCGTCAGCCACAAGTCGAATCGCTCAGAGGAGAGAGCTCATAGTAGTATATAAGGCTGTTCATGGGGCCTCGTGCGTGAGAAATTTAAAAGACCCAAGAGGAGAGAGCTCAGAGGAGAATCTCCCCTTCCTTCCCTCCTTCCCTCCCTCCCTCCCTCCCCTTGGGAGCAGCACCGCAGAATGTCAGCCAACTGAACGGGCAGCTGCTTTGGGAAAAGCTCTGCAAGAAGTCGACGACGGGCAACAGCCTTCTTCTCTGCTGTCTTTACTTCTCTCTCTCTCTCTCTATCTTCACTTGTGTCTTCTCTTCTCTCCCTCTCCTTTGTCGTCCTTGTCTGCGTGTTGTTCGTTGCACGGTGCCCCAACCGCAATGGGGGGACAACCCCGTAGAAGCGGTCTTCCCATGTCAGTGCGAGCGGAGACAAGCGAGCTTGAGCTGCCCCCCCTCCAACTCCCCCTCCCCCGGGTTTTAATGGACGTCTTCGCTTCTTTCAATAACCTCACCAGCTCGACTGAAGACTTCCCCGCCAAGAAAGAAAGAAAGAAAGAAAGGCCCTCCCTTTCGAAAAGCTCATTAAACAACAGCTCTCTCTCTCTCTCTCTCCTCTCTCTCTCTTCTCTCTCCCCTCAGGTGGCCCCATGATTCGCGAAGGGCACGCGGAGGACGAGGACTAAACAAAGCGCCGTGCCCTCTTAAGGTGGGACAGAGTCGATTTTTCCCTTCTTTTTTTTTTCCCTTCAAATCTAAGCCGTCAAATTCATACCTGAGAAAGAGGGAAAACGAGAGTCGCGGATCAGCCCAATCCATTTCCAAGTTGGGCCACCGCGTGCACAACTTGTTTTCTTCTCTGGCCTCGTGGGTTGGTAGGATCGGAGGAAACTGAGATGCAAACGACGTGGAAGATCCAAAAGGGCAGAGACAGAATTACTACTTAAAAGACATCAAAGTTAGAGAGAGAGAGAGAGAGAGAGAGAGAGAGAGAGAGAGAGAGAGAGAGATGGATTGAAAGGGTCTCAAGAAGAAGGGAAGAAAAGAAGGGAGAGTGAGTTATTATTCTTTCGAGCAGTATAGGAAAGAAAAGGCTAAAGAACTGAAAAGATTCTGAAAAGATGCTCTTATTTCGGCCAAATTAAGTGAATCCTTGACAACAATTCATGAGCCAAGTACAAGTTCAGAGATGACGAAACTGCTGACCATCTTAAAAAAGGCAGATCCCACTGTTTGTGAAACAGTCGCCGATCTATATAACCGTTGAACCAGGAACGAACACTTTTCCCCTCTTTCATCATGAGACTGCTTCCTCCTCCGCAGAAGCCTCTTGCGCCTCAGAATAGTAGTCATGCCTAAGAAATATGAAACCCATAGTCAATGAGAACAGGCGGAGAAGATGGAGCAGGGGAGTCAACGGAACCCGGGTCAGGCCCAGTCCTTGCGGAAACCTCAAGAAAGGGCTCCCGCTAAGATCCCCATCAAAAAAAAAAAAAAAGTCAACATTCCAATCAACCAGGGGTGTTTATCATCCTTAAAAAAGCACAAGAAGAGAGGATTCTTTCCAGATGCTGCACTACTCTGAGATACGACATCATACCTGATCTTCCGGACCAGCTGGTAAATTCCTGTCCCAGCCATTGCAACATTTACACTGAAAAGATTCCAATTCTTCTGCAATCATAACAAGAAAAAAAATAAAAAAATAATTATCACCCACATCTACTAGAAACAACGGCAATGTGAGCCACTGCGGGCAGCTTCTGTGCACGGGTGATCCAGCAATGATTACAATGATGCAAAGGGTAACACTCTCAGTAGGAGACTAAGTGTGAATGATTGATTAATCAAACTGATTAGTTCTCCATTTCCATCATAACGTGAACAGTTGGAATGATTGATTAATCAAACTGCTGAATCTACCAGCTGGTTCGGAAATGGCCAGCTGGAATGCACATATCTCTCCATTTCCATCATAATGTGAACAGTTGGAATGCACATCATTTCCAAATATTTCCTGACTTACGAAAATATAAAAGAATAAGGCCAGTCTGCATCAATAGGAACTTTGTGATTTCTAAAGTTAATTCTACATTCAAATCCTCATGGAAGAAAGTATCTGCAGAAAGTAATAGGGTTTTACTGTAGAACGTTTACAATTGTTATCAAAAGAACGATGCCAACATCATCCTTCTAATGGAGGAAAATCATTGATATGCTCTGAGATCATAATATGTAAACATTGAGATAAGAATGTGTTCTTTTCGGCATTTATCTCAAATCATTTACTTTTTCTAACAGGGATATATACATTCCAATTTTTTAAAAATGCATATTTTTCACTTACTCAAAATATTTATACACTAGTTTGATGAATACCTACATATTGTAACCCAAAGTATAATTTTTTGGATTATTTTTTTGAAGCACTTGGTGAGTTTGGGGATCATGTTTTTCTCTAAGACAGCCATGACAATTTTATTCGAAATTTTAAGAGAGCTATGGATACTTAGCGAAGTGAACCATGAGGAAATTTACTCAAAGCAACGAAATTTAATTGAAGTTATAAAAAAATTGGACACTCTTCCTGATTTTCATTTGTAAAATCTAAGCAGCCTTTTCAAAAATGCCAAGAAACATACTCAATTAATCATATCTAAGCAAACCTTTCCGTATGGTAGAGATGTAATAGCAATACTTAGATCGAATTCATTATTATTAGATGCCTATGGATTTCCCTTTTTGAATGCTGACATCAGCACCATGAAAAACTGTCTTTCAAAGCTGGTCAGCCTGAGTGAAGTCATAGAAAAAAAAAAGAAGGCAAGAAAAAGAGGAACAGGCTAATTCCACCCAACAATTGCCTCTGGATCTTTCTCATCTACTTTAATCATTATTCATTCCCTCCCTTCACCTCCACCACCTGTATGAGATTGATTGTAATGGCTACAAATTGTGTCACCGTTAAAAGTGTTCTTAAACTTTTTACCCGTTTATAAGCATGCTTAACATGTCGTCAAAATCCATAAACATGCTTTATAGCTTTGCGACCAAATTGAATTTTTCCATCTACATCGTCCTATCCTTTTAAAGATGACTCGAACGAGATCGAGCAGATTCAAATCAACTCGAAAATCAGACATCTAAACATTATTCTGCCAGAATAATGTGTCAGAGCGTGCTTTGGCCCAAATGAAACCCTGCCTTGAAATGTCAGGAACAAACCTCACACCCAAGGGATCAAGCTCTTGTACCATAGTAGCACATCCTAAGATCAGCTAATCATTACGATGTCAAAACATGTTTACCATTAAGAAAAGGAGAATGTTTTTCACCAAAGATCTAACAGATTATGCTACTCAGACAATTTTTACACTGCCTCGTCAGGTTATATGTCAACAGTTTAGCACTACAATATAAATTAGGCGCAATAGTTGTAGCATGATTACATGGAAACTCATTACCAAAAACTTCCACATTGGATATGCGACCCAAGCTCCCAGAAATGTATTTCAGAGTCTCCACACTCTTCTCCACAGATATGATATGTCTGAAATTACACAGCCCATAAAACCAAAGCAATACATCAAACATCACCATGACATTTCCGATCCAACCCCGCATGCTGGTGATTTTCAGATTCTCTTTTAATCTTCAATCCAACTAATACGAACATAAGTTATTTCTAAACTCGAATGTACAACAATACTCATCCATCCAAACAATGAAAACCTCACTTAAAATGAAGCATCACAGTAATTAGACTGACAAATAAAAGAGAGATTACTAATGCACCAAAGACAACCATCCAAATTAAACAAAGAAACCATTTTGCATGAAAAGCAACGCCGCTGAATAAAACACTGCATAGGACAATTATTAATTTTCAAATAGCTTTTAGAGGAAGACAGACAACAACCAGAATAGAATTGTGGTATGCTCAAAATGAAGGTTTAGTATGCCACCAATGTTTCTGTGCCCACAAATTCATTCCAAAGGAATAAAGTTCGCCATCCAACAGAACATGACACCATGTTTTCGTTGATAAGAGAACAGCATAAAATTTGCCAAGTTAAGTGTGTTACAAAGCGTTTAACCCTTTTATAATTTTCTCCTCTTACCGGTTTAATTACTGTACTGTAGCGCGACCAAATAACCCCGGTGCATGTGACAGCTGCAGACAATAAAATAGAAGTAAAATACTCATCCATTCAATCAGAAATTTTAAAACCAGCGGATAAAATGCTAAAATAAGCTTAAGATAACTGGTAGTAAATACAACTTACCAGCTTGCTGTGGATACGAGATTTTTTCTGGTGGCTTTGCGAAATCAGCAACATTTGCTATACTGATACCCCACTTAAAGGTTGGCGCCCAAAAGTGAACTGCCATGATAAAACAATATCTAGTTAGAGTAAAGTGGAAAACACTTTAAAGTAACATGTTCAATGCGCAATGATAATGCTGAAACTTATCTCTCAATTAATAGTTTTACAGAATATATGATTACACATATCACAAACCATCAAGACAGGATGCCAAGTACACAAGCAGCATAATCCTTGTAACTATGATTCTGAATTCAAAGAAGCACACACCCACATCAGAAAGCATAATAGAATAGCCATATGTTTCCATGCATATTCTACGCATTAAAACTTACGAAATGATTAAATCTTAAAACGGATCAACTTTTATAAGACCAAACATAAAAACCTTTTTCCTGTATTATCATATAAAATGGAGGATCCACGAAGGCTCACTAGATGTTCATACTAAATATATAGCAATTTAATCGAAGTCAGTGTCACTATCACAGGTGTCATATTATAAACATAGTTGATGAAGAAACTCCTGACGTCCAAGGATTTTTCATCGCTATTGCGCAACCAATTGCGTCAACCAAGTAAGTGTTTAGAATGTCATTTCCAATTCCTGAGAGAATCTGAAACAAAAATTATGAAACGTTCGAAATTAGACACGTCGTTAGGTTGGAATCAAAGAGACCAGGATCTACGTATACAAGCTTTCCCTACACCTGGACAGGTCCGCAGCATATATCCTCCCAGATAGTGTGAGGGGGAGCAACCCGCGAAGCGCAAGAGATGGCCTATGCCACCGTTCTCGAGAGTAAACAAATTCTTAAGAATCTACCCGATACTCCAAGACCTGAAGAAGAACGAAGCTACATTTTCAAACGCTTAACGTCAACCATTCGGTTTTCTTCAGCAGTCCGCATAATTCACTGGGATAGTACGCAACAGTAAAACAGCATTTGGCCGTGTAGGGCGGACATCTAGAAGTTAGACCAGATTTAAAAATACATGCGAAAAATACATGTGACTCAAAAATTCTGTTGACTAAACAGAATCGCCCCACGTCAGAGAGCACACAGATGAGAGACGCGAGGAGGAAGAGAAGAAAAGCAACGGCAACTGAACTCGTCTTGGGACCGGCGGGGTGATTCCAGAGAGCTTGGATCTTAGTCGCCGCCATAGCGAAAGGCTCCCCGGGTTCCTCGGCCCCCCCTCTCCCGCTCTTCCCCTCCGCTTCCTCCTCTTCCCTCTTCCACGACTAGCAACGAGAGAGAGAGAGAGAGAGAAGGGATGAAGGTCCACGGAACGATCCGATCGGAGCCACCTAATCTTCGGGTCAACGATCAGATGATTGCAGATCAAGAGGGATTCACAGATCAGACGGCAAACAGAGAGACAGGTGTTGTTGGTCACTATAGTACTTGAATCAACGGTCCGATCGCCATCAAGCTAGTCCAGACTTTAAAGAAAATACAAGGGGTCAACAAAAATGTTTTATTTTATAAATATGCCCCAAATCTTGGAGAAATTTTAAATCACCCCTACTTTCTCTCTCCAAATTTCAGAATATACAAACAGTTTCTCTCTCCTCAAGTAGAGCGTCTCAGTGCCGTTATCGAAAATACTGTACTGACGAGGTCTGCTGCAAGTCCGTTTATATTTAGGGATGAATATGAAAAATTCTCACTATTTATTTATCTTGAAGCATCCGCTTCTTCCGCAGTGGTGGGAGGCGAAGAGGCAGAAGGGGGAGCTGAGACAGTCGCCATGGCTGCTTCCAGTCAGGTTTCCCGTCTGCTGGGCTGGTTTTCTTCTTCTTTGATCTTCAGTTTGATGTCCTTACCGTTTTCCCTCCCTCTTTTCTCTTTTTCAGGGTCATAATAACTCACTCCAGCGACTCAATCACGTTGAGAAGGTCCGCGCTGTGCCTCTTTTGCTCCGGTCTCCTTGTCTCGTAAGAAGAGCTGGTTTTCATTTTGTTTTGGTTGGTGCAGATGATTGTGCGGGTGCTGGAGCTGGCGGGCGCCGTCATGGATGAGCTTGCCGGCCCCTCGGGTCCCAGGAAGGACGCTATTGCTAGCCATTGCCACGAGTTCATGCAGTCCATCAAGGTCTCTCGTTACCCGGCCCTCCCCTCCGGGGGCAAAACCCCCGCCGTGTAATTTGTTTCCTGGCGTTCGAAATCCTCTTCTTCTGGTCGATCCAACCTGTTCTTACCTTAAAGTGGGTTTGATATGGTGGGATTCTCTGCTCTGAATCTCTCTCCTTTTGCTCGATTTCATCCTCCCTGGCTTCACGGGTCCCTTTTAATTGAGCTTTTTATATCTGAGGAGTGGCTTTACCAATTGGTGGCTTGTTTACTTAACAGAGAATTCTTCTAGTTTTCTCACATTTATACTGGAGTATTCACTACTTAATTGAGAATACAGCAGTATAATTCAGGAAAAGTAGTTAATATGTCTCATTATGGCGGAATTGTTGTTGTGTTTCGACGGACGATGTGAATCATCGGAGTAAATTATTTATTTGTCTCCAGATACTCCTAGTTACCCAGAGAGCCATTATATGGCTGAAGGAATGCGTCTGGTCTGAGAATTCTAGCTATTTGTCATGGGAAAAGGTGGCAGATGCTGACTTTTTGACAGAAGGATGAGAAAAGTGATCCGAAGTTCGTATCATTTTAGTTACCCAGCTAAATAAGTTTGTTTCCAATGACGCAGCCTCACTTAAAGTTTAGGTCAGCGATTCTATGACGAGGACATTACACAAACCTGCTCACTTCTTCTTTCCCTATTTGATCAGCTTTTAATTTTTCTATGTTCACGAAGGCCATTGTCCCTATCCCAAGATGACCATACAGATCCTGTTGCATGGCCTGCCAGATATGCCAAGTGGGTTGTTCTGCTGTCATAGATGCTTTTATATATTGTTTTAATCGGCGGTTGAACTGGAATCAAAATAGACCTTCAAAGAGTCCCCTTATCAGCTTCAAGCGACCTAGTTTTTAGAAAAATCACTGCTCCTGTAAGGATTTCCCAAATACTAGTAAAATCCTTCTGAAATCCTCTTCTTTCTTTTTCCTTTATTTCGTTTTCCTTTCTGTCTACAAACTTTTGTTTTTATAAACTTGGATACATTTTTTTTGTCAGATTATCAAACGAGGATATCCCTCCTATAGTTTTTTTTTTTTGACTTTATTCTGGAGGAACATTCTCTTCAGAGTCTTTAATCTTATGTAGGACAACCACTTGCAGGAGTTTCTTCAAAGCATTTCGTGTGTAGACAGACATTTGGGGATGTTATCAGTTAGTGGAGTAGAAGATGCAGAATATGAGCAGTTAAAAAAGAAGAGTGGTCGCTGTTACTATTCTTAGGAGAAAAATTATCTTTGCTGTGAGCTAAGATGATGTCCCCTTTGCGGTGGAATTCTGGTGATTTTCCTCGTCCTCTACAGATTTTGTCTCTTTAAAAAGTCGTATAGTGTTGATCTGGGTGACTATTCTTTTATTTCCCATCACTATCATTCGTATGGAAGTTACAGTAATGCAAATTCCAGTTATCACATAGAAGATAAGGTAATTGACTCAGACAACCAGTTTCTAGTTGAACAATGAAAGGGTTCCCAAGGGAAAGGAAAGATCTTTGATTTGAAATGGCTGTGCCCACCAACTACTTAGATCCACACTTTTGTATACATTATGTGTAATTGTGTTTCTTATATCTACCATTTTCATGATTTCACATATATCCTAGTAGGTAGTTGGCACTTCCAGAGCTACGACTTGCTTTAGCCAGTGCTGTATCTTAAAAGGCCGTCCCTTGTACCCGTCAACTGGGGCATTGGACTGTTCTTGGTCACCTGGAAAGAAGAAGACTACGTGATTCACTGTCATCTTTTGCGGGTTTGCTCGGAGACTACAAGCCTTCCAGCTCTTGTGGCCATCTCATCAATGGGATGGCACAGCTCGACAGAAAATCCTGCCCAGTTCCCCCTGATTCGTACATTGTTGATCTGTCTGTCTCTATTAATCTGACCATCCAACTCAAAACCAGTTGTCAATGGGCGATCAATTTTCACTGCAAAGCCCGACCCGTCGTCTTCAATGAGGGACGGCCATTCTGCTGTCTCAACACTGACATGGCCTAGCGTGCCCGACTGTCTCGTGCAGGACATCCAGTCGAATCTGCGAGAAGAGATTAAGAGCGTCTGCGAGTACCGCCCGTTTGAGATGTGCGACTACAATTCGAGAATAGCCAACGAGATCTGCTGCCAGAAGCTGGACTATGTGATCAGACAGCTGGATGGTATGAAACAGAATCTTGATCGGTGCAGGGAACCACTCCTCTGAGCCTGCGATCCCAATTGCACACAGTCACAGTCAAACAGCTGGTTGAGCCCAGCTTCTGATTATTAACCATGTGATGAATTTGCTGCTGGATGCTCTCAACTTTTCTGGGCCTGTCGCTCAACCAAACCCGGTTCTCTAACGCGCTGTTTTGTGGATACCATTTACTTGAAAGCTCTCTCCGCTTGAACGTCCTCTCTTTCCATCTCTACCGGCCAACATTTATTAGTGTTTTCCGCCTCTCTCTCTCTCTCTCTCTCTCTCTCTCTGTATCAGTGGTATTGTCCTCTTATCGCTCAACCACAGCGCCCGCCTAGTCAATGGAGGCGATTGCTCGAGTTCAGAGATTTCCCCGAGACTGCCCACCTGGACGGTGCATCCCAAATCCAGATGGAAGACGTTCTTCTTCTTCCTTAGGCTCTGTTAATCACAACAATATCCAAGATTACTTTTTTAAGAAGAAAAAGAAAATATGAATTAGGAGCAAGCAGGCCCTTATCAATTTCTTCATGGATAGTCGCAAACAAACATGAGTAGTATACGCGCTTCTCCTTTTTTTCTTTTTCTTTTTAGAAATCGAATTACAATTTTACTGATGAAAATTAGTGACGGATGAAGATGAGCTCGGCCCTGTAAAAAATCCACAGAAGAAGTCCGGTGCAGTAAGGGGGCCCTGACGAATTTTATCAAGCAGATAAAGTGCGCTGCGCTCGGGCCAACCAAATTGGCACTATAAAAATCCACGTCCGCTGGATAAGCTTCCTCCCTCCCGCTGCTCTCCCTCTCCGGCTCCAATGGCTTCCTCGAGTTTCTTACGTCTCCAATTCCCAAAGGCCCCCCCTTCCCTGCGGCCCATCAGCACCTCCTTCCCCGCCGCCGCCCCCTCCCATCTCCGTTCCACCGGAGGGGCCTCGCCTCTGCTCCCTTCTTCCCGGCTCGTATCCACCTTTGCTCCCGCCGGTCCAGTTCCCCGCGAAGCTGGCAATGCGGTGGCCTTCAGCATGGGATACAACGTGCAGGTGGTCGTCGTGGAGGACGAGCCCGACGAGGTGCTGCTCCGGCGATTCCGGAGGGAGGTCACCAAGGCGGGGGTGATTCAGGAGTGCAAGCGCCGGAGGTTCTTCGAGAACAAGCAGGAAGAGAAGAAGCGCAAGGCCCGCGAGGCTGGGCGGAGGAACCGCAGGAGGTAATTGCAAACTAAAAAATTCTAAATCACGCTAGCGTATATTGCTGACCATTTTTTCTCGTCGAGAACCCAAGGAAGCATTTACTCGGTCGTGTTTCTGCTTTCTCCTAGCGCTACAGTAGTGATATTTCAGATCGGAAAAATCTAGCTGATGGACTCTGTGAAAAGACTTGATCCTTGGGGGGTAGCACAGTAAATGGAGCCCGGCTTCATCGTAATGCGTAGCAGTTTCTTAATTCTCGATGGCGCAAAAAGAAGCACCCTTTTGCAAGTTCATAAATATTAAACTATCCACGAAAATAAGTAAAAATGCAGCTCATTTAGACCGACTATTTGACGGGGATTGCATTTTCTTTGCGCAATAGGTTCTGATTTCTCAGTGGTACAAGGAACGGTGTTTTTTTCTAGGTCATAACTTAAAGTGCGATAAATGTCAAAAAAATTGGCTCACTCAGACGTATCATTTGATGCAGATCTGATGGTATTTTAAACACGTAGTTTGCTACATACCCGAACTTTCAGCTGCTACTTATGAACAGAAAGATAAATATTCGTACGAGAACTCTTCTCTGTCTTCCAGGAGTAATTTAGATGGTATGAAATGAGAAATCAGAAAAAACTGAACTCCGTTGGCCTATCTAGCTTTAGACTGTACTCAGTCCTTCAGTTTCATGATTCTCCAACCTATCAATTAGGCGTATTTGCTACTACTGTTGAACTTACAAAAAAAAAAAAAAAAAAAGAAGGACGTTGGCTCTCAATTAGTTTTGTCTAAATTTTCCCACTATTTTCAGTTAAAAGGACAAGTGGTTTTATCAAACAGGAACCTGCTTTGAGTTGGCACAGAGGATACCATGTGGCTTAAGAGAAAACCTGATTCTGACAGGAAACAATACTTGTTGAGATCTGCTCCTAGAATTCTTTAAAGGTCGATTATATGACCTTCCTTCTGGATTAGAGCCCAGGGAGCCTGATTATTTGTATGAGATCTTTGCTATCATCCTCATCACAGAGACCATAAATCCAACGCTTGCATCATTCCTTTATAATTAAATATCTTTTGGAACGTGAACTTGTTATTGAAGTCGAGGAACAAAAAAGAAGAAAGTAGCACCCTATATGAATCCAATCATCGTTCTCATTCCAGTATTAATTGAGCAGTTTCTCTGAACTTCCTTTTTAGAAGGTGGTACAAAAGAGACGATGCCCATTATGACCAAAGAGATCACTCACAAAGAATTTCAAAAACCCTGCCTTCGTTTTGCCAGAAGTTAAAACCCTTCAGCATGAATTAAAGAATTATTTAGTCTAAATTTGCAGTGGTTGCACAATCCTTCACTGAGAAATTTCATGCGGATGAAAGATTTTGTCTCTGGACAGACATCCTGTCTTCGTTTTTGAGAGATAATTTTTACCCTTATCTGTGGATATCTGAACTTAATTTTTGGAGTAGTTGGAAAAGTCATCCCGTGCCAACATCAGTCATCTCAAAGCTTAAAGCTGTACTATCTCCAACTTGGAAAATCCCACTCGCTTATGGTTTATCAAAGTTGATTTGTGGACTATCTGCGTAGTCAAAAAGTCTAAGAGATGCTGCCACCACTGTATTCCTCCTGCACAAGTCTAAAACTCTGTATTCCTCCTGCCTGACCTTCTTCTTCAACCTTTTTTTCTACAAATTTGTGTTGCGCTATCGCAATGAAGATGATCAAAGACTTGATTTCCTTCTATCAAACAAGTTATCCTTAAAAAGAAGTCATTATTTTCTCATTTATACGAACGAATAAACTGTCCTTACATAGGCATTATAATACCTGGTTAATAACCTTTTGTGTGATTCCCATAAAAAAAGGGATGCCTGAAGGCCTCCAAATTGTCTCACTGCCTCTATAAGGTCTTTGCAAGTCGCTTTTGATTACTTTAGGTGGAAAGCCAAGGGGATTCCATCTAGGACTGATGATTTGCTAGGATCTATACTGAAGATGGCGTATCTCCCTCTTCATTCATCTATACCCTTGACACTTTTCTGGCAGCTGAAGGAAAAAAATGCATTGATATGTCAGTGTTGAAGATTTGGGATAATGCCCAAAAGAGAAGAGGTTTACATCTTTTGCTTCAATCTGGAAGCATTGTATCAACTGATCCCTATGTCTGTTGCCCACTCAGTTTTCAAATACTGAATACAGACCCAAGGAACATGCCCAAAAAATAAATAAAAAAAACATAAAAAGGAGATGCCATGAACAGGGATCTATGGAATAAAGAGTTGCCTCTGTATGAAGCTTCGGGTGACGGACAGAATTCATTTGATATTAGCGTAAAGGTATGACGTGTGTGTTTAAGTCTTTTGACTCAGCCTGCATTTTGGTGCGGTCTCAACCCATGCATTCATATTTGGCATTCAGGTTTCTTTTTGAAGTTTTGCATTGAGGAATTCTATGTAGCCATCGAAAGTTTTCTGTCCTTCTTTGGTTACCTTCGCTCCCTTCTTAATGATTCAATTCTGACTTTCCTCCTCTGTTAACGTCTTTTCAGAGCATGGTGTTAATGAACTACTTGAAGCCATTGTGAATCGCCTTTCCTCGTATCTTAATGGAACCAGTTCTTAGTTCCTCTTCTGCCATCATCTACAGTATCAAAAATTTTGTTTTCTGATTATTTTCCTAATCCATTGTTCATGGCACCCTGTATTTCTCTCAAGGGTGTATTCCCCCCCTCTAGATCTTCCACTTAATGTCAGAGGTCTTCCCTTACGATATTTTCTATTGCAGAATTCTTGTCCTGATCTCATGATTGGTTTCTGCTCCGCCCGAGTTTGTGAAGGAAGCTTGTGTTTCTGTTCTATCCTTCCAGGAACTCATTACCAATTCATTTGACCGTCAGTTTCATATCTTAAGAATCCATTGGTTTTAGATCTTTGGGTTACCCTCTGGAGGAATGTCAAAATTTAATCTTGTCAAATCATTTGGCAACACCTGAGGGAAATTTCCTAATCTCAATGGCGCCATTAATAACGAGACCCATGTTATGTGCGGACTCCGTTTGCACACATATTTCACTATTTGCTTGGAAAGCCCCTTACACATATATATATATCAAGAATCCTAATCTTGAAAAGCTGGATCCTACTTATTGAGTCTTGGATTTGAGATCTGTTGATTTTTTAATATTTCTTATTTTCTGTTCACCGAGGATTATTATATATATATATATGGGAAGAGAATAGTTCTTTTGATTCAGGGTTATCCTCAGAAATGAAAATCTGTAACCCCATTAAAAGCCGGAAAAAATTGACGACCATTAACTTGATTCTTCCCAGACGATCCGGCCCGAGGACTAATTTTGCGCCGACCTCATCAAAGTCAGATGGTTCCAAGAAGGTGGCAGAGGATGCAGATGACAACTGGGAGATGCCAGAGGAGAGCCTTTCTTTTTGAAACCTTATCGGGGAGCTCCCTCATGGATTTGACGATGCTCTTTTTTAGACATCACCCCCATCGGAATTGATTGGTTCTAATCTGTTCGATCTGAGTTTTTTCTTCCGTGTATAGTGGACCCATCTGTTTCTGGGTCATCTGTTTCTTTCTTATGAAAGAGGCGGGCTTCTTGTTGAGAGCTCCACGGCCATGCTCTCACCTACCTTTGGATGAAATTGTGTGATGGGATACTGCATGATGTTCATTTCACGGGGGGATACTGCGCCGAGAGCGATCATTGCTCACGACAGATTCGTCAACGGATGAAAGTGTCAACCTCGTTACAATCTCAGTTCTATGATTTCTGACCACAAAAGTATGGGCGCTTTCCAGGGGAATCTGTACATTAAAATCTCCACGGAGATCGTTCATGTCGATTGTCATCTACATGCAGATGCTGGTGCACGAAGAACCCTTTTCCTAACTCACACAAGAGTGGCTAAAACCTTGTAGTTGTTGACTTTCAAGCATCTTCTTCTTCTTCTTCTTCTTCAAGCTTGAACAGGAACAAATGAACAGGCGGCGATGCAGCCCTTGAAGCTCCTCCTGAGTGAGATTCGGCGCGTGAGCTCCACACCGGAAGGACAGAGCGGCGTGCCCTCTCGCAGGCACTGATCGTATCTCTCCAACACCGCCACAATGTGATCAAAGTCTGGCCGCTTGATCGGATTGGCCGACCAGCACCTCTGTATCAGGTCGTTGAGGACAGGAGCGCAATTCTCCGACAACGGCGGCCTGAGATTCTGCGAGACCAGAAGAAACCAATTTCTTTTATTTTTTATGCGAACCCAACATTTTTAGATTGTAAGAGTGAATAAAATTGTTGGCACAAGAAAGAAACTCCATCAAGTAGATAATGGGCATCAATAAATTTTAACAAAAAATGAACTCCAATAAAAATTTCGTTTTTATGCCCAATGAAAAGGTGTTTCATAAAGGTTATCTAGATTTTCATGCAGAACTGAGTATTTATTTAAATAAAAAAATAGCATGAAAGCTCGAAACGTTATAATTCTTCATAAAAAAGCACATGAGATGTTCTATACGCAGATCGAGATCTATGAAGTCTATGTTCCATATTAGCACCACAATCGTCAAACTCCATATTAACGAACGTCAACGTAGAAAATGAAATTATTTGGTCAGTTCAACGAACGGACTCTATCAAGCGTGGCTCGCTCTATTGTTCATCTTTGACTGGTTATTTGGGTTAAAAGCATCATGAAAATCTTACTAGTTGTCAAACTCATCTATTTCTTGGGGGAAAAAGATGCCATGGTTTGGACCATTAAAAATAATCTTTTTACATAAAATTTTACTTAAATTCTCATGTCAAAGAAAAGCGCAATGAAATTGAAAGTGACCAGGAGAAAGAGAAACCTTCCACCTATAATTTTTGCTGAAAAACTAGTGATAAGGTGTTGTCAACAAAGGCAGAAACTCTACGACAAAAAATTGAAGTAATATCTGTGTCAACATAGAAAAAAAATGCATGGTTTGTACAATGTTCCAACCCTATGAGTCATGATCTGTCCAAATTCCCATGCAAGAAAATCAGTTAAAATAAAAAAATAAAACGAAAACTTAAGCAAGTGGTCAGAATAATCGGATTGTAGCAGAAAGAGAATGCATGGCTCATCGATTGATCAAAATTCTATGAGTTCATGTTTCTCCGATTTTTCTTGTGAGACCAATTGGATTGAATCTACGAAGAACGTGAAAATCAACACAGACCAATAAAGGCACAAAGGAATAAATACTGATTAAAATTTTATGGCGAAACCGATTATTAAATTTATATTGAAACAGCTAGCAGGGGAATTGAACAAATGTGCGATCCTGGTCAACGAACGTGGAAAACATCAAAACAAACGGCGCAGTTTTCACGGGGATGTAATATATTCAGTCAACACTGAATCGTTTAGATTTTTTGCTGCAATCTTTGATCAGGATAAGATTCAATGAGCTGGAAGTCCAAAGCAGTGTAGTAGTAACCTTCTCACAAGCGGCATACGCGGCTTGAACTGGGGTCAACTCCTGGAAAGGAACCAGAGCAGTGGTCAACTCCCAGAGCACCATCCCGAAGCTGTACACGTCGACCTTCCTGGTGTAAGCCTTGTTCTTGATCATCTCCGGGGCCATCCAGCGGTACGTCCCCATGCAGCCGCCGCTTCTGGGAGCTCCGTTCTGTGTGGTCTCCGCCATGCAGGAGGTGCCAAAGTCAGCGACTTTGACTCGAAGTTCGTCGTCGAGGAGTAAGTTATCGGACTTGAGGTCTCGGTGGATGACGCCCTGCGAGTGGAGGTACTTCATTCCTCGCGATATGTCCAGCGCCAGCCTCAGAATCGTCCCGGTTGGAAGCGAGTAGGGCTCCTTCTTGTGAAGGAACATCCTCAGAGTGCCCTGCGGCATGTACTCGGTGATGATGCAGTAGACCGGGGGCTTGTTGCAGGCGGAGATAAACTGCGGATAATACGAGCCGACCCGGGATTGTTACTCTTCACAACGATACGATGATCACAGAGGAAGGAAGAGAGATAGAGAGAGAGAGAGAGAGAGAGAGAGAGAGAGAGAGAGAGAGAGAGAGAGAGAGAGAGAGAGAGATCAGTGGAGAATTCGTGATCTCTATGCATGGGTTCGTCCAGCACGATAATTTACAGGAAGGTGTCGCAAAAGAAAGCAATCAAGGGAGAGAGAGAGAGAGAGAGGAATTCTCCGCTGAACTTACCTGCACTATGTTGGGGTGGTAGAGGCGGGAGAGCAAGGAGACCTCGCAAGTGAATTGCTTCTCCAGGAGAATCCGGGTCTCCTCTTCCTCCGCTTCCGGGACCTTAACCATCTTCACCGCCACCGCCCTGTCCTTGTAGATCCCACGGTAGATCCTGCTCCGCGATCCAGCGGCGAACATGTTCCCAATGAGGAGCTGCGACAAATCAGCCTTCCAACCCTCCGCCGCCGCCGCCGCTCCGCCCCCTTCGACCGCGCCGGGTTCCAGCAGCATCGACCACGACTCCATGCTCGGCCCCCTGCTCCCCATTATCTCTAGTTCTGGCATCGCATCCTTTGTGGGGAAGGAGGAGTAAGAGGAGAAAGAAGGGAATGAAAGGGTTGACAGAGACTGCGGGTTACCGTCTCTTTTTTTCTTCCTACCAAGCAGGAACCTACGCAGGAATGAGGAAGGCATCTTTCAGGAATTATCCTACTGAGGGCTAGGCTTTGGGGGGCTAAGAGCGAGCAGAACTGGGTGAGAGAGACTATCCCAAGAACCGGAAGAGAGGGAACAAAAAAAGAAAAGAAGCAGACCTGGATATGCCCAAAACCCTAACTTTACTGCTAGCGGATCAAACCGGCACGCCGGCGGAGGACGAAGTGGCTGCCGAATGGAGCAAGGACGGCGCTAGGAGGGAAAGAAGGTAGAGGAGATCATCAAGCGATAGAGCGACGAACCGGATCTTGTTCTTCATCTTAATCTCCCTCAGTCTCTCTATCCTTAATTTCCCCTGGTTCTTCCCGGCTGCTAGAATCTACCTGATTCACCGGTGCTAATCAGAACCTCCTCCTTTCCCGCTCCCCTTGCTAGCTTCTAAGACCCTCCTGCAACTGAAGGGGAGAGAGAGAGAGAGTTGAAGGGGTAGCGGCGATGGAGATGGAGGGAGGGAGTTGCAGTGGATCGATTTCAAGTGCTCCCCGTGACCAGTTGGTTCGAAAGGCAGGCGATCTCCCTCCTCCCCGCCCACCCACAACTTTTCCGCCATACCCAGTCCTCCCTTTTCCTCCACAACTCTGCATTCGAGCAGTTCCTGCGGACAATAAACAACTCCCCACAGCGACTGAGCGAGTGCATGCACTGGGAGTCGACTCTATCGCTGTCATGAGAAACGGCAAGAAGCGGCTCCCGCAGAGGTCGTGGTGGAGATCCGGCCAAGTCAGGTCCCCGGAGGCCGCGGTGGGCGCTGGACGAATCTCGGCCCGGCGTTGAAACGGGTGGCGGAAAAGCGGTGGGTTCAGCGGGGGAAAAGCAGACGACGTTATCAGGTCGAAAACAATCGAGGAGAAAGGATCTTCAACTCTATTTCTACCTGTGCCTAAGATTTCTGCGGCGGATTCGAGGTCGACCCTCCGTACCATCTTTCCGTGATCTTTTATCACGGAAAACTACTTTTATTTATTCAATTAATGTTATCAATTAATTCACTGAAGAAAGGTTTCAGAAGAATGCGCCGGCTGGCTTCTCTCTCCTCCCCCCTTCTGTCATAACGCTGGTCAATTGGCGGCACCCCCCCCATCTCTGTTGGAGTTAAGCATGCGGAATCAGCCTTTGAATGGAGCGTTTCTTGAAACGTCGCAAAGAACTGAAGCACGGTGGTTTCTTATCTGTTGTTTTCTCTCTCCTCCTTTGTCTTTTAATCTCGATCATTTATATGTGATTATAATGGTCGAGATGCCGTCACGGTGGCAGTTGTCAAGCGAGTAACTGCGTAAACGGCATCTCTGGCATGGTGTTTCGACCTGGTCCTTTGTAAGGACCTGCGGAGAACACAATCGTCGCTTTTTGGTTTTCCTTCTTTTCTTGAATCAAATTCTGTGCAATTTTCTACACTCTAGTTGAGGTTTTCTTGAGTGTTTCTGGAAGAATCGTAACGCAGATTCTTTAGTTGGTATCGGAGCGATTGCGATCTAAGACGCTTTGACAACGATGGCATCGCAGAAGGGAGAGAGTTTGTCTCAAGATCTTGCAGTGTCTGGAGGATTGAAGGAGCGGAGCAACCTACGCAGGTAAGTACCTTTCCGATCCTCACCAAACTCAACTATCAAGTTTGGGCATCTCAGGTGGGGCTTCATCTTGAAGGCCTTGTGCTATGGGATGTCATTGAAACGGAGAACTCTGTCAAGAAGAAAGATCGACAAGTTATGTCCATCTTATTCAGCACCATCTCTAATGAGGTTTCATGTGAGCTAGATGTGGAGAAAACGATGAAGCAGACGTGGAATCTCCTGAAGGTTAAAAACAACGAAATTCTACGCTTACAGACAACATAGATTCAATCACTTCGTAGAGACTATAAAAATCTCTCCATGGATGAAGAGGAGTTGATTCTTAATTACTTTGAAAAATTGTCTCATGTGGTGATTGAACTAAGAAGTCTCAGAGAGAAGATCTCTCTGCCAAACTATTGAGATCTGTCTCAGGTAGGTTTGACTCCATCACGACTTCTATTGAACAATTTCAGGCTCTTGACGCGATCACGGTGGATGAGATTTTTGGGACACTCAAGATTCACGAGGATAAGCTCCGTGATCGTTTGGTCAAAAGGGAGGAGAAACCTCTTCTCGCATGAGCCATGGGGAAAGACAAACAAAAAGCCGCCGCAGATGAAAATTGCGGCAGAGGCAGAGGACGCGGTAGAGGAAGAGGCTGTGGCAGAGGAAGCGGAAGAGGTTCCTCCAAAATCAGAGATAGTGATGATGAATCACTCCCTAGAGACAACTCGAAGATAACTTGTTACAATTGCCAGAAGAAATGGAATTACTCAAAAGAATGTTGGCTTTTGAAGAAGGAGAGACTGAAGAATGATGAAGAAAGGCTAATGTTGCGAAAGAGCAGATTCAAGAGTCATCTCTCCTCATGGCATTTGAGGAATATGAGGTACTTCTTCAAGAAATTTCACACTTTGATTTGGGTCAAGGGCTCTGGTATTTTGACACATGGGTCACCTCACACATGACGGGAGAGAGATCATTCTTCCATGACTTGGATGAGTCACATAAGGGGAGAGTGAGATTTGGTGATGACTCTCAGATCAACATCGAAGGCAGAGGTGATATTTTTTTGAATACAAGAAGTGAAGATCTGATTACTTTGTCTAATGTCTTATACACACCAAGTTTAAGAGCCAATATCTTAAGTCTCAGAAGATTGGATGAACAAGGCCGTGATATTCACCTACATAGTGGAATTCTGACAATGCACGATCTGAGAGGGAGATTGTTGACTAAAGTTAGAAGAAATTTGGGAAGACTGTACTTGTTAAAGCTTGATATTGTGAAAAATTATCTTCACATCAGAGATGACGCCTTGTGGTTGTAGCACAAAAAGTATGGACATTTGAACTTCGATTCTTTAAACTTCTTTCTACACATAATATGGTGATAGGACTCCTGAAAATTCAGAAGGAGGATGATTTCTGTGTTGATTGTGCGAAGTCAAAGCAAAGTAGAATACCGTTCTTATCAGCCTTTTCATTAGAGCTTCACGACCACTAGAATTAATTCATAGTGATTTATGTGGTCCTATTGATCTTGAAACTTTAGGAGGAAGTAAATACTTCTTGCTTTTAGTAGATGGTCACACAAGACTAATGTGGATCTCTCTACTTAAGAAGAAGTCAAAGACTTAATATTTTTAGGAGTTTCAAATTACTGGCTGAGGCTGAAAAGTCTGGGAAAATTGATTGTCTGAGAATAGACTAAGGTGGAGAGTTCAATTCAAAGGAATTATCTTATTTTTGTGAAGAACATGGCATCAGGAGGTAGCTCATAGTACCTTATTCTTCACAGTAGAATGAAGTGGTGGAGAGACGCAATTGTACTATTATGAACATGATAAGATCCATGCTCAAGTCAAAGAATCTACCTCAAAAATTTTAAGGAAAAGCCACTAGCACTACAATCTATCTATTGAACTGAACTCCAACTAGAAGTCTTAAGAATTTGACTCCATATGAAGCTTGGACTGAGAGGAAGGCCAATATTGCCCATCTTTGCACCTTTGGGTGTCTTATGCACATTAAAATGCTAGGTGAAAGCCTGAAGAAATTGGATGACAGAAGTCTTCCTATAGTTTTTCTCGGCTATGAAAGGGGAATTAAAGGTTTTCGAGCTTTTGATCCATCCATTGGCTTTGTACACATCACAAGGAATGTTGTCTTTGAGGAGAAGTGTTGGAATTAGGACAATTCTAATTTGAAGATAAATTGATTCGAATCTCACTTACTCGATTTTTAATTTAGATGTTGACAAGGTCAATGATAGTATTGAACCATAAGAGATTACCTCTGATGTGACTAATAATGAAAGAGAAGATGTGCCCATTGATGTTTCTAGCTCATCTAATCAGGCTCAATCTTGAAGATTCAAAGATCTCACTTAGCTCTATATTGAAACGTGAGAATTAGCCAATGATGATGAAATATACTATTTTACTACAAAGGATGAACTTGAAAGCGTCAGAGAAGCTCTAAAATGTGAAGTCTGAAGAAAAGTTATGGTTGAGGAGTTAAGTCAAATTGAAAAGAACTAGACTTGGAGTCTAGTTGCTCCCCATTGTGGGTGCAAGCCAATTGGTTTGAAATGGGTCTTTAAGATCAAAAGAGACCCATAAGGTGAAATACTCAAACACAAGGCCTCACTTGTAGTGAAAAGGTATGTTCAGAGGTATGGTGTTAATTTCATTGAGGTTTTTTCTCCAATAGCTAGATTAGAGACAATTCGTGTCCTTCTAGCCATTGCAGTTCATTTTCACTGGAAAGTCCATCACATGGATGTGAAATCTGCATTTTTAAATAGAAATATTGATGAAGATATCTACATCAGACAACATGAGGGTTTTGAGGTTGAAGGCAATGAGCATTTGATTTATAAGCTGAAGAAGGCTCTTTATGACTTGAAACAAGCTCCTAAAGTTTGGCATTTGAAGCTTGATAAAAATCTTCAATCATTGGGTCTGACTAGAAGCACCTATGTGTGGGAATTTATGTTGACGACTTGCTCATCACAAGTACTCCTGAAGAAGAAATCATGAATTTCAAAAAGAGAATGTCAACAGTGTTCGAGATGACATATTTGGGAGTTCTTTCTTCATATTTGAGGATTCAAGTTGTTCAACTTGAAGGTGAGATCATTTTATCCCAAAAGTCCTTTGCATTGAAGATATTGAAGACATTTGAAGACATTTGAAATGTTGAATTGCAATCAATCTCTCACCCCCCGTGGAGTAAGTCTAAGATTTAATCAAAAGGAAGGCACTGATTTGGATTCAATATTATACGGGAGCTTAATGGGTTCATTGAGGTATTTAACTCATACGAGGCTTGATTTGCTCTTTAGTGTGGGTTTTCTCAACAGGTACATGGAGAATCCCACATTTGAGCATCTTAAATGTGCCAAAAGACTGCTTAGATATATCAAGTGGATGCTTGTTTTCGGTTTGAGATACAAAAAAGGGAAGAATTTTAATGTAAAAGGTTACTATGATAGTGACCTACAGTGGAGATTCTGAGGAACGAAAGAGCACATCTGGGTTTATCCTCTTTCTCAGTGGAAATGCTGTTATTTATCTCAGAAATAAAGGATAGTGGCTCTATCCCCATGTGAGGCTGAATATGCTTCTCTCACACTTGCAGCTAGCCAAGGTGTCTGGTTGGCTGACTTTCTTGATGAATTGACTGGAAGAAGCCTCAAGCTAGTCAAAATATTTGTGGACAATCAATCTGCAATCAAGTTGGCTGAGAATCCTATTTTTCACAGTCGTTCGAAGCATATCAAAATTAGGTACCATTATGTCAGGAAATGCGTTGAACACAAGGAGGTTGAAGTGCTCCACGTGCTGACGGAGGAACAACGAGCGGATATTCTCACGAAACTCCTTGGACGAATCAAGTTTGTTGATTTCCGTACACTGACTGGAGTTCAAGCTGTGGCTGATCAGACGTGGGCTTAAGGAGGAGTTTGTTGGAGTTAAGCATGCGGAATCAGCCTTTGAATGGAGCGTTTCTTGAAACGTCGCAAAGAACTGAAGCACGGTGGTTTCTTATCTGTTGTTTTCTCTCTCCTCCTTTGTCTTTTAATCTCGATCATTTATATGTGATTATAATGGTCGAGATGCCGTCACGGTGGCAGTTGTCAAGCGAGTAACTGCGTAAACGGCATCTCTGGCATGGTGTTTCGACCTGGTCCTTTGTAAGGACCTGCGGAGAACACAATCGTCGCTTTTTGGTTTTCCTTCTTTTCTTGAATCAAATTCTGTGCAATTTTCTACACTCTAGTTGAGGTTTTCTTGAGTGTTTCTGGAAGAATCGTAACCCAGATTCTTCAATCTCTCTCTCGCTCTCTCTTGCGCTGTTTCTCGCTCCCGCGCTCTCTCACTCTCCCCCCCCTCTCTCGCTCTCTCTCTCTCTCTCTCGCTCGCTCTCTCTCGCTGTCTCTCTCTCTCTCTCCCTCCCTCCCTCCCTCCCTCCCTCCCTCTCTCTCTCTCTTCTCTCTCTCTCTCTCTCTCTCTCTCTCTCTCTCTCTCTCTCGCTCGCGTTATCTCTCCTTCCCCTCTCTCTCGCTCTCTCTTGCGCTCTTTCTCGCTCTCTCGCTCTCTCTTGCGCTCTTTCTCGCTCCCCGCTCTCTTGCTATCTCTCTCCCTCCCGCTCTCTCTCTCTCTCGCTCTCTCTCTCTCTCTCTCTCTTCCTCTCCCTCTCTCTCTCGCTCTCTCTCTCGCTGTCTCTCTCTCTCGCTCTCTGTGCGTGTGTGTCTCTCTCTCGCTCTCTCTCTCGCTGTCTCTCTCTCTCGCTCTCTGTGCGTGTGTGTCTCTCTCTCGTTCTCTCCCTGGCTCTCTCTCTCGCTCTCTCTCCTTCCCTCCCTCTCTCCTGTCTGTCTCTGTCTGTCTCTCTCGCTCTCTCTCTCTCTCTCCCTCTCGCCCTCTCTCTCTCTCTCTCGCTGTTCCGTTCCCTCTCGCGTTCTCTCGTTCTCTCTCTTTCTCTTGCTTTCTCTCGCCCTCTCTCTCTCTCTCTCTCTCTCTCTCTCTCTCACACACACACACACACACACACAGACTAGTTCTCTCTCTCGCTCGATCTCGCTTGCTCTCTCTCGCTCTCTCTCCCTCCGTCCCTGCCTCTCTCACTCTCGCTCGACAGATAGACACCCACGTCCATCCCCGACCAAGACCACGGCTTTAAATCCGCTCGTCTTTTTGTGTCGAAGAATCTTCCCTAGAAAATAAAATTAAGTCTCGTTGTATGCTGTTTTGGACCACCACTTTAGTTCGTATGCAAACGATGCATTAGGGCCACGTTTCGTACTAACCAGGCCCAGACACATCTCGTTGACCTTGGCAAAAAAAATATCATCAAATTAAAAGCTTCCCGTATATGAGAATTATTTTTTATTTATGACGTATTATTTCATTCATTGTTAATACTTATAAGGCATCTTCATGAGGAATTGGAGGAAATTTTAAGTCATTACTATTGTAGGAAAGCACAATGAGAAGGCCAGTGGAACTATACCAGCATTTTAAGAATCTGGTTGGGCGAAGTAATAAAATATTTTTTCGTTCATTAGCTCATCAAGATTAGATTGTGCGGATTTAAAGCCTCCCTCCTGTTGAATTATCAATTAACTCAATAATATTGTGCGGATTTATAGAGAAATTTAGGTAAAATCATTCCAATCCAAAATCATAAAATTAATGGCATAAATTATCTTGTCCAAATTTGATTAAATAACATTGAAGGAATTAGTACGTATAAAGAGTTTCAATGATTACTATATATGTATGTAAGGGTATTTAAGTAACCTCACATGTTATTAAATAATTTAACTGATGATCTTGATTGTTGCATAGGAAGTCATCTCACTTATCATTTAATTTGAGTCAAGGGTAGAAAAATTAAACTATCTGACTATAAAACAAATAAGAAGTTCATTAGCTGTTTGTTTTGGCCCAACACACCCAAATTAAGGTACATTAAACTCAAACAAGATTTTTCAAAGCAGTTATACCTTAATTATGATCCCTTCTTCTCTTTATCTCATCAAATCAACATTTGGATTGATCAAAGGCAAAGTTAAGAAGAAGGATTCACCTACATCTAGATTCTAGTTAAGATTTCAGATGTAATCAGCTGCTTCAAGGCCTCTATCTTCTCTACCACCTAATATATCAAAGACTCGCTCATGGGAAAAGTTAAGAATGAATCAATGATGTTATTTATATGAAGAGAAATCTGAGTACCCTTTTCATCGTCCAAACTTCAATAGTGTACAACAGCATTATCGTCAATTGAAAGTGACAATAATCTTGTTGAAGTTGATCTATTGTGCTTGTTGTTATTTATGCTAAGTAGAATTATTGGGGCGCTTGTGGTGTGCTAGCAAATGTAACTAATTAAAATAAAAATATAATAATTTATTAAAGAAAATAGTAATCAATTGATGTCCTCTTATCCATCCTACTAATTTTCTAAGGATCAACACCTCCCTCCACCCCCCTCTCTCTCTCCCTTTCTCTCTCTTAATATGTGAAAGTAATTCAATATTGCAAGGTCCTTTGAAGATTAATAAAGATATTATTTTTAAGAAAAAGTTTTGGAATTAGCATCGACCAAAATAAGATTAGGGAGAAAGTCAGCCCATAGGCATCGAACAATGAAGTATGTGAGGTTTGATAACATCACCATAAGATAATGGTCACATAAACTAGGGAAAGGAACAAAAGAAAGTGGGGGATAGAATTGTGGTCGTTCAAGAGAAAGTGGGGCTCAAAGATTCTTTCCAAAAATTGGCCAAGAGTTAATCCAATCTTTAACGAGGCTACCAACCCATACTCCATGTTGACGAGCATCCACCATTCAGGACGTGAGATGTTGTAACCAAAGACAACAATGAGATAAACACGTAGGAAAAATGCCTCTCACTAAATGGTATAGGAGATAACAGAGAGGAAATTATGTGATGTCACAACAGTGAGTGAGTGAGTGAGTGAGTGAGAGAGAGAGAGAGAGAGAGAGAGAGAGAGAGAGAGAGAGAGAGAGAGGTATGACTGACGATTTAAAACCTGACATGCTCTTAAGTGGACATAAAAAATATTCCGAAATGATAACAGAATAAACTTTTTACGGAGCTGATTATACATCCAACATCATTTGATTGGTGCTCATCTTGATTCTAGAGATGCATGAACTTGTGGGTTTCACAAGCACATTTCACAACACAAAGACCCAACTATCAATGTGCCAAGAGCTTTCAGGAGCATGTTGTCCACTAAGGGTTCAAGGCAGTCTATGAATATAAACTGATTTAGTTTCTGATATTTTATGAATAACCTGACAATGGTGGCCTAAGCTGGATTGATGGAAGATGACAGAGAGCGCACCCAAAAGCCTTCTATTCTAACCCACCACAAGGACTGCTCTAAATTCCCAGGTTCACAATAGCAAAACTGTACTTCTTTCCAAACTCCTTCCTTGCTGCCAATGCTGGCTAATAGGAGAGTATGGGCTATCTACTTTGCTTGCGTGGCATCCATCAAACAGTAGTTTACACATCCTTCCAGCCTGCTGAAATCTATGTGGCCTCCCTCCTCCTTGGGGATAATGGCTGTTGATATCCCTCACCTTCTTTGGGGCATTTTCTTGGATTTCTTCCTTCAAAGGACTAGCTGTTTGGTGGAGTTCCTTCCATTTTGGCCTCCGACCTTGACTGCAAAAGAAGAGGCCAGCTGCCAAATCAAGCCGTTGAAAGAGGCTGAATGGATGACCACATCACCGGATGAGCTGTTTTGATATTCTAATAGGTGTGCTGATGGTACATTGAGAGCTTGATTTGTGCCAGCGGGTGTCCCCCAATAACTACTCATCAAAATCGTCTGTGATCACTGAGTGTTTACTGTCTACAAAGAAATGTGAGAGATGGATGCGAAATTGAAATCAATGTGAAATTTTAGAACAATTTAAAAAACTGAATGCTCCCGATCATAAAATATTAAGATGATGATGACCCCCACCCTGCAAGTTACTTTTTTATTTGCAAGTTTACACAGGGGACACAAGCTTGATTTGAATGCATTGAACTCACAGAATAATATCCACCACTTTGCAAAGGAATTGATATCTGATGTGGATTCTCAAATCAGAAAATTCATTTTTCTACCTCGTTTTCAAGTCAAAATTAAAAAAATGATTACACCTTATATGATGGGCGGGTGATGGAGTGAAGGGGTGAGCCCCTGTGACCCAGCAGCAAATCCAACATTCACCCCGCCTGTAAACCAAGCCGGTTCATATTTTTACTCTGGGTTCCAGGGCCCTTCTGGGGTATATCCCAATCTGTTGTCAGCGTATCATTTGATGTTCTAAAACAGCCAGTAGTGATGTTGCATCTCAAACTTGAGAACATTTCCTGAACAGGTCTGGTTTTCCATACAAGTCGCCTGGATATTGAGGAAAAACTCAATCGAGGCATTAAATTGGTAAAAACTATCCTAATTGGGTTAAGCAGCTCTGTACACTCCAGCCAGCAATGCAATTTGCTGAGCAAAAAAGAAAACTACATCAAGAAAGTTTCTTTATTATAAACTCACATGAGCATTCTCAAAAATGAATACTCGGAAAATCAATCCAAATCGCTTCCCATGGAAACACTAGATCCTAGACAAGTTTTTACAAACACCTGTTTGGGGTCTTCGGAAAATGCATCTTTATAAGCATTGGAAGCTCAGCAAGCTCAAGTTGGGGCTTACCCAACAACATTCCCTTCAACTTATCATCACAATTTACAATATTTTTGTTGCTCGGATCCTGCAAAAAGCATTAAATTCCACAGTGTTAGGAGTCATATCACTAAAAATCAAATATTCTAGAGAAAGAAGCAATAATCCAAGACTTTCTAGAATTAGCATCTCCAATAACAGCCAGCTGATTCATTCGCAGGCTCACTTAATGCAGATAATAAGATAAATATTGAATGCAAAATTAGGAGCTGAAAGTATTTAAAAGGTTTGGCACGATCAACTTACATCCAACTTAAAACCGTGCCACCCGATTCACCATTATTCTTTTTTAAAAAATGAAGTGGACAAGGCAGTGTTAACCCATCAATACAAAAGTCCTAATGACGACAAATGGGATCTGTCACATTTCAAGTAGCACAAAGATGACTGAACTAACAGGTGAAGGTGCTCCCTCACACGTGCTGCTGGATACACAGTATGACGAATGAGAAGGGAAACTAGATGGAAGAAGATACCCAGCAGATCTTCGCTACTTGTCTTATCCCACTCACTTAATCCGACTAACTGTGGTATATAGACAGGGAGAAAGTTGAAAGTTAAAAAGGAATGACAGAAGATATAGTGTGAGGAAGAAAATCAAATGAGGCAGACAATCAAGGCTTGGGAAGATGGGAGGAGGGCTTTCATCAAGAAGGGAGTACTCATATGAGAGGTTGTGGAAACGATGAGAGGCAGGACGATGAGAAGTTTTTCCAAGTTATTAAACAAGAGGTGGCGGAGATTTGGAGGTCTCAGCCAGCGTCCTGGATCATTACGGTAGCCTAGCATGGCTTCTTGCCGCACTGCTTTCTGTTTTGAGTAAAAAAAATCGAGGAATGAAGAATATGATGGGCGTTTTGGAGTCAACTGAAAGCAGAAATATAGCATTCCTCACAGTCGAATAGCAGTCATCAAGGGAAACCCATCGGAGAAAATAGTGCCACACAATCAGACCCACTTCGATCAATTTCAGCATTGCCTACAATCAATGGGCAAGTCAACTACGATAGATCGCCTGAAAAAAGGATGAAACACCAGAGATATTGCTAATTAGGGAATATCCGAACCCTATAATTCGGTATTATTCTCAAATACTTGTTTTCCTATGATTAACCCTAGCCCGAACCATGCCCCCACCAGAGACATCTTTGATTCTCCCCCCGTTCCAGTTCCCTCTTCACCAATCGAGCACAGAGAATTCGCGACGAATCCCACATACCTGGAGACCTTTTTCCTTGATATACGACCAGATCCGGACGAAGCATCCCAGGCGGGAGATCTGTGACTGGCCCATGAACTCCCGGAGGGGCCCCGAGAGGTTGGCCAGGTCAACGAGGTCCGCCACCTTCTTCGGGTTGTTAACGATCACCTTCGCCGCCCTAACAACCATAGTTGCCTCTGCGGAGCCTTCTTTCCCTCACAACTCCCAAAAGAGCGCGCGAGAGAGGCAAGCAACCTTTCCCCCACCCGGAACTCTTAGACTCGGATCTCCACAGTAGCAGACAGCTTAGACTGTGGTAAATGGGAGAAGCGCGCAACCTTCTCATATTTAGAGATGAATGCATAGTGACAAATGCTCGAATTTCACCGTAAATATGGGTCAAAAGTCGAAATCTTGTCCTTGCAAAATTACAAGTATTCAAAACCAGATTTAGAACATGCAGACGTTGACATTTAGCATGAGAGATTATGGCCTTCTTCGATATATTGAGAGAAACGGAGAGGAGGTAGAAAATCATTTCCTTAGCGTTAAAACTTAGATTTTTATCCAAGTCTTTGAAGAAATCCGCTGTTTTATTTTAAAAACGAAGAACATCTCACCAAAGCACCTGAATCGCCATTCGATGAACAAGAGCTGGGCTATGGTTTCTTATTTCTCCTTACTCGATTATTTTTAATTATAATTCAAGCGCAAGCACTTCCTAAAAGAAATAGTTATAATTTCTTAGATCTTGAGAAGAATATTTCACCTGAAAATAGTGTTTTAGAATAATAGAACTCGAGAGCCCTCACCGTCGTCATCCGAAAATTAATGTGTTCAAAGTCAAAAGGCCTTGGACTTCTTCCTCATCTCTTCCTCAACTATTTGAGTTAATATTTCAGACATTGGTGTCTCAAACAAAATCTGAGAAAAATGGTGTATAGGAAAAGCATCATTTTACTACCCACAATTCATTTTTTTGACGGCCATATTACTCTCTCAAACATCTAATTTAACAGAGAAACTTTGAACTGTGGTGGTCAAAGTATGGGTGGAGAGAATTGGGAAGTCGTTATGTGGGTGCAAGAATCAGATGGGAGGGGAAGGACAGAGCTGGGGGCCGGTGGCAGGCTGGCGGTGAGGAGGGTGAGGTTGGTCAGGGGGATCCTTTAAAACGGGTGGGCGGTCCCGCTCAGTAGTCCCCTCGTCATCCAGCTGCAACCCCCAAACCAGGTGGGTCCGCCTTCCCTTCCCTGCCAGTGGCTTCTTCTCACGTCACTTCAACCCCTTGAACAGTCTCGCCGACACTCCTCTCTGTGATAAAATAGTTTGGATCATAATTATCGTCAGAGAATCTCATCGCCCCCCTCCGCGCGAAGATCTCTGGGTTCCTCTTCGCCTTCCTCTGCAGCTCTCCCTCCGTTTGCTGGGGAGAAATTCTCCGTTTACCTGCGGAAATGCATTTGAAGATTTGAGCTTCGCTGCGAGGAATTGGAGGAGCCCTTCTACCCGATTGTCGCTCTCGTTCTTCTTCTTCTCCGGCAGGATTTTTTTGGAGTGCCGAGTTGGATTGGGAGAATGAGAGGCCCCAGTCGGAGCCACCACCAGCTCAGTAGCGGGATGGTGGTGTCGGGGCAGCCGGAGCAGCCCAAGGACAAGGCTTCTCCGGTGGGTTCCCGTGCCGTGCCGTACACCGGCGGCGACATCAAGAAGTCCGGCGAGCTCGGCAAGATGTTCGACATCCCCGTCGCCGGCGCCAAGGGGGCCTCCGGGCGATCCTCATCGCCGCACTCCGGCCAGTCCTCCGGCCCGCAGGCCCCCAGGAGGACCTCTTCCGGCCCCCTGGCGGTGAACCTCGCGGCCACCGGCCTCATCACCGGCGGGGCCTCCGGGCGGCGGTCCGGCGGGCAGGGCGCCCAGTCGGAGGGGGACCTGACGCCGAGGCCCAAGAAGAAATCCGGCGGGTATGGGCCGGCGGTGACTGTACTGGGGAGGGAGGACTGGTACGGCTTCAGGATCTCCAAGGTGGCGATGTGGGGGTGCGCGGTGGTGTTCTCCATGGGGATGGCGATGGGGGTGTTCGTGCTGGTGGCGGTGAAGAGCGTGGTGATTCTTGCGGCGGTGGGGGCGCTGCTGGTGCCCGTCGGGTTGCTGACCTTGTGGAAGTCAACACGCCGGAAGCTGGATTTGGAGGCCTACCTGAGGGGATTTCCGGACACCAATCTCCACCATGCCAAAGCTGGCGAATTTGTCAAGGTTACTGGGGTGAGATGATCTCGATCTTCTTCCTCTCTATTCTCTACCAACTCGTGGATACCAGGCTTTTGAATGGTCAAAATTTGACTACCTTTGGCTTCTTCTACTTCTTCACACGATTCAAGGGCAGAGAATTTAAGTCAACACAGTTCAAAATAAAATAAGAAGAAAAAATTAACCGTAGAAAAATGAACCCATAAGTAGAGAACATGCTCGAGGAGGGAAGATATCGCACCAACAATACTTATCTACCACTATTAGAAAGGAGGGAAGATATCTCACCAGCCCTTTCTTTTTTTTTTTCTTTTTTTTTTTCATTTCTGTAAATGGTGGGTGGATCCTTTGATGCAGGTTGTCACTTGCGGCAGTATCCCCCTCGAGACATCCTACCAAGGGGTCTCTAGGTGCGTATATGTGCATACTGAACTTCATGAATACAGAGGATGGAGGGGAAAGCCTGCTAATCCTCATCATAAGCGCTTAACTTGGGGACTACGGCACGCAGAGGTAAGATACTACTTAGCTCCTTCAGGAAAATTATAATTATATTTATTTCTCTTGATCTTAAGAAGCTTACGATTAGAAGCACCTGAAGCTCTTTTTTCCCCTCCCCTCTTGTATCTAAAATTTCCTCTTATTTTCTCAGAAAGATGCCTTGGAGCACCATTTCTATAAGGGTTATATGCGTTTACAAACAGAAGAGATAAGGAATCACTTAAAACATTACTTCAGCCCACATGCTCATCTTGCATGGCAAAATTCTTTGATGCCTTTCATACTGGGGTGCCTTTCTGAATCCATATTTGTCTGTCAGCCTCATGACCGTGACTTATGGGACAACCTAAACCCTGTGATTAGAATAGGGGCGTCTACACTGCTGATTGCAATGATTTCTTCGCTTAGCTGCCTGCGATGAAGAGCATGATCCACTCTGATGGCTCCATTCTCAAACATTAGGCGAACAAACAGAAAAATGATAGCTTAGCTGCCTGCAATGTTAGGTCACTCATTCTTGTGGTGTAATACATTCTATTCTGTGAAAGATTTTTTTAATATATATATATAATTAATTAATTACAAAAATGAATTATTTATGAATATTTTCATCGAAGTTTAATGTTATATTCTTATTACTTTTGTAATTTTATTATTTATTCGGTAAAATCCTTATAGTTCAACTGATTTAGGAAATATATTTAATTGCATGATTTTACGATGCTTTACACATATTTTTCCGTGTTTATTTATTATACTGTTTAAATTCGTTTTAATATAGGTATATATAAATTGCATTGTCAGATTGTCTTGCCTTGTTGCTTTGGTGTACTGAATACCTTGGTCACCTCAAAAGACCTAGACCAATTTAAGTACTTGTAACCTGCAGGAGAATTTACATCGTAGAACTCTTTTAGATCACCTTTCATATATGTCAATATGGATTATGAATGCTGTGCCCCAAAATTTTTCATCTTTGGAAAATACCTTACTCGTGAAGAACATGTCTCTTTAGGAGAAAATTAAGAAATGTAGCAGACACAGCCATTAAAATTCTGCTTGACCGAGCCAGGACCAGCTGAACCACTGTAGAATGGTAAACCTAGCGCTCAAGTGTAAACGGTGGTTTAGGTCTTTCATTGATGTTTCTGTAATCTGTCAACCCCAATGGCTACAATTGGTCGTCGCTGTGGGGTTGGAAAATAGCGAACCTGGCTCACATGTTTCTCTGCTTCGACTTAAGGTGTCAGGAAGCCTGAAGAGAGATAACCACCCTCATCTTCTGAGCTTGAGCACAAAAGAAAACAGCTTGGAAGGGGAGGGTGCCCCAGTGCAGCTCATACTATAAAGGTTATGGGGAAAAGGAAGGAGATAATCGCCCTCATCTTCTTGGGGCTGTTTAGAAGAGAACAAGCTGAAGGCAGTGCCTAGGGCTGGCCTTGAAAGGAAGACAGAGTAAGACTGGGAACGATAATGGTTAAATAAATGACCTACCTAACAAGCGTTTTCGTTCTTCTTTATGGAAACAATTTGAGAAGGGAAAATAGAGAAGGGAGAGACTGGTTTTGTTGAGCCCAAACAATGACTGGGATGGTTGCAATGACTGATGTTCCTAACAGACTGTAGAGATATGTTTGAAAGGCGTCCTTCCTATTCCCATTTATTATCTTAATTTGAGAGACGTCTGAGTAATTTCTCCCAGGTACAATGTCCGCCAAAGACCTCACCCGATTCTATCCCATCTCAATCCTAATAGGGAGTAACATCTCCATCATGACCAAAAAGATAACCATCTTTGTAGACAGAAATCATCAAAGTGAATTCTTACTGGTCTACCCATTTCACAATGCTGGTCGAGAAGAGTGTTGATTTTGATCACATCACAAGCATTCAGTATTGAAGACTCACAGATAAATGCTGTGGTTGCTACCTGCAGCCAGTAGAGATGGATGTTGGAATTGGAATGAAGGTCAGAAAGAGGAAATCGACTGTGGGGTTAGCTTCTCAACAATGACAGGAGTGTAGACGTCGAAGGAGGCCGGGAGTGGGGTGCGGATTCGTTTCTGTTTCATGCTTGAGAACAACAATAATGGCTTGTGATGTTAAAGAGACCACTGGTTTGAACATAGGATATAATCTTGCCCTTTCTATACTGGGGAGACAGAGAACTTTGTTAGTCAATGTAATAAATCTGAGGTACTAAACTTTTTAAAACAATCATATGAATTATATTCGATTTTATTTTCTCACCATTGTTCTATTAGACAGTTTTTAAAATTTATTCCATCTAGTTTGAAATTATATGTTAAAGGGAAACTTATGCTTGCCTTGTGGACTGATTCTCTTGATTGTCAGAGGCTTGTGGCAGATTTCTACATATCTGACAACCAGGGTGGTGCAAGAGCTCTGGTCCGAGCTGGATATGGTGCAAAAGTCATTTCTTTTGTAAAGCCTACAACTAAGGTAGACCTAACCGAGGAGGAGAAAGAGCTATCACCTGGAGCTTTAAGCTGGCTGGAAGATCATAATCTTTCCTATGATGGCCGGATAATGCGAATTGAAGAAGGGTAAGTTACTGATAAGAAAAAAAGAAACAGAAAGTAAATATCGATTATATTTTCTCTGCCTATTTTTCCTTTTGTATTACAGGGATGAGGCTTGATGGTGGTTAGTCTTTTCCTTTGGTAGATTTTTATTATTAATCCACATTGAGATACTGTCTAATGCTGTATCACCATCTTTGACATCCATTTATCAGATACTGGCTTTTATCATATCATCGTAGGAATGCTGCTAAATATTCGAAGGGAAATTACTCCGTATCCCAAAGATTACAGCGTCCCTGTCTAATGCTGCATCACCATCTTTGTCATCCATTCATCATATACTGGCTTTTTATCATATCATCGTAGGAATGGTGTTACATATTCGAAGAGAATTATATACATAACATGGTCGTGTTGCAAGGGGCGTGGTTTGGAACTGGTAGATTATATTGACTAGTATTTATGCTTCAACATTTTCCGAATTAGGCCATAAAAGAAGAGGAAGACTGAATGCAATCGTGCAATTTCTTGGATTTCCAGGTAGAGCGAATGGCTACAATTTTGGGGGTTTTTACTGGACATTTAAAAATATGATCCTGGCCAGTATCCATGTTGTACATTTATCAGCATATTTACATGTATCAGGAAGTTGATAGGATACCTTGCAAGCATTTGCACATTTTTCTTTGTTTGCTTTCCCAATTAAGATGAAATGGCCTTGACCTAAATGATTTCAGGTAGGACTCTATAACAGCCCATCTTTTGATGGGTAATCTCTAGAAAACGTATCATTGTAGAATTTGATGACTGAGAATTTATCTGATGTGGTTAATCTGATGCGCACCACACAAATGGTAAGCAGGCAAGGAGTTAATAAAGAATAGACTTCTATGTTCTTCATGTCTTGATGATGATGCCTTCAGCAAGACAGGAAAGATAGTGAAGAGGTGGGCCGAAAAAACTTAACATGAAGGAAGAACGACTGCAAATAAATCAACTAAAGAGATCCGTTTAATGGAGAGTTGGAGAGTGTGAGAGCAGAGAGAACCTATCTGGACGGTGGTTTGTTTGAGAAAGGGTCCTCTTTCTGCTGCGTAGAAGTCGTTACTTGGGCTATCTTTGGAATCAGGCATTGTGGAATTTGATGGCTGGACTCCGTCATCAATGGAGTTGAAATATGAACCCCACAAGCTACAAGAAAAAGTTTCGTTCTTTAGTGATTGAGATATGCAGGTCCAGGTCTGTTTGCTCATCATGGCTCAATCAAGATCTGCACATCAGGAACATTTTTGGTATTTAATGTCATTTAGTCCCTGACGCAGTGCATCGATTTTCCGGCCATTCTGACTTCCCTAGATTTCCTTGAAGATTTCTCATCAATTTCCCCTACTCTTGTGGATGGAATTTCCTGAGCTTAATTGCTGTGAATACTTTCTTTAATGAGGAAGTATCTAGGGGGTCTCATCAAGCTCTAATGTAGGCTGAGGGGAGTCTAAACATTGTTTCCAGGATGGGTAACTGAGGGCAGTTTTGATAACCAGTCGAGGTTCCCAACCTTAGAAACATAACTTGGAAGCTTGCATTGAACTTCATTCTACGTACTGAAAAATGGCTGAAGCTTCTTCCCAGTCCACATCTGTCTGGACTGTGGAGCCTACGAGTGCTTTATTAGAGGAATTGAGGAAGTTGAAAGAACGCGGGTCAAGTGTTGTAACCAGCCTAAAATGGTCCACAATAATGTCTCTCACAATATGTGCCGGGAGATAACTATGTCAAGTGTTCTACTGTCAGTCGCTACACTAATTACAAAATATAATTTCTATCTTTAGTAAACTTTATCCTTCCTTGATAACAATCTTCTCTACTGGTCTCTCTGATGTTCTTGAGACTTGTTTAGGCGACTTTTTTATGATTCATATGTATTTTATGCTTCAACAGAGATTGCTGACTTGTCTCCCTGCTACAGGTTTATTAAAGAGGCTGGCATCATAAGTGTTTTGGGAACTCTCCAGCGTCAAGACGACGTGTTAATGATTGTCCCACCTGCAGAACCCATCTCAACTGGTTGTCAGTGGAAAAGATGCGTCTTCCCTATTCATATCGAAGGGCTCATGTTGCTTGGTGACAAGAACCCTAATGATGAAGTTATTATTGCATAGTCATCCTCTTATGATCCCATCACTCAACGTCCGGAAAAGAAAGAATTTGTTTGAAGCCTAAAGGTCCCTTCTGTTCACATAAGAGATGCCAATGGGCCATTACTCGCAGATCTAAAAGGCATTGTGGATAAGTTCTGTACAAAGGATTGTAATCTTCATATACATGCTTCTGCTATCATGAAACTTATTAATGTCCTTATACCACACCTTTATGCATACCTCCTCATATATATAGTTATAAAGATGGTGAGATGGGTTCTCCATTGCCTGTGCAGATGTATTTCTACTCTACTGGCTCTCTAATGTGTTAAAGTCAGACATTTCTATACGCACTTTGGTGAGAATTTGCATGGATGTGTGAAAATGATATATACTTGTAATAATGTTGCTTCCCATTCTGTGGTTGTAGCTCGGTTATTCCTGTGGCTTATTAGCAAAGTCGAGTTAGATAATATGACTTGTGAAAAGATGGGCTGGGTTTCGTGATGTTCAAAGAAAAAGCCACCACTTTAGATGAGTACGCCAATGTGTATCAACCACTGTATTTATCACCTCATTTAACATGCGATTACATCAGCACGCACTTGCATGCACTACGTGGACAAATGAAGACGAGGGATACTTTTAGAATGAAATCAGGAAGTCTAATGCTGTGGTGAACGATGGAACCAGGAAGAGTAGAGTGGATGCAAATATTTTAATCATATTTAATATGAAACTACGAAGTAGGGAAATGAACGTGATAAGCAAGCATTATCACGATCTAAGTTGTCAATAGTTCTTTAAAAATGTCATTCCGACCAAAAATAGCAAGTGAATTTTTATCCATCTTTGACAGAAACTCTAAAATCAACTTGTAGACTAGTGAATTCTCTAAGATGACAGAAATGATTTAATGCACAAGGTTATGAGTGTAATTGATGCCTTTAGGCAAATATATTTGTGGACCTCATATGCTCTTATAATCATCCAAAAATCATACAAAAAGAAGACGAGAATGATTATCCCTGATCTGAGGTTGATCACCCAAATTGAGTAGATCCTTGATAGATCATTATACTTCACTAGAATAATAGCACACTGAAGTTAGTTCTTAATTCAAGTATATAGAAAGAGATTGCTTGTCAAATTTGGAAACTTTATTGATGAAGAAGCTTCAAACACGAGAATTCCTTCAAAAACTATTATACCTTCTTTGTTGAAGGACATAAAAACTTAAAGCCTTGAAGGCATTCCTCTAGTTACAATTAGGGTCTCTCTTGTGATGTAAGTGATAATTATAAATTAGTAGTTATATTTATGTATTAATATCTTATATATAGATGCTAATTAATATGTAGAGAATATAATCATACATGTATTACTAACTTATTATGACATTCATAATATTTTATTATTTAAGTTTTAATGTATCTTATTTTATTTATTTTATTTATATTATGAGACTAACCCCACTTGACTTTTATGAAGTTAAGTGATAATTCTCTCACATTTTCTTGATAATTATTTGATTGTAAAGACTTAAGTGAACTCTTATTATGAGTTAAAAGTAATGGAAGAAGTCTAAGTCTTTAACCCAAAGAAAAACCTAAGTTTATAGGCTCAAGAGTGGGCATCACTTTGGCTTAGTCCATTTGGACTTAAAAGGGTTATTAAGAGATGAAATCTAGGCCGCTGATCTTAGCACACTTTAAGATAAGATTAAGAGGAGGATTAAAGTGTTATCTTCATGGAAGAATCTGGGTCATCCACCAAGAGTCAGTTATTAATTATAACCATCTATTGGAGGGGCCTAATTCTTTAGAGATTTAAGACATCTCGCCCCCCCTTTGGAGGGTGCTTTTTGGCTCTCTTTCAAGTAGTGGCTAGTGAAGGAAAAAGGAGAAAAATCAAGATCCGGTCAACAACATTCTTGTGCCTAAGATCATCTTGAAAAAGAGACTACTTGGAGCACATCAAAATCATCATGGATCAAGTATCACTCAGCCCAAGACTGACGCACAACAAGGTCTATGCAAGATCTAGATTTGGGGCATCCTTGTAATCTTCTTCATAAATAGATTAACTCTTAGTTGAATTAGTTTTATCATTTATTTTATCATTCTATTACGTCAGATCCATTCTCTTCCCTTTATCACACTTTCTATTTCTCTTGTCTTCACTCTTTTTAGATTTAATTTCGTCATTTATAATCTCAAGTATATATATATAAGAAATAAAATAAGTAAAATTCTTACTCTCATTACCCACACTTCCTAAGGATTGAACCTTACTTATCCTAAACTACAGTGTGAGGTTTTATAAATACTATTTACATAAACTTGGTTACATCACAGTGACATATTTAACTTTTAAATCAACTTCATCAATAAGATGTATTATCAGAGGCCAAAAATACTGCAGCTGCTCCCATATCACTAGTGGTACCAAGCTTATTGAATAATATCTGATTTTTAATGACATTTCTCTACATAATGACAACCCATCAAACATCAAATAGTAAAAAGATAGTGAAGCATGGAAGATAAAACTTCTTTTAGAAAATATTAATGGGTCAAATTAATATCTTTCATGATAAGTCTTCATCACCAGTGTAGTTCTAGAGAATAAAAGAAAATTGCACAAGATGTATGTAACAGAGATGTGTAGGAAATGTGAGAATCTGAGTTCTTTAACAAAGTGAGGAATCCAACATGGAATTTCAAACATCTTATCTAAATTGGACGAGAAGCTTTGATTTACGATGGGATCAGATCTTAATAAATGGCTAGGAACAAATCTTGGAGCAATGTAGTTGACATTTGTGTTTGGACTCATTTCAGCTGCAAGTGCCTACAAGAGAAACATAATAACCTTTTAATTCATCAATTTTTTTGAAAGGAAAAACAACCTGATTTATAAAGGAGATGTGAAATAAACGTGAAACAAGTGAAAAAAGTGCAGCAAACTAATGTGGCCCAGATGGGAGAAGGAAGTTCGATTTCTCTCCAAAAGGTGACATAATAATTTTTAGCAGATTGAGGGACTTTTGGCGCATCAATTTCATAGTTAGAGAATAGAGTGTGCAAGAAGTGTATTTAAGGTTTCAAAAAGCTGATTCAGTTGGGCTATGAAATTCTTTTATTTTAGATAACAGTTAGATTTTGAAAGTCATTTGTGATATAGTATTACCACATTTAGTTAAAATATCGTTGGTTAACGAGTTTTTTATGCTTCTAGCTCTATTCAACATCACATGTATAATCCAACTGAAAATTTTCGTGTGAGGCCAATTTCAAGCTATAACCCACCACTGATAAGGGAGCAAAGAATTGTGACAACCAAATACTTAGTGGTAGCCACAATTGAAATATTTAGTGTAAGCTACACAAAACTATGAATCATCTCAGTTTTGATGGTTTTTATCATAGATGCAAGATTTTTAAAAAAATGTGTGCTTAATATACAAAATTGTGGTTGCCACACCATGCGGGAAGTCAAAGAAGTATTGTCTAGAAATGTTGCACCATTGTCGAGTAGATTTATTTTTAATTGGTGTTAATGATTTAGTTTTTTTCTATTTCAGTATTTTTTTTAAAAATCATATAGCTTTTATTATTTTATTATTTCATTATTTTTATTTAAATATTTTTTTTTCAAAAAAATAAAAAATATTGTAGGCTCATTTAATTTTTATTTACATTTATTTTGATAAGATAGAATTTTAAGTCTTTAGTTTCTATTTATTTACTTGATTATTTTAAATTTTAAATTGATTCGATATTTCTCTTTGACATATTTATTATAATCATATCTTTGTGTCATGATTATTACTTGAATTAAATTATGAGAAGCTATTTTATGAATGATAGATGCAGCTTGCAACCAATCTTAGAAAATTCAGCTATCAATCAATCTAGAAATTTAAGGGGACAAGAAAAACGAAATTTACCACCTATCTTGGAGACTCCAGTAGTAAAAAAAGAAAAAAATCATATTTTACAGAAGTAGAATTGATTTATATAGACCTACCTTGTAAGTTAGACCTCTTATTTTACTAAACGTTCATTTTGATATTCGTCATAGTACTCTACAAACACTTCCTAAATTTTATGGATTAGCTAATGAGGAATTACATCAACATATTCTTCAATTTTTGGCTACATGTGAACTTACTCATATTCCTAATATTCCTCAAGATGCACTTAGGTTACATCTCTTCCTATATTCATTGTATAATAAAGCTAGAGATTGTCTCACATCATTATCACATGAGATCACCACATGGTTAGAAGTAGAGCAATCATTTGTAAGAAAATTCTATCATGTTGGCAAGACTCATGTCATGTGGAAAACTATACTTTAATTTACTCAAAAATCAGGATAAGCCTTTCATAAATCTTAGGAAAGATTTAAGGAGCTTTAAAGGAGATGACCACATCACAAAATTACCAAATGGTAATCATGAGAACAACACAAGAACACTATCGATGTAGCATGTGGAGACATATTCAAGAGTAGGGATGAAGATGAAATTTATAGATTATATGAAAATTTAAGTGAAAATTCAGCTAAACATGAATTTTTTGCTTTACATGATTGATAAGTCTTCATTACTATGAGTTAATAATTAGTAAATAATATAGTTTTAGCCTTAACTCATGATAAATAGACTTATATTTGTGTTAAAGTGTGAAAAGTGGTTTCCAGTTGATTAACGTGAATTTTTGGGTAATTATGTGATTTTATAAGATTTTTACAGTCTTACTTTTTAGATAAATGAAGAACAAGAAATAAAAATAAAAATATTGCAAAATGGGGGGACCCGCCGGCCAGCCGAGCCCGCAAGGGGGTCGAAAGCGTAGTCGGGGAAGTAGCCGCGAGTAGGGGCTCAAGCGGCTTGAACCGATGGGTGCACATGTGCACCACTCACTCCCCTTCCACATCATCGGTGGCCAGCTGGCTGTGGGGCAAGGAGTGGTCGTACACGCGCGAGAAAGGGACTTTGCTTAGAAATGTAACATTACTATATATTCGCCCGAAAATTCGGCGCAACCGATGTGAGACTAAATCCGTCACCTTCCTTAGAAGAGGCGGGGGCAACCGGCACAGGTTCGAATCCTCCTAGAGCCAAAACTCATATTTTTATCTGATTATCGTGACTTTCTTGCAAATCACCGGTGAAGGATTAAGCAACCAGAATCACTGGATCATCGGCGAAAATCTCGTCAACGCAATTCGCAGAGCATTGTTACTCAAATTGCTGAAGGATTCGCGATAAAAGGATCGCGAATCCATCGAGTAAATCATCTCCGATTGATTGACGAACAAGCCGTCGTCGGGAAGAGGACGATCCGTCGGGAGACGAGTCACCACCTCCTGAGAGCGTACCAGATGTGATGAAGAGCCTCCTCTTGTTGCGCAGACCTGAGGATGAAGCTCCCTAACACGCACTCCACCTCCATCCAGCTCCTCTCCGTCGGGTGACAGCCACCAGAGAGCCGCAAAGTCGCCGTTTTTTCGCTCTGTCGGGTGACAGCCGCCGGAGACGATTCGACGACCCATTTCATTGATCTCTAGACTTTGCAAGGAGATCTAGAGATTGCCCACGTCGTCTTTGTCTAAGGAGAGCCTTCGAGGCTGTGGACACTATATGACGATCCTCCCGAACGCTCAGGATTCCGGTGCATCATCGATGCATCGCCGCCGCGACGCTAGAATTCTATTTTCCTGCTTTCAACTTATTTTACGCTTCATTTAGTGATAATATGTGTGATTTTAATTTACCAAAATATACTTCGTTCACTTACGATTCTTCCGACTTTTATAGATCTTAATTTGATCAATTAAATCATCTATAATCGCTTACGTAAGAATCGCCGGGTGGAACTCTATTTCCGCCCGATTCGCGTTCACCGGGCATTGACGTCATCTTGACGTCTGCACCCTTATTTCTTTTTTTTGTGAATTTTAAATATACTTCTTTTTTATTTCTTAGTATAAAATTCATATAAAATAGTATTCTTTGAGGAAAATTATGAATAATTAGCAGATATTATATTACATCCCTATGATCGACCTAGAAAATTACCGCTATTTTTGGAAGTTTTATTGAATTATAATTGATATATTTATTCAGAAATACTTCTAAATATCTGAAAAATCATATTTTCTAGGTTTATAAATTTTATATTTGCGTGATTTAATATACAATGACTAAGTCACCCCCCAACTTAAATCATTACTAGTCTCTTAGCAATGGAATTACGAAAATAAAAAATTACAAATCTCAAACATCATATTTCAAGACATAAAAAAAAAAATACAATTAGAAATGATACACCTTTAGACACTTTGGACTCTTATATAAAGTATTTAAGAATGATGTCAAGCACTTAAATGTTTAAGCACTCCTTGGAATAACAATCTAGACTTCACTTCTTCTATTCACATCTTTATCACTTCTTCACTCATAGATATATTTACAAGATGTTCCAATTATCAATAATCATCCAAGAATAATATTGATTCTACATTTCCCTTTTTCCATGACTTGATTTTTGAAGTTTGCACTATATTTCTTCCTTCTTTTATAGTGGATAAGTAGTTTTTCCTGTAGACAAATTTCGACAATGAGAATGATGTCTCACACCCTCCATGTGTACTCTTAATTTTCAGGACTTTCACTATATCCACTTATTTTGCAGCAAGTGTTTTTCTATATACGATTTTCGACAATGAGAATGATGTCTCACACCCTCCGTGTGTACTCTTCGTTTCTAGATTTTTCACATTGCTCTCTCTCTTTTTTTTTCGAAATAAGTGATTTCTCCTCACAAGTCCTATAAATCTGGGTGTAAAAATCTTTATTAAACTCAAATGATCAATCAAATTTTCAAATCAAGTAAATACTATCCATCAAGATCATAAAGTGAAAATTTGTAAAATCAAATCCATGTTATCTATCATGTATCCAAGGAGTATTCCAACATTTCATGCTACTAGATCATTCTTTTGACTCAATAATAATCTTCCTAGTATCTTTTGGTATCAATCAATCTAATTGATTGAATTTTTCATGCATGCAATATGATGTAAGAAATTTGTAAATTAGATAGTTCTGACAGTTCTGTTTTCTATTTTCAGTTCTATTTTTAGCAACAATAAATTTGTCAAAAATAAATCAAAACTATCCTCTTTATAGTTGTAATTTCAAATTTCAGTAATATATGTCTAGGGGATTGAAATGTGAGAAAAGGGTCTCTAGAATTTCAAATTTTGAGCTGTTTTTTGTTTGCTGTTTTTGACAGTCTGTTGTTCCTGATAGAAAACCAGAAAATAGATGTTGCAATTTTTCTGAATTTTATTTTATTTTTTATTTTTTCAGTTGCTGTTCTAATGCAAACACATGTTCTTAATCGTCCTACAACATAAATTAATAATGAATACTTCACCCCACACTTAAAAATGACATTGTCCTCAATGACACAGAAAACTCGAAACAGAATATGCAGAAAATATAATTTTCAAGTGAAGCATGCATATATGCAAAGTTAAGTATTAAAAATGTTGTCATAAATGATAAAGCTCCGAAAGACATCACCTCAACCTCATTTTTAATTTTCCACTTCGTCTTACACTCCTCCTCTTGCACTTTTTCGAAAAAACAAATACAGAAACAAGTACTGCAAAATTCTAAGAAAAACAGAGCTTAAAAAAATCAAATAGAATGAAATAAAAACCATGGGTTGCCTCCCATGTAGCGCTGAATTTAATGTCTTCAGCTGGACAGCTCTTAGATCATATAAGATGATCTATGGCCATCAAAATATATTTGTATCCCAAGGTAAGTTTCATGATATTCTTTTTTAGATTTAGCAAAAATTCATATACTTCATATACATACCTTGACATACTTTCAGCCAAAACAAAATAGAAATTAACAAAATTTTCCCAAAAATAATATTTCCATTTTGAAAAGAATCTTTCCTCATTTCTATCTTGTTTTATAAGGCTCTCATTCATTAATAAATACTTTCTATTAATAGACTATAAAATGTGATCAGGCCATATAATTTTCAAATTAGCTCTTACCCAATCTAGAATTTTTTCATCTAAATTGATATCTCTAATTCTTCCACTCACCTATTTCTTAATGTGTTCTTTTATCTACATAATCTTCCCTTGCTCCGTTTTATCTTCCATACATATTTGTTCAATTTGCGAGGAGTGAAATATTTCAAGCTTAGAAATAATTCTAATTTGAGGGAAATACTTCAAAATATGAAATATGTCATCTTGTTAGTCAGCCCATCATGAAATCATGAAATCAACCTTCTAATATAGTCATCAACCATCTACATCTCAAGATTTTGAAAATGTAGAAGTAGTGACCACTTTGAGGAGTGGAAAGCAACTCAAAGATTCAAATGCATCATTTTTTTTAGAAAAATAAGTTTATAATGATGAAGTGTTGAATGATAGGGATAATGGTTATGAGAGTTTATTTTATGATGATGAGAATTTAGAGGAAGAAAAATAAGAATCAAAAGAAGAAAAATCATAAATGAATATACCACCCTTTCCTATTTTATCACAATTAAATGAACATAGAAAAACTATCCCCTTCTTACAGCATTAGAACCAAAACTTAGGAAAAGAGTTGAACCTAATGAAGAGCTTATGGAGATATTTTAAAAAGTTCAGATCTCTATTTCTTTGACAGATGTAATCAAACATATACTTGCATATGTAAAATTCTTAAAAGAATTATGCATACCTCATAGGTCATCTCAGAAGATATCTTTATCCAAAGAGACTAGTACTATTATTTTTTATTCTTGGCCTAAGAAATGTAAGGATCCATGAGCACTCTCATCTCATGTAAAGTGGGTGAAACTACATTTAGAAATGTACTCTTAGATTTAGGAGCAAATGTTAATTTATTACCTTTGGCTGTTTTTAAAAAAATTAAATTAGGAGAACTAAAACCAACTTTAGTAGAACTTCAGCTAGCTAATAAATCTATTAAACAACCTAGGGTCTCCTGGAAGATGTCATCATCAATGTTAAAGGATGCACATTTCTATTAGATTTGCTGATTTTAGATATTCATATTTTAGTTGATCTTACTCATGCACCAATCATATTAGGATGCACATTTCTATTAGATTTGCTGATTCTAGATATTCATATTTTAGTTGATCTTGCTCATGCACCAATCATATTAGGATGCACATTTATTGTCATAATTAAAGCAAATATTGATTGCAAAAATGAGATCATAAATATAAAATCTGAAGGTAATAACATCTTTTTAAATGTTTTTAAAATTTCAATATTTTCACAAAAGGATGATGATAATTATGAAGATATTGAGATAATTCACTCTTGCATAGAGGAAATGAATTATGTTCAACAAATTAATCAATTAATTCTTCCATTCTATTTTCATGTATTATATCAAAAATATTATATGAAAGAGGTATTAGATCATGACATAACATTCATGGAATCACATAGAATTGTGTCTAGCTAAAGATGTTAAACTTAGTGTTAATTGCGAGGCAACACAATAATTTTAGCTTTTTAGAATTTAATTTGTGTTTTTTACTTCATAAATTTTCAATTTCATTGCTCCTTATTTTATTTTTGTTTTAGCTCATATATTTATTTTTGTCGTGTTATACTAACTGATTTATGAGTATATATCTTTTCCTTTGCAGTTTAATTTGGTAATATATCTCATATTATTGAGGATAATTCAATTTTAAATGGGGGCAGCAAAGAAAGTTTAGTTATAATTATTTTATGAATAGTTAGGATAGAAGGAAATTTTAAACATAGGAACTAGTCTTGATGAATTCATAGATTTATATATTTTTCTTATAGGATGGTAAATGCATTTAAGTATGAAGGTTAAAGTGTGTTAGTGGAAAAAAAATGTGGGACATTTAATGATGAAATATTTTCAAAATATACCTTGATGATCATGATTCATATGTTATAAATTCACATTTGGAATTAGTAGGAATCATGAAGTTAGATGTGAAGAGGTTGAAATTGTATAAAATATTGAAAGCTAGACAATCTTGAGTAATTGATCATTTATCTTATATATATAAATAAAATCATCATATGATAGCGTGTAAGACCCAACTCACGAATATATATATATATATATATATATATGGGGATTCTTACTTATCCCATGGAGACAAAACTATATGTGAGACTTGGACAAGGTTAAGAAAAGTGATTGCAAATGCTTCTATAGGGATTTCTCACTTTTCTTGTGGAAACCTTCCACATGTGAGATTTAGACATGAAAAAGAAGCTATATGGGGAAAACTAGCTACTTATATAATAATAGTAATAATAAAAAACAAATAGAATAAATTACTTGGGTGCACAAATCTAGAAGAGAAGGTTGAAGATAATTTGAAAACTTGAGTAAAATTTTGATCATTTAATTAATGATTGCTGAAAATGAAAGATGTTGAATTTTGTGTATTGAAGAGAATGAAATTTAGGATGAATATTTTTGGAATAATTCATTTGTATATAGAATCATTTAAATTTTTGATCTTATAGGTAACTATTTCAAATCACATGAATATCTTTGAATATTTATTTTAATATCAGCTCTAGTGGAAAAATGAGAAAGTAAATGATTTAGGTTAAAAAAATAATAAATAACTTTAACTTTGTAAGTTTTTTGCTTATTGTTAGGAACTAGCAAAATTCAAAGTTAGGGATATTTGTTAAAGCTAGATTTTTATGTTTTCAATAGTTTTCTGATTTTATTTTTGTGTGTTAACTTGAAAAATAAATATAGCAATATATTGTTAATTTTGTAACTTTTCAAATAACTATGTAATTTTTTATTTTTAGAAAAAATATAAATATAAAATAAAAAAACGTCGCCGCTTGCAGGCAAGTTGACACACTTGGCACTCGGTAGCTAACCTAGAGGGGTGCTACACTTGAGTGGATAGACCTAGACTAGGGGAGCCATGAGCTGGTATTAAGTGATGAAGTAGCATCATTCCCCAACCACATCCTCGTGGCCAACTAGTCGTGGAGCAAAGAGTGTTGTACACATGTGTGTGCATGAAGGCGGACCCACCTTTTACCTTATCCTAAGATGGTCTTAGACATTATTTTATTTTAGAAGAAGGTATTTCTATTTAGAAAATGTAACTTTGATATATATTAAGTTCAATCGTCGAAATAATTTTGATGTGAGACTAAATTTTCTCATGTGTTTCAAGGCAATTGGAGTACGGTGCGATCCAACAATATTCAGTGAACCACGTTACTAGATAAAGCACATCTCATGGCTAGTGAACTGCCACGATACCCAAAGCATAAAGCAATCCATTGGTAGTTTGCGAATCTAATGACACTCAGCATGCACGTGACTAAAAAGAATGATCCAACCACGAGTGAAGTGCCATGGTACTAATGAGTTAAGTTCTCAGTTGGAAGTAGTTCGTGGTGAGTTAATCCTACATCACTTAGTGCTCCATGTGACCAAGCACTTCTAATTTAGTGGCATGCAAAGTGCCACGATATTGGGAACTTAAGTTCTCGTAAGTATCATTGTTAGGGATATAAAGTTAATAATCAATTATCATCTAGTAAAATAAATATTAATGATTATCTTTAAAAACCCAATGAGAGTCGTGATTATGGTATATGTTCTTTCCTCCTTTTGCATGATCAATGTCTCCAACGATTGATGAGCTCGTTCCTTCCTTTCCCAATTGTACTCAAGGCCACTAACGAGTGGTGATGTGCACTTGTTGATGTATTTAAATACACATTATCTAATAATATTTATAACTAAGACTTAATAAAATATTAGTATAGAAGTAAGTCTCAAGTCAAACATAGAGAGATTGATTAATATATCGTGAAAAATAATTTAATTATATATAAAGTGATTTTAATATTTTATTATTATTTAACAGAAATAATAAAATAGAAGGGTGAGGTGAGAAGAATAAAGGAAGGGAAGCAAATAAAGGAAGGAGGAAAGAGAAAGAGAAGAAAGAGTTCTCATGAAAGATGAGAGAAGAGATCTCTCGTGAAAGAGAGAGAAAGAGAGGAAGAAATCTCATGTGAGATAGAGAGAGAGAAAGTCTCACAAGAGAGAGAGAGAGAGAGAAAGAGTAGGAAATTTCACATGAGATAGAGAGAGAGAAAAGTTTCAAGAGAGAGAGAGAGGAAGATCAATCAATAGAGAGAGATCTCAAGAGAGATAGAGAGAGAAGAAGAGGTCTCATGAGAGAGGGAGAGGAGAAATAAGACGATAATAAAGAAAGAGAGAAATACGGTCAACTTATTTTTATGGTGACCATTATTCTCGAACGAATGTATGCTCGAGAATTCACACACATCACATAAGGTTAGCAGTGAATGTCTCCACATTGTTTTAATAGTCTAACAATTATTAAGCAGCCTTTAACGCATTCAAAAATAGAAAAATATCCATTAATTATAAAATACTGGGAACATGAATATGTTGGGATTTGACTACAAAAATCAATAGAAAATAAGTTGAAAATGATCTTAGCTTAATCTTAGATGCGTTTTAGAAGATTTTCAAAGAAGAGCGAAGATCATTCATCAAGTTTTGAATTAGTTCTACTCATTTCAATCGAAACATGCCACTAGTGTGGTAAGTAAATACTGAAAGTAGGAAATAAATCGTTGCCCAAGTTTAGTTTGCCTCTTGGGCAACTAGAGACACTAGTGTGGCAACTTGGTTTTGTCCAGACGTGCCACACCACACTAGAAATCACAGAAGTATCCTTAGGAAATGTTGCGCTGCTTGCTAGAGAGATCTGTCAAAAGGAAGGGTTGACCACACTATCACCATCGTCTAGGGGGAGAAGAGAAGAGTAGACCATTCACCAAAGGCCTTGATAGTCAGAGGATGAAGGAATGAGCTCGTTGATTGCCGAAGGCGTTGATTGCATAAAAGGAGGGAAGAATGAATTCTGTATTTACAAATACCATTGAGATTTTAAAGATAATTGATAAAGTCTATTTTACTAGAAAATAATTAATTATTGTCTTTATATCCCTAATAGCGATACATGTGAGAACTTAAGTTCTTGGTATCATGATGCTTCATGAGTTGCTAGATCAAATGTGCTTGGTCACGTGGCACATTGAGAGACACAAGATCAACCTGTCACGAATCATTACTGACGGGAACAAAAGTTCTTGATACCATGGTGCCTTGTTAGCTATTGGATCATCATCTATGACCATATGTGTGTTGAGCGGCATTAGATTCGTGAACCATCAATGAATTGCTTTATGCATTTGATATTGTGGTGTCTCACCCACCGCAAGATCTAGCTTATCTGATGATGTGGCTCATTGAATACTGCTAGATCACACTACGATCCAAATGGCTGCCTTGAGACACACGAAAACATTTAGTCCCATGTTAGAAATATTTCAACGCATGAGCCAAATATAAATCAAAGCTATCATCCCTCATTAGAGATCCATTCTCCCGACATAAAATAATTCCCAGGTCCATTTGGGAGAAGGCAAAAAGGTGGTCTGCCCTCTCGCGCGCCCCTGTGTATGCTCCTCCTTGCTCCACGATCAATTGACCACCAAGATGTGGCAAGGGACGCACACGTGCATGGAGTAAGTCTTTCACCACTCGAGCCAAGCTCATGACTCTCTCGATCTAAGTCACTAACGTGACTTAGTCGTTGTATAATAAATCATGTAAATTTAAAATTTATAAAACTAAAAAATATCATTTTTTAGATATTTAGAAGTATTTTTGAACAAATATATCAATTGTGATTTAATAAAAGTTTTCAAAATAATGGAAAATTTTCAAGTTGATCATAGAGATGTAAAATTTTCAAGTAATATTTCAGAATTTTTCTCAAAGAATATAATTTTTTATAAATTTTAGACTAAGAAATGAAAATAAAATATATTTAAATTCATGAGAAAAGAAAATAAGGGGTGTGGATGTCAGGATGACATCAGCGTCCAACGAACACGAATTGAGCATAAACAAAATTCTGTCCAGTGAGTTTTACGTAGGCGATTACGGACGATTTAATTGGATAAGTTAAGATCTGTAAAAGCTAGAAGAATCATAATTGAACGAAGAATAGTTTTGAAAGTAAAAATCACATAGATTATTACTAAATGAAGTAAGAATTTAGTTGAAAGTAGGAAAGACAGAGTTCCAACCTCGTGATAGTAATTGTCAGAATTCTATATGTTTAGGAGGGTCATCGAATGATGTCCATAGCCTCAAAGGCTCTCCTTAGACATGGACGACTTGAGCATTCGTTGGATCTCCTTTTGAAGTTCAGAAAATATGATAGAAGTTAAATTAATTAAAAAATAATAAAACAGAGTTCTGATGTCACGACAATGATATGTCAGTGATGCACTAAAATCCTAAGCGTTTAGAAAGATTTTCATGCAATTTCCATGGCCTCGAAGGCTCTCCTTGGGCAAAGATGACATGGGTAATTTCTAATTCTTCTTGCGAAGTTTAAAGATCGATGAAATAGGTCATTAAATCATCTTTAGTAGTTGTTACCCAGCAAAGTAGAAAAACGGTGACTTTGCAGCTCTTTAGCAACTGTCACCCAATAGAGAAGAGTTGGATGGAGGTGGAGCATATGTTAGGGAGCTTCATCCTCAGGTTTATGTAGCAAGAGGAGGCTCTTCCGACTTGCTTGTGGGCCCAGTTGGCTAATAGGTCCCCCCTTTTTTCTATCTTTTTATTTTATTTTCTTTTTCTTTATTTATCTAAAAAATAAGATTATAAAAATCATATAAATTTACATAAAATTATGTAATTAGCCAAGAATCACATTATCATAAATATAAGTCTATTTATCATGGGTTATGACTAAAACTATATTATTTATTAATCATTAATTCATGATAATGAGGACTTATCAGCCACCCACTTGACTGTAGCACCCCTTCGAGTTAACTATTGAGTGTTAGCTTACTAGTAGATGAAATATTTTTATATTTTATTCTTTTCTATTTTTAAATAATCAAAAATTATGTTATGTATTTTACTTCAGACTTCTAAATTAATAATATATCTTATATTTATTTTACAAGTCAACAAAATAAAATAAAATAAAATAATAAAACTAATTAAAACACAAAAATCTAGCTTTAACAAGTGGTCAACTATTTCTTTCTCCCTCTAGACAATGGTGACAACATGGTTGATGAACTTGATTTAAAGGTTAAATATGTTATTGTGATGCAACCAAGTTCATGCAAATAATATTTATAAAATCTCATTCCTTGGTTTAGGATAAGTAAGGGTTGATCCTCAAAGAGTGTAGGTGATAAGAGTAAGAATTTTACTTATCTTATTTCTTATATATATATATATACTTGAGAGTGTGAAGGATGAAATTAATCTAACAAAGGTAAAGACAAGAGAAATGAAAAGTGTGACAAAAGGAAGAGAATAGATCTACGTGATAAAATGATAGAATAAATGGTAAAATTAATTCGAATTAAGAGTTAATCTATCCATAGAGAAGATTACAAGGACATTCTAAATCTAGATCTTACACATACCTCATTGTGCGCTAGTCCTAAGTCGAGTAGTGTTTGATCCACAACGATCTTGATACGTTTTCAGATTGTCTCTTCTCCACGACAATCTTAAGCATGAGAATGTCATTGATCGAGCCTTGATTTCCTTCCTATTTCCTTTGACTAACCATTGCTAGAAAGAGAGCCAAAAAGCACCCTTCAAGAGGGAGGCGAGATGTCTTAATCTTCTCCAGAATTAAGCCTATCCAATAGACATTTATAATTAATAACTGATTTTCTTAGTAAACGGTTCAGATTCTTCCATAAGAACAACACTTTAATCCTTCTCTTAATTTCATCTTAAGGCGCCCTAAGATGGGCAGCTTAGATCTCATTTCTTGATAGCCCTTTTAGGTCCAAATAGACTAGGCCAAGGTGATGCCCTCTATTGGGCTCATAAACATATTAGGCTAGCCCTCATCATAAGACTTGAGCTTTTTCTTGGGCTAAAGGCTTGGGCTTCTTCCATTACTTCCAACTCATAATAAGAGCTCATCTCAGTCTTTGCAATCAAATAATTATCAAGAAAATATGAGAGAATCATCACTTGACTTCATAAAAGTCGTGGGGTTAGTATCATAATAACAAATAAAATAATATACATTAAGACTTAAATGATAAAAAATTATAAATGTCATAATAAGTCGGTAACACATGTATAATTATATTTTATACTCATTAATTAATATCTATATATAAGATATTAATATATAGATGCAACTAGTAATTTATAATTATCAATAGTTGACCTTTTTATTTAGCGAATCTCTTTAGCAAACAACACAACATTGCTAGACAATACTTTTGTAACTTCCAACATGATGTAGCACATTCGAACAAAACCAAGCTACCACACTGGTGTCTCAAGTTGCTCAAATTTAGTTTGCCTCCTAGGTAATGACAGATACTGGTGTGGTGGCTTGGTTTCATCCAAAATAAAATAATACTCAAGACCATCTTAGGAGAAGGTAAAAGGTGGTCCACCCTCGTGCGCACATGTGTGCATGACGCTCCCTGTTCCATGACTAGTTGGCCACTAAGACATGGTAGGGTACTAATACACACATGTGCAAAATGAGTTCTTCACCACTTGAGCCCAGCTCATGGCTCCCCTATTCTAAGTTTACCCACTCGACCATTGTGCCCCTCTGAGTTAGCTATTGATTGCCGAGTGGCGGCTTGCCAATGGGTAGTGGCCTTTTTTTAATATTTATATTTTTTCTGAAAAATAAAAATTATTCTAAGTTATTTAACATTAGACTTCCAAAATTAATAATATATTGCTATATTTATTCTGCACGTTAACACACAAAACTAAAATAATAAAACTATTTAAAACACAAAAGTCTAGTTTTAATAGTGGTCCTTTGAAATGAGTTTAGATTTTGTGTCAAAGACAATTCTTATGGTTTTATCATCCACATCATTTGTCATAAGTTGATGCTAGAAATCTGCTAAAGTTAGCTCTTTCCATAATCACTCTAGGTTTTGAAGTCTATGTATGGAACCTTATTACCATAAGCTGTATTCATGTTTATCAAAATTTCTTAATCCTAAACATCATGTGCAGCTACTTTAAGATGGTCAAATGACTTTGTTTTAGTGTTCTAACATTGCCTAGGAGCCTACAAAGTATTCCTCCCATATCTTAGTTTGTAGTACTCAAGATGTTATAACATACATGTTTTGGATATTTGGGGTTTGAATGACTTCTCTTTATCCCTTTCTTTCCCTAAAACATTCTCATCATTGTTAGGAATTTCATTTTATTTTTCATCAATAACATACAAAAGTTAATTCATGAATGAACCTTCCCTTCCAGCAAAATAAGATTACCTTGGTAAGCCCCAAAAGTGCCATCTTTGTGACTGCATACATGGACATTGATTGACCTGGTTGGTAGCCTGCAACTGAAGAGATCAAGATCACAAATGATCCCTTGCAGAGATAGGGTGCCACATCCTGCCAAACAAGTAAACTATGAGCCAAGCAAGAACGTTGTATTCTATTCCAGCATTGAAATCTAGTTAGTTACCTTTAAGAGCAAGATCAAAGCTTTAACATTGATCTCCCATAGTTTGTCAAGACTAGATTCTTCGATAGCCAATATGTGATCAAGGGTTGGATTAGCAGCAGCATTTGAGACAACAATATCTATATGCTTATATTTTTGAGATAAAATCAAGCAGCAAGTAAGTTTACAATTGTTAACTAGATGCAATATTTCAGATCAATTGACAGGATTAGAACAATATTTATTGATATTTCACCAAGATGTCAGCAATGCTTACAATATGTGACCAAACAATGATGACAGATAATTATTTTCGATTGAAGCAAGATGTCCATTCAACTTAAATTAAAAACCTCATAGGAAAATTATTTTATGAAAGCTCTACTTTGATTATAATTGATTATTTTATTTTGGCTCTTTGGTGAAAGTAGAAACTTTGTTGTTTAGAACATGTGGTACATGAGATATATGGAATCTTCGTATAGTCAAATTTGCCACTACAAGTTCTAGGAGAAACATCAAACCTGAGTATCCAATTGATGACTTATATTCCAAATGATAACATTTTCTTTGAAGCCTTTCTTCATACTTTTCCCATAATCAGATTTATCAAGGGGCCTGAAGCCATCCACCCTTCTTGTTGATAGTCCCTCACTTTCCACATAATGACACCTTTCCTATTCCTAATAATTAAAGTTTCTTCCAATTCTTTCTTAATATTTCCTCCAACACCCTAAAACCTTCTTCAGCATTACTATATGTTTGCTCTCATTCACACTAGAGAAGCCTCTACTATTCTAATGACAATGCAAAGAATTTGAATATTCTATAAAAAGAACAAATCAGGGATCCTTTCAATTGTATATATGTGGACTTGATGAGCAGCCAAAATAGGGCTCAAAATCTAGATAATCTCTTGGTAAGCTCTAAGTAGACATATTCTTGTTTTTGTAAAAGGATAGATCTAGTGAAACTTGGAAGCACAAGAAATGTATTTATACTAGGCATGCTATTTTGTGTTTTAATTAGTTTTATTATTTTATTTTTGTGTTAAGTTATAGAATAATTATAATAATATATTATTAAATAATTATAGTAATATATTGTTAACTTAGCATAAATTTTGATTATTAAAAACGTAAAAGAACCTAATAGTAAAATATTGATGCTCGTTAGCAAGCCAATACTTGACAATTGACCCATAGGGGTGTTGTTGTAAGTGCATAGACCTAGACCGAGGGGGAGCCATGAGCTGGGCTCGAGTGGCAAAAGACTCGCTTTGCACATGTGTGTGTCACTCCCTTGCCATGTCTTGGTGGCCAAACCAGTCATGGAGCAAGGAGCATCATACACACACACATGCGCATGCGAGGATGGACACCTTTTTCCTTCTCCCTAGATGGTCTTGCGTATTATTTTATTTTAGGAGAAGGGATATCTACTAAGAGACTGTAAGTTTGATATATATTCAGTTTAATTGAAGAAAAACTTTCAATGTGGGACTAAATGTTTTTGTTTGTTTTAGGATAGCAATCTGAAGTGCAGTGTGATCTAATGGTGCTCAATGAGTCACATTACCAGATCCTTTGGCTAGTGAACTGTCATGATACCCAAAACATAAAGGAATCTATCAACAATTCATGAATTTGATGTCGCTCAGCACATACGTGACCAGAAAGGATGATTTGACAACTAGTGAAGTGCCAGGATACCAGGCACTTAAGTTCCCAATTAGTAGTAATTCATGGTAGGTTAATCCTATGTTGCTCAGCACATCACATGATCAAGCACATCTAATTCCGTGGCTTGCAAAGCACCATGATATCGAGAACTTAAGTTCTCGCACGTATCATCATTAGAGATATAAAGATAATAATCAATTATATTATGGTAAAATAGACATTATCAATTATATTTAAAATCCCAACAGCAGCCGCAAATATGGCATCTATTTTTCCCTCTTTTCACGTGATCAACGAGCTTGTTCCTTCCTCCCCCAACTACACTCAAGACCTTTGGCAAGTGGTCAGCTCTTCCTTTCTCCCCCCAGACAATGATAATAGAGTGGCTGACTCGCTTTTCAACAGATCTCTCCAGCAAGTGATATAGTGTTTTTAGACGACACTTATGTGACTTCTAGTGTGGTGTGACACATTCAGAAAAAATCAAGCCACCACACCTATCTCTCCAGTTGCCTAAGAGGCAAACTAAACTTGGGCAATGATATCTTTCTTAATTTTGTCATTTATTTATATGCTTTCAATATTTATTTAAATTTTACAATAAGTTTCTCTACTCCCTTCTTTTATTCTTGGCACATTGTCTTTTTATTTTAGTATTTCTGTTAAATAGTAATAAAATATTAAATTCACTTTATATATAAACTAAATTAGTTTTCATGATAATTAATCAATCTCCTTAATGTTTGATCTAAGACTTACATCTATACTAATATTTTATTAAGTCTTAGTTATAAATATTATTAGATAATGTACATTTAAACACAATGACAAGTGTACATCACATGCATATATGATATATCATAGTCTATTTTTTTCTATGACTTATTTTCATAGTGGTATAAACCAATGCTTTCATGTGGTCATTTTGTTATTATCTTTTTATTGTTAGTGAACTCTTCAACCATATTTCTAATTGGCATATTGTTGACACTATGCCTCATTTCGCCTTCTCCTCCTTGCCATCTGCTCTGTCACTGCCATTCCGCCTCCCTGCTGTTCACCTCATCATTGCCATTTCACTTCTTTGCTGACACAAACCCTTTCCTTTCTCTCTCTTATTGTCACCACGAAACCCCTCTTTCTCTCTCTCCCACTGACATTCTCATTTTGCCCCTTTTCTCCCTTCGCCCTTTAGTTAGTATTTAGAAAAAAAAAATCACCCTTGGTTCTCGCCCACACGAGTACCCCCCAATTTTTTTTTTCTCTCTCTCTCTCCCCCATTGACACCCTCTCATTCTGCCCCCTTTTTCTCTCTCCACCTTTTCTTTTCTTTTCATCATTATTTTATTATTTCACCTTACTTCTGGACCTCATTTGTACCTCCCGGCACAAACAGCCCATGTCTTTCAAATGATACCAGTCCACTCCTTGGTACGGACCACTCGGTTTGAACCTTGAAAAATCACTAACAAAGCTCATGGAATTCAAACCAATAAGAATCTTCAAGACACCAAAAATCTCTATTGCAAAGGTGTGTTGATATTCAAATTTCTTGTGAAGTTAGTCATTGTCTTTAAATCCTTGCTCTTAGAATTTGTGAGATTCATAAGATAGCCACCCTTGTGTGAAAGATTGGTGGTCCAAACCTTGGTTGGGAAGCCTTATTTGGTTATTTGAATTAGATAATCTAATAGGTAATTAATGATCCTAATTCTCCTAAAATCACGGGATCATCTGGATATTAAGTCCTCAAACCTTGTGTAGCTCTTCTTTAAAGAGATCTATTTTGGCCCCTTTGTCTAACATCATTTTCTTTAACTTTTTTTTGAATTCAGGACTAAACAAACATTTGGGGAGTATGAGACAAGATAGAGATGAAGTAGATAGAGTTTCCTATGGATATATTTTTAGGACTTGATGGTCTTCTCCTCTCACTTCCTCCAATTGGGAATGTAATTTTGTATTTTTGAATGAACCTACATATTTTGATAGCATTTTAACATCTAAGAAGGAGGTGGTACAAAACTTTGAAATTAATAAAGTCACTTACTTGGATCTATGGTCACTCATATGCACCCTTGGAATATTTATATTTTCATCATATACTCACTTCTCCCCTTTGCAAGCTGCTTCTAGCATATGATCATCACTTAATCCTACTGATTTACTCCTCGAATAGAAGAATATAAACATAATTATCAAGGCTCATAGTTTACCTAACCTAAGAACCTATAGAAATTAACAAAAGATATCCTTCTAATGGCTATAATTTTTGGATTTCAAAATGTGTTTCATCTAAGGTGTTGAGGTTTTGAGAAATTTTTTCAAATTTTTTGAAAAGTTTTACATTTTTCAGGTAAGCATAAAAATAATGTATTATTCCTTCTATGACAAAAATTAAAAATTTTCACAAATTTTTCATATGATACTTGATAAGTCTTCATTATCATGAGTTAATAATTAGTAAATAATATAGTTTTAGCCTTAACTCGTGATAAATAAACTTATATTTGTGTTAAAGTGTGAAAAGTGGTTTTCAGTTGATTAATGTGAATTTTTAGGTAATTATGTGATTTTACATGAATTTATATGATTTTTACAGTCTTGCTTTTGAGATAAATGAAGAAAAAGAAATAAAAATAAGACAAAATGAGGGGGGGACCCACGGCCAGCCGGGCCTACAAGCGGGTCGGAAGCTTAGTCGAGGAGTAGCCACGAGTAGGGGCTCGAGCGGCTTGGACCGATAGGGGCACGTGTGCGCCACTCTCCTTCCACGTCACTGGTGGCCAGCTGGCTGTGGGGCAAGGAGTGGTCGTACACACGAGAGAAGGAACTTTGCTTACAAATGTAACATTACTATATATTCACCCGAAAAATCGGCGCACAACCGATGTGGGACTAAACCCGCGTCACACCTTCCTCAAAAGGGGCGGACAACCGGCGCGGGTTCGAATCCTCCCAAAGTCAAAATTCATATATTTTTATCTAATTATCGCGACTTTCCTGCAGATCGCCGGTGAAGAATTAAGCAACGAGAATCGCTGGATCATCGGCGAAAATCTCGTCAACGCGATTCGCGGAGCATTGCTACTAAAATCGCTGAACGATTCGCGATAAAAGGATCGCGAATCCATCGAGTAAATCATCTCCGATTGATCGACGAACAAGCCGTCGTCGGGAAGAGGACGATCCGCCGGGAGACGAGTCGCCACCTCATGAGAGCATACCAGATGTGATGAAGAGCCTCCTCTTGCTGCGCGGACCTAAGGATGAAGCTCCCTGACACGCGCCCCACCTCCATCCAGCTCCTCTCTGTCGGGTGAATTTACCAACATATACTTCATTTCATTACGATTCTTCCGTCTTTTACAGATCTTAATTTGATCAATTAAATTGTTTATAATCACTTACGTAAGAATGGCCAGGCGGAACTCTATTTTCGCCCGATTCACGTTTGCCGGGCGCTGAGATCATCCTGACGCCCGCACCCTTATTTCCTTTTTTTCGTGAATTTTAAATATATTTCCTTTTCATTTCTTAGTATAAAATTCATATAAAATATTATTCTCAGAGGAAAATTCTGAATAATTACCAGATATTATATTACATCCCTGCGATCGACCTGGAAAATTACCGCTATTTTTGGAAGTTTTATTGAATTATAATTGATATATTTGTTCAGAAATATTTCTAAATATCCAAAAATTTGTATTTTCTAGTTTTATAAATTTTATATTTGCGTGATTTAATATACAACGACTAAGTCACGTCAATACTTCAAGCCCCCAACTTAAAGTGGCATTGTCCTCAATGACATGAAGGATTCTAAATATGATATGCATTTATCATAATTTTCATGTAAAATATGCATAACTTGTAAGTGTAAATGTTAAAAACATTGTCATATAGAGTGCAGTTCAAGAGGGATGTACCTCAGCTTTGATTTTTATTTTTTCTCTTTTCAACCTACATGGCTCTTGATAAAAGTCTATTTATATTGCATTATTTGGAGTATTTGCAAATACTTTGATTATATTTAGTAAGCATAATGCCTTTAATTCAGTATAGAACACCATTATTATGATTTGATCAATTTTCATGTAAGTACGAATTGTGCTTATTATGAGATTTATAAATTTAGCACATTATAAACAATAAGTTTTCAAATGAATTATTGGTGTAAATTTTTTTTTGAACATATAAGATTCATTTAGATGATATTGGGAAGTTTTAAAGATGAGAAAGGAGGATTTTATTCATTATAGAATTATATATAATTTTTATTAATGAATACATTTTATATTTTCATGATATACCATTTTATCTCACATGAGTCTTTTAAGCATCTCATGTGGGTTTTACTTGAGCATCTTCCTATTTAATATGAGTTAATTATAAAAAATGGAGAAGAAAAATATGGTGTGACAAATGAAAATGGCCAAAGAAGGAAAGGATGGCTAGCCTAATTTTCAAGGGTCATAACTCCTCTCAACCACTCATGAGGCATTGAAAGAGGAAACTGACAGAAGAGAGATGAGAAACCACCAGCATAACTATCCATATATACCCTTCCCTTTCGTGAATCTCATCTTAATCCATTTGCTATGGAGGAGACTCCAACAAAAAGTGTAGAACCTTTTTCATTCTTTGTGAGGAATACTCTTGTCTTAGATCTTTTTCTAAGGAGGTTTTTGAGCCTCTTGAGGAAGGCTATTGTCTCTCACTCTCTCGCTCCAAAGACATACATTTGGAGTTTTTTTTCTCCCCATTTCAATCCACAAAGTACTATAGAATTCTTATCTTCTCCGTTACCTTCCAACAAAGCACGGTTGGAGGGTGATTATTTGTGTATTCTGGTCCATCTTGGCGAGCACCATTGTGCAACGTAGAGCTCTCAAGCTTGTGGTAGGTGATGGCTGATAAGTTTTCATTATCATGAGTTAATAATTAGTAAATAATATAGTTTTAGCCTTAACTCATGATAAATAGACTTATATTTGTGTTAAAGTGTGAAAAGTAGTTTTCAATCTTACTTTTGAGATAAATGAAGAAAAAAAATTAAAAATAAAAATATAACAAAATGGGGGGTACCCGTCGGCCAGCTGGGCCTGCAAGCAAGTCGGAAGCGCAATCGGCGAAGAGCCACGAGTAGGGGCTCGAGCGGGTAGGACCGATAAGGGCATGTGTACACCATTCCCCTTCCACGTCACCAGTGACTAGTCGGCTGTGGGGCAAGGAGTGGTCGTACATACAGGAGAAAGGGATTTACTTGCAAATGTAATATTACTATATATTCACCCGAAACTTCGGCGCACAAGTAATGTGGGACTAAACCGGCGTCACACCTTCCCCAGAAGGCTTTGATGATTTTAATACCTACAATACCCCTTATTTATAACAGAGATATACCATGATGATGCCATTTTATTAGGGTATTAGAGTACTTATGTCAATCTCTCTCATGCAGGCGGGCAACCGGTGCGGGTTCGAATCCTCCTAGAACCAAAACTTATATTTTTTATCTGATTATCGCAACTTTTCTATAGATCGTCGGTGAAGGATTAAGCCGCCAAATTGCTAGATCATCGGCAAAAATCTCATTAATGCAATTCGTGGAGCATTATTACTAAAATTGCTGAACAATTCGCAATAAAAGGATCGTGAATCTATTGAGTAAAGCATATCTAATTGATTGACGAATAAGCCATCATTGGGAAGAGGACAATCCGTCAGGAGACAAGTTGCCACCTCCTGAGAGCGTACCGAATGCGATGAAGAACCTCCTCTTGCTGCGCGGACCTGAGGCTGAGGCTTCCTAACATGCACCCCACCTCCATGCAGCTCTTCTCTGTTGAGTGACAACCGCCGGAGAGCTGCAAAGTCACTATTCTTCCACTCCACCGAGTGATAGCCGTCGGAGATGATTCGATGACCCATTTTATTGATTTCTAAACTTTACAAGGAGATCTAGAGATTGTACACATCGTGCTTGTCTAAAGAGAGCCTTTGAGGCCATAGACACTACACGATGATCCTCTCAAATGCTCAAGATTCTAATACATTATCAATGCATTGCCACCGTAACGTCGGAACTCTGTTTTCCTACTTTCAACTTAATTTTTACTTTATTTAGTGATAACTTGTGTGATTTAAATTTACCAAGATATACTTCATTCAATTACGATTCTTCTGACTTTTACAGATCTTAATTTGGTCAATTAAATTATCTATAATCACTTACGTAAAAATCATTGGGTGAAACTCTATTTCTGCCTGATTTGCGTTCACCAAGTGCTGATGTCATCTTGACGTCCGCACCCTTATTTTCCTTTTTTATGAATTTTAAATATATTTTATTTTCATTTCCTAGTGCAAAATTTATAGAAAATAGTATTCTTTGAGGAAAATTCTGAATAATAACCTGATATTATATTACATTCCCGCGATTGACCTAAAAAATATCACTATTTTTAGAAGTTTTATTGAATTAGAATTGATATATTTGTTCAAAAATACTTCTAAATATCAAAAAATTCATATTTTCTAGTTTTATAAATTTTAAATTTACGTGATTTACTATATAACAACTAAGTCATGCAATAGCTACTGTAGCAAAATAGAGAACAAGCTTCTCAAGGATTAATCATTCTCATTTTACTCTTAGATATATGTGAGGTATCTCATCGAGTACATTAAGGTTTATCTTACCCTTTTACTCTTATTTCTATCCATTTTATATACGTTAAAGATTGTAATTCATTCATTAAATCTCAGTGTACCTTGATAAAGATTTCTATGTCTTGAACTTGAAATTTTGATTTAAGGATTGTGTATTGAAAAATGAACATCTTGGTTTCTCTTTCAACATTAATTTCTCCATGTATTTTCATTGTGAAAATACCTTTGTCATGTTTTCTAAAGTGAAATTAAGTATTTTTCTAACAATCTCACATTAATATTCATCCTTCTTAATTACATCTTTGCAACAATTCTAATTGTCCCTATGATTGACCAAGATATTTACCAATATTTCATCTAGTATTTCTACATTAATTTTTGATTTATAAATTTAAATTTGGTCCATCTAAACTTTAATTACAATGATACTTTGTGAAGATCACCTCTTCCCACACATCATTTAAAATAAAATAAAAATAAGGAGAATATTTTACTAAACAGAAACAAAAATAAAATTTTATGTCACCTAAACATATAATGGGTTGCCTCCCATAAAACATTAAATTTAATGCCTTCAGCCATACATAACTTAGATCATCATATGAGATGATCTATGACCATCAAAATATATTTGTATCCGAAGATGGTTTTCATGATATTCGTTTTCAAAATATGTAGAATTTTCATCAAAACAGATAAATCATGGAGCATGCATTCTTTTATTGAAGTTTATCTTAGTTTTGAATTTATGCTAAGTCTTGCGAGATAGATAAACATTCTTCAAGTAATATGTAATTTGTAATAGTCTAAATACTTTCTCTAGATAATTAGTTTAATGTACTTCAAATATATTCCTTGGGATACTTTCATCCACATTAGGATGAAAGCTAACAAAATTTTCTCAAAAAAAATATTTCTATTTTGAAAAGAACCACTCATTTTATCTTTTTTGTGGGCTCTCATTCATTAATAAATATTTTATACTGATGCATTATGAAATGTGATCTGAACATATCATTTTCAAAGTAGGTCTTGCCCAACCTAGCCATTTTTTATTCAAAATGATATATTTAATTCTTTCACTCAACCATTTATTAAAGTATTCTTTTATTTATACTATCCACCCTTACTTTATTTCATCTCCCATACATATTGGCTTAATTTGTGAGGATTGAAATAGTTCAAATTTAGACTTAATTCTAAAGGGTTGTGGGTTTTGAAGGATGAGAGAATTGTCTACTTCAATTTTAAATTTAATGGATTCATTCATATTCAAATTGTCTCCTCCCAAATTATCTCTCGATTCATATTCATGATTATCATCCCCTAATTAATTATGTTTGCTCTTTTTTTAGATTTTTATTTCTCCATTCATCAAACTCTTCATCCTCACTAGACCTATCATATTCTAATTTCTATACATGATACGCATCATCATTATCACTATTAAAATTCATTGCTGAAAAATAATGATTAGATTTTTTAATTTCTACTACATCTCCTTAATCAGCTAGTTTTTCCTCACCTAAAATATGTTTTTTCTTTTATTTATACCCTTACTCCGATTTATTAAAATTTGAATGATTTTTTCATAATTCGTTATTATTTCTTCATCTAAAGGTTCTTCTTCCTCATCATCCTAACTATATTCATTCATCAATCATGAGCAATAAATGATTTCAATCTAATTTTATTTTGTTACCTCTTCACCCTTAATGTCTTCATTTCCTACTAGTGGCTTATACACTTCCTCAATGTTTCCTCTAAAATGTTGTTTTCAAAGAATAAGAAGATGC